ATCATCTCGATCTCGTCATCGATTGGGATGTGAATGTGGCTCTTGATGTGGATGTTTCTGTGGTGGCTGGTTCTTTTTCATTCCTCTGGGACTTCTCTGACGACTTGGATGCCAACTCGCTCCCGGCTCAGAACGAGGCCTCCACCAGATAGGTGCCATCCATGGGCTGATTGTTTTGGCTATTTTGAGCATTGCTGGCAGCGGGCATGTATTTACCGCAGGCCTAAACAAGAACGAGAACAACCAAAAAAGTGCATTAGGGCATGAGAGCATTTAAGATGATTAATGATGCGCTTGAAACCAAAAAAGAAACAGAAGCCTCAAAAGTGGACCAAGCACGACGAATTTAAGGATTTCGATCGGCCTAGTCTCTCAAAAAAGCAGCCTAAAGCTGTTTTTAGCCAAAATCTAAGTATAATTTTTACTGTTTAAAAAGTCTTAAATATTCTATATATTAGAGCTTGAAGTGATTTTGGAAATAATGAGAATTAATAATTTTTCTACATGTATTGTACATTTTACGAATTAAATATATATAGCATAGTTTTGTGCTGAAAGATTTTATGAAGTTTTCTAAAATGTTTAAACAAGGTTAAAAAAAATTAAAAAATATGTATATATATTTTGTTAGTTTTGTGCATGAATTTGTTATTGTGTTTCGAGAAACTAATGAATATATTTCGTATTACGCATAAAGTAGAACATTTTAAATTTTCTTATCTCGAAATTCTTGTATTTTTTTCTTAGAATAAATTTCTATTAAATGAGCAAAATGTGTGTATGTATGTACATTCATAATCTGAAACTCTTTCCCGCAACAGATCGACTTCACTCCAGTCGATCCAGTATTTCGAACTAAGAAGGTCTCTATTTTAACGCCTACGTTATAGTATTTTCAGAGCAAGAAGTTTATAAATTTTGTACATATTTTTCATGATGCGTCATTTCAGAAGCTCTGGATGTTCTTATCAGACTTGAAGATTCTATTACAAGAATTTTTGAACATAAAATAAAATAATATGGAACGCAAAATTACGGATTTGCCTGTGGAAATTTTAGACCTGATCTTCAAGAAATTAGACTTAATCGATAAGGTGATGTTGATCCAAGCAGATAATGTTTTAAAAGACGCATTCTGCTTCCACTGCCGATCAGAATTCTCCCAAATACACGAAATAGACATCACATCCGGCTCTTTTCCAACTATATTCCAAAAAAATGATTCTACCATAGAATATATAAAAATGAACAAATTCGAAAATCAAGAACTTGTTCTTGTTGGTCAGCATTATCCCGACATGCTTTCTATAAATTTAAGATATTTGACGGCAATTCGAAATTTATCGAAGTTTTTTAAATTAAAAAGGCTCAAAAATCCCATATCTATGACGCTAGTTGGAAAATGCTTTGACTCAGTCGTATACATTAGTGTTTTTAGATATCTTAAATATCTAAATATAAAAAGTCTACGATTTTTTTTAGAAAAATCATTTAAGCAAGCCGTTCTTGTAAGATTAGGTATGATTTTTCTTGCAATGAAAAAAACACCTAATTTATTTTTCCTTTTTAGATAATATGTGTTATTTAGCTGAACTGGAAAAACTTTGTTTTGTAGGAAACAGGAGAATGGAAATACTCTTCTCCCTGGCGTGCAAACAGTGCTATGAAATGAATAAGTTGAGGTGCTTAAGAATAGAACGTTCATACATTGGTGCCCCGTTTCCCAGTTGTACAGACCTACGGAATCTTATTTTACGATCTGCTTGTTTTAGTTCAAAGAACGTTTTTTGTGCCTGGATCGAACGCCTAGGCAAAACTTTAGAAATATTGGATTTAGATAGAGCCGTTATGGATTTCATAGATGTAAAATACACATCAAAATGGTCCTTCCCTAAGTTGAAAGAGCTACGAATTGATCGACACCGTTCTGAGAAATTTCGATTTCCATATTGTCCGAGGGTACAATCGTTAAGTCTCGAAAATTATACCGGTACGGCCGAGGACTTTCTACGCTGGATATCAATGTTTAAAAATAATCTTAACTCTTTAGAGCTATCTGATAGAGTTTTTAGATATGCAACCCTTCCATGTTTCCCACAACTTCGTACGTTCGTCTTAAAAATATCTTTTAATTTAACAAATGATTTTACCATCAAATTTCACGAATGGATCACCAAACAATCCGAAACCCTGGAAAATTTGGAAATTCTATGCCGAGATGAGAAATTCTTCCTTGAAAGCATCTCTTGCTGCAAGAATCTCCGAAGCATTAGTTGGCACAGTTTTCCCAAGGCACCTTCCAAAGAACTTTGGCCTTTGCTTTTTAACATTTTACAAAAAAATGGCTATACCTCTGAGAAACCATTGAAACTGAAAGCGTATTTAGGATCAGCGGAAATTGAAAAGGTGATCTTTTGGCATTCATTTTTTTAAATGGTATTTTAAAATGTCTTATATATATTTTTTAGGTGAAAGAACTGGAACACTCCGAATTGTGTATGTTTGTGAAAGAAAACACATAATCAAAAGCACTGATGTTGTCCTTCAAATATATCTTTATAAAGTTAGTTTAAACTTCAAAGGCCTGTTCTTACCTAAATTAATAAATACTCTTTGACGTTAATGAAAACTTGAGTAAAAACATGGAAAAAAGGATGAAAACTCTCAGCCTTCAACACTAATGAAAATGCATTATTCTGTTAAAATGTTAAGATGCGTCTAAAATGCTTTTAGTCCTTAATGAAATATATGGCTCAAGGCACAAGGCTCTATACCATTATTATTTGATTCGGGTGTGGGTGAGAGATGTACAATACAAATACAGGTCAAGAAAGATATCAAAGACAACACATACGAACTGCATAATGTATAGTTGTAGAAGGGGTTACGGAATAAAATGGCTTTGCCACCCACCTGCAGTTGCACTCGGTCCCCTCGAGGGCACACATATTATTCACATTTTGTCGCACACTCTTTGGCGAGGGGACGGGGGCAAGGATAACGTGTGTGTGTGTTTGGGTATTCTTTGTACAAGTAAAAGGATATAGCTTACCTGGTAGCGCTGGGAGCAGCAGCGACCGCAGCAGGACTGCAGGAGGCCGGCGGCACTATTTGTCGAGTGGGCGGGACTGGCCATCGGCGACGGAGAGCCCGGCCGCTTCGGCTGACCGTTATACGGAATTTCCAACTCGACAAATTCTCGATCCTGCGGTTTTTTGAGCATTGATAGTTGTGTACAGCCAGAGAAGAATTTTACAAAGAGAAACGAAGAATACATAGAGTACAATGTTGATTTTTTTTTTTTTTTTGCATGATTTAGTTTAAACAATTTACAATATAGACTTTTTGGAGGGGGAGCTGGGCTTCAGGGGGATTATTACACACACAGACACTCACAAAAGGATACAAAGGACACACAGGACAGGGTTTAGAACATACGCATAAACAGAAATACTGAAAAGGGGAGAGCAGTATAGATAGACAGGGAAAGAGCGAGAGTTTTTGTCTCTTTCAAGTTTCAACAACAATTAGAACATTAAGCCGGGATCTATGGGGAAAAATGGGCAGGATTTTTGGGGAACAAGTTATTAACATTTAAACGCTTAAACTTAAAGGAAGTGATGTGATATAAAGTTTACATTATTATTACTGTTTTTTTTTGCGGCTCCTAAGCAATGACAATTGTACAAAAACACTATGAGAACATTTCATTTTTTTGTTTTATTTTTTAAACAGCCAAAGGGGGCGGGGCAGCGGGCGGGCAATCACTTAGCGGAACGAGAGCGGTAATGGCGGGGGGTAGGGGCATTACAAGCAAGCGCCAGCGAGCGACATTCGAGTGCGACTTCTCCAGCTAGCTTTTAAAACGCGGCCGCGTTTATAGCCGCATCTAGCCGATTTTCAATTTATGGCAAATATTATTTTATGATTTTGTAGGAGATTTAGTGGAGAACTCATCAAAGGGGGTTAGGACACATATATGGTTAGAATGCACATAAAGTTTTAAATTACTAACCTATAAAAGATGCTACTATACTTTACGGTTCTAAAACCTCTTTTCAAAGAGTCATAAAAAAAATTAAGAAAAAAATATTTTTTAGGTTTCTGAACAGAGATTATATTTTTGGATTTTTGATAATGAAAAATATGATTCCCTATCTTTTCAACATTTTAAAGGTTTCCCTCCTGTATAGCTTTCTACCGAATCGCATAGTGTATAATGTCTGTTTAAAAATCCATTTCTTCAATGATTTCCCAAGAACAATGAATGATCATTAAAACCAAATGTGAATTCAAATTTACTCCCAATAAATTTGGAAAAACAAATTCAATGTTTTAATGGGCCTTTTATAGCGCAACCTAAGTGATTTGGCATTCTGTCCATGGCTTTAGAGTTCCCTCCCACCATTTGATGAGGCACCCGAGCGTTTTGGAATTGTTTAGACTTTAATATTGTTAGATTTTTTGTTTTCGTATTGGGTTTTATGTTGACAGCAATCGATTGCATATGGCTTAAATGGACGTTTCGAAAATTACTTTATGGCATGTGGGGGGGAGCATTCTCATACCGTCCGGACCGATACTCGGTCCGGTAATGACCTATTCGAGGAACTTAAAACAGAACAGAGCGCATAGCATTCAACACGAATCGTTTCCTTCAACAAAGGGGTATTTTCTTTTCATTTTTTAAAGATTTTTTTATGAAAAAAAAGAAAAAAAAACTCACAAAAAAAAACACAACCGACAATCAACAAAGATAAAATGAAAATGCAAAATTGGAAATCATAGAAACTAATTGCAACGCGTAAACATGAACAAGAAAGATAGTTAGAGCGACTGAGAGAGATAGAACGAGAGTTAGAAAGAGATAGGGATAGAGAAAGATTGAAGAAACAACGGAACTTAAATACAAACCGAAAGCACTTACTTTGGCGAATTTATATTCGTTTATCAGAGCATAGACATTGATATTCATTGCTTTTTTTTATTTTTAATTTTTTTTCATATGGCTATATGTATGTATTTATATTTGCTCGATTTCCAAAGCTAGATGATAACCAGGTCGTGTGAAAAACATGACACAAATGGTGAACTTAGAACATACAACTTAGAACGTAATACAACAAATCCGACACACATATACAGAAGATACAATTAATGTACAGAAAACAGATCGGAAAAAAAAGCGCCCAAAAACCGAGAAATGAAAATTATAAAAATTTGTAAACAAAATATAGTTCCACATACTAAAAATGCTGAATATTTTTGCCTTTCAGTTCAGTTTTTTTTGTGGTGTTTTCTAAACGCCTTTTGCATTTTTCGATTGCGATTTTGAATAATGAGAAGACGCGATAGATTAAAAGCTCTTAACAATATATCCTTCGACATGGCTTTGGATTTATTTTTTGGTGTCGCCGCTGCTGTTGTTGGTGTGGTTGCTGTTGCTATTGTTGTTGCTGTTGTTGATGTTGTTGTTATGGTTGTCATTGCTTGCCTAATGAGCTTGTGGCAAACCTTACAATATCTTACTATATCTGAGATGTTCAAATGTTGCTACATCTGTCACGGAATAAAAACAACACGGAAAATGATATGAAAATTAAAAAAATTAAATTAAAAATTTAAACACTAAAGCGCGCCAAGTCGGGTGAAAGGAATATTTTTCTCATATATGTATAAGATAGATATATATAGTTTTTGTATTTATAAATTTGTATATATATAGAGACAGATAGCCGCGGGGCCGAAGGACAAAGCATTTGCATTTCATATCGCGTATACGCACCGTTGTCTTCTCCAGACATCGCAGCAAGTGGTGGTGCTGCAGCTCGAAAATGTCCTCGTCCCGATAGTTGTCATCCAGCTCGATGCCGGACTCCTGGGCAGCCCACCGGGCCTCGGCGGCCTTCTTCTTGCTGACAAAAGCGGCTCCGGACGAGGCCTTGGCAATCCGGATGCGCGCCAAGCGAGCTTTCTGCAAGGACATTTAACACACAATGAGTAAATGCGGGTGGCACTGCCATTTACTGGTGCAGGAACATTTTAATAGACTCTTCAACATGAACTTTTACCCTAATTAAAATAATTATTCTCCATAATATAAGGATTAAAACATGGCTGCCAATAGAAAATGTAGTTTCTTTACACTGGAACTTGGAAATATGTTACGTTTCATGTTATATTTACAAAATTATATGTTATATTTACAAAGTTATATTTAGCTCATAAATATTTCCAAGTGTAAACGTTTCAGATATTGTAGCTTACCCGCTGCGCCTTGCGCTTGTCTGCCCGCTGGTTCTGGTGATAGATTCTACTAAAGTTCGATACGATAACAGGTACAGGTAAGGCGATGACCAGCACACCGCTGAGCGAGCAGACGCCGCCCACAATTTTGCCAGCTATTGTCTCTGGCACCATGTCGCCGTAGCTGCAAAGGAAGGAAGGATGTCAGTATTATTATATGTATGAAGGAATGGCAAAAGCTAACAATGAAATCAAAATACAAGGATTTTGAAATACTATACCCTTGCATCGGGTAGCCTCGCATAATGCAACGCAGTCTACTGAAACCCTACATATTTTTTGAAAATTTTTCGTAAAATTCACGAACCCATTGCAATGGTCGAAAAATAAGACCCCCAATGGTATTCAAAGATGCCTATATCTTTACCAATATTCATCCGATTCTTAAGCAGAATACATATAACGGTTTGTATATCGATTCTCAATTAATTAGCTTTACTCCGAATTTTCTTTAAAATTGTTTGTAACATTTTTTGCACCCCCTTTTGAATTTTGAAATGCATAGGAGCCCCAAAAGGACCCCCAGCGAAGGCTATATCTTTAACATATCCACATCTTTGTCAATAATGAAGGATGTGATTCTTTAGCGGAATACCTTGAACGAATTATGGGTCAATTTTCTATTAATTTGGATCAAAATCAAAAAGCTACCTTATGTTTAAAATTTTTTGTCAACATTTCTGATGAGACCCCTTCCAAATTTCCCGAAATGCTTTAAACCCCCAAAAGAGCATCCAGGGCAGTCAATTTCCATCCGGTTTTAAACGGAATACCTTAAAGATTTTTGGTTTACTTCCATATTTTTCTACATCTAACACTTAACAAAATATTTGTTTCAACAATTTAAAAGTCGACTTACCCCAACGTGGTCATGGTGACAATGGTGTACCAAAAGGCCGCCGGAATCGATGTGAAGTTGGTGCCGTTGACGTTCTTCTCGGCGTAGAACATGACGGTGGCAAATATGATGATGGCCATGGCCAGCGAGAAGACCAGGAAGCCCAGCTCACTGGCGCAGGACTTGAGCGTGTAGCCGAGGATCCGCAGTCCCTGCGAGTGGCGGGAGAACTTAAAGATGCGGAACACACGGAACACGCGAAGCGTGACGAAGGCGCCACTGACGTCGTCATTGTCGGTGATGCCCAGGCCGATGTAGTAGGGCATGATGGCCACCACATCGATGATACTCATCACCGAGCGCACAAACTTGCAGCGATCGGGGGCGGCGAACAGACGGAGCAGATACTCCGCCGTGAAGATCATCACACAGGCGGTGTCCAGGCAGAAGAAGACGATCTTGTAGCGCTCACCGCAGGGCAGGGTACCCGCCCTGCCAGGACGATGGCCGCATGGCACCGTTTCCACCACGTTGGCCATCACAGAGACAGCGATAAAGAAGCCCGTCACGTAGTAGAACACCAAAGCACTTGTGGACGTGTGCGGATTCTCGAACGCCCGCCACATCTTCTGCCGGATATTGGTTAGCTGCTGCAGATTCTGATCCCCGTTCTCCGACAGCTTGTCATCCATCAGCCGCTCGGCGTTTTCCCGCTTCCGGTCCCTGTAGTCCTCGTAGCAACAATCCCCGATCACGTCCGGCATGATGCCGAAGAAGGCCAACTCCTCGTCGTAGCTGGTGAGGCATTCGTGCTTGGGATAGTGAAGCTTTCCCGTCCGGTAATAGTTCAATATGTGCCGGAAGATGTCCGGGTCCCGATCAAAGAAGTACTCTTTGCAGTCCTCATCATAGAAGAACTCCCTTTCATTGGAACCTGTTGGGAAATAATAAAAAGTTTAAGGATTTTACGATTTTATAGTTTTTAGATAGATTACCTAAAAGAGTATCTGGATATTTCTCCAGGGTATTTCGCCACGTTTCGAAGCGGCGGCCGGAGACGTTGATGAGGAGCTTCTCGTCGTCCGTCTTGCGGCGATCCTTGGGCATTGGCGGCGGTGGCAGTGGGTGGGTGGCTATCGGCACCCACCCGATGGCCGCCGCCCGGGCGAAGGGCAGCCAAGCGGCGACCGAGGCCATGCTATGGGGTGGAATGTTTCAGTGTCCCGGTTAACTCTAGTGATTCTCCTCCCTTCTCCGGTCTGGCTCCCTTTCAGCAGCTTCTCTTTATAATCTTCTTTTAAATTAATATTTTCTATATATGATTTGGCAGTTGATTTCGGGGATTAAAGGGGATTTCTTTTTCGGTTTCTGGGATTGGGGTAGGTTGGAGCTATGTCGATTAACTCCTATTTTAAAGCTTTAGCCCGCTGCTTTAGTTTCTTGTCTTCAGGCTGCATTTTCGCAGTGCCCGGCAAGCTGTGTTTTATTGCTTAAACTTATTGCTGTCATTTTTGTTTGGTGCTGCTGCCACTTTTGCTTTTATTGTTCACTGCGGGGATATGAAAAGTTTCCTGTGTGTGTCTATGCTTCGGTTGTGTTCATGTGCAGCACTGCAAGAAAATAAAGAAAAAAGTTGGAAGATTTTAAGTACAAGAGGACTTGTGGGATGGATATGATACAACGGGGCGTATGAGTGTTCTAATTCAAGAAAAAGTTTCTCCTCTCAGGCGCACAAAAATGCAATTTCAGTTGAAAGTTTTCTGACACTTTTCTCATCTAAAATCTGCAGAAACTACAAAAATCTTTAAGAGCTTCGATCAGCAATTTAATCTAATATTTCCATGAAATCAAAGAAAAAATGTGTTAAAAAAAAAACTAGAAACGTGTGGCAAACTAATTACCAATGTTAAATCAAATATTTTCATTTATTCTTTAAACAAATACTCTAAAAATCCAAAACAACACCCACAATTACACTTAAATACCACGCAAATTCCCAGAGGCCATTTAAGCCATGTGAAAAGTATTCTATTTGGGGGTCCGGTCATTGGAAAAATAAAAACACCCACATTTAATTTAGAAGCAAGCCATTGTTTGAAATTCACTTCAATCGAATTGTAAAGTTTATGGGGAATCCCGAATAGTATTCTATGCATTCGGCGGATTTTTCCGACTTTCTCATAGCATAAATATTATCATAAATCTGTGGGAACAACCCGCTCTGCCAAACACACACCCAGACATCATCGACCCACTCTTCAATTTCTCGCTTCACTTGTTTATATTATCCATTTATCCCCTCGCTCCACGCCTCTGCACATTTTCAATGATTCACAGCAACAGAAGCAGTGGCAGTGGTAGTAGCGTTGGCAGGGGGGTCGGTTCATCGACAGACAACGCCATTCAATGCGTTTTCGAGCAGCGCTCTGTCTAAATATTTAAACGAGGCAAACAGAATCGAACCCCTGGAGGGGCGGGCAGTCCCAGAAGGGGACTACCGTACTACCACCCCCGTCAGTATCTAGGAATATTTTAATGTGAACGACCAGAGGACGGTCTTCCACCCATCTGACCATGTCTGGATGGTACTGGTTTTTGGCCAAGATTCTTTATTCATTTCTGACTATTTTTAATAAAACATTTAGGTTCTTTTGTAGTTATAATGGAACATACATAACTTTTAATTATTATTGTGCTGTTTACATTAAAATGTAGATTTTAAAATGTTTCTATTAAATTATTAAAATGAGATTAAGATATCTTATAATCTGAAGAATATTTTCAATAGTCTAAACACTAAGTTATTTAAGCTAATGACGATCATGTACTCATCGAGTTTTTTTTTCTTTCATCCTTGATCAATAACCATAGCTTGTGCAATAATATAATCTTTAAAATTTTGCCACTGACATTTAAAATAACATTTGGCTATATTATTTGTGGAAACTGTGTGGGTGGCTTTGTGGGTTTTTTGCCGCTCGGCCAGTCGCACAACAAATTTATGTGCATTTATATAGTGTGTATAGACAGTAAACACTACGTTTCTTTGGCCACAAGTCATTTTCCAAACGACAATTAAAACGCAAAAACTTTTTGTGTCTGTCCTTCGGCCTTGCAAGATACGATAGACCACCCCCCCCAAGAGCACCCAAGCCATCTTGGAACTGTGACAAAAAGTCATTTGTTTCCATAAATGTCATGGCGTGGCATGGCTCTTGAAGTCTATATAATGTGTGTCTTTGATTTATATAATATTTATGGCTCTGTCTTTAGTTGTGTCACTGGCACGGCCACGATTGTTATTCTGGCCGAGAGTACATCGATTGCACTGCCCGAAAACTGATACCCAATCACACAGTATCGTGTGCAAAGGCATTTGCATATTTATAGGGTTTACACAGAGAAAAGAGGCTTGATCTTGATAATATTAGAATAGTATAGGTTTGAGCTCCATAGGTAAGGGCTTACAGGTGCTAGGATCTAAGTAATGGTAAGGATATTCCGCTTCTACAGACTAAAAAGTAAGGTTAGTTATATATTTCTCTCTCTGTAGGCAAACGTCTTAAAGAGGTCTACCTGGGGGTGTAAAACTACACAAGGGTGAAGTGGATGTTGCGTTTGTCATTTGGCGTTGCCATAACAATAGCCATTAGAAGTTATTAGTCGGTTGAATGCGAGCCACTAAGACACGACACGGTTACAAAAGGTTGTCGATAGGTGAAGGCTAAGGTTAGGCAAGGTTAGTCCATGTGATGGATGGGAATGGGTTTCAAGTTTGTACTCTGGATGGGTTGTTAAATGGATAGGATATCACATGCAAAATGAATATTATACGGAATCCTTTCGGATTGTTATTCTTTTACAAAATGATAACTGTTTTTCGTGACAATTTATTGATTATAGGATATTAAAGGTTCCTATTTTTTTGATCCTATCTATATATATGCGTTTTATTTTCCCCCAAAAAACCCGCGCACATTATGCCAACAAATTTCATGTCCATTAAGTGCTGAAGAGTCAAACAATCTGACAGTTTCAACCTTCTTGGATGTCCTCTTTCCATAGGCCACCTACCTCCCAAAGCCACCTACCAACCATCACCCACCACCCATCATCAACCCACGAACTATTCGACACCAAAGAGCCGCAGACAATGGGCTGGTGTCAGGCCTTAATGTTTTAATGCCACATTATCCTATCAACAATTTTCCACTATAGATTGACGTTCATCATAGTCATTGAATACAGACAAAAAAATTAATATATATTTAACTAGATATATATTATTTATGATTTTTATTAAGAAAAAATTAATTCTGTAGCATATATAATCTAATATTTATCAGATATGTAATACACAGAGATTTATCAAGTTCATAGCTGTTATACTATTTCCTTAAAGTAATATTGATTAATCTTATTTATTACTTGATTTTTTAGCTTTAATTCCCCTCAGTGTATACGTAGTCGTTGACCTTGCCTTTGTTGTTTCGCTGTGGACGAAATGGAAATTAATCAATGCCGTTTGCTTTGCTCTTCACTGCCCACCCAGCCTACCCGACCTACCACCTACAACCGCCCACAGCTCAGTGCTGACGTTGATGTTGATGTCTGGGTGTCGTTAGGCCATCCAATCCAAGGAGAACATCAACATCAACATCAGTAGCAGGAGCTAGGGCTGGAGCAGGATCAACGTATTCGGTGCGTGTTGTGTGCCATCAAAATAAATTGTCAAACATCAAATGTGGGGCCAAGGACGATGGACGAGGAGGTTGAAAGTCGACGGTTGTGACCACCTCTGCCTATCCCCGCCTGCCCTGCCGTCCAGCAGCCCGTGGAGAAACACCTTGGCGCCGACTGGGGTGCTGACGGTGACTTCCGCTTGGCTCCGAAACAAAAAAACAAAGGCGCCACATGTCCCTATTATATATTTGTTTCGTTCTTATTTTTTGCTCAGTTGCCCCCCTCACTCTCGGGCAGCATTAATTATTTGCACAGTTTATTTTAGTTTCGCTTGGAGAGGGGCTTCCTAATTATTTGCCAGTTAGTTGGCTGCCCTCGCCAATGCTTCGCTTCAAGGTTGCACCTTTTAAGAGGGGTGCGGAAAGACAGAGTTCCCCTCGCAGCCCAAAACAGTGACAACAAAACCCGTGCATCTCTCATCTCTCATCACAATAATGATGCGCATCCATCCAACCATCCATCTGTCCATCCATCCACACCTTATTCTCATCCACCAACATTGTGTAGCGTTTTTTTTTTTTCTTTTTTTTTTTTTTGAGTGGGAGGATTCGAACTTGGGGCTGGGATCTGCGACAGGCATTATAAACATTTCAATCAACGGATTTCGGATTCGAATTGAAAACGAAGGTGAGCGAAATGAACTTCAAGTTGGATTCCATTTATTAAACATTTTGTTGAAAGAAGTTCTTTGTTTGCCTTTGCTTTTGTTTGAATTTGATTAATATTCATTTTTTATTTACAATTAGACGTAGTAATCGGGCACAAAATATTTCTTTTTTATTATATACAAGTGAATGAACTTTTCTAAAATTCCATACTTTTTATGGCATAATTTTGATGTTTATAATATTATAACTATAAAAAATTACTAAAATATTGATGGTAATTTAAATGCTTTCAGTCTTTAAGAATAATTTTCTTTGAAGAATTCACTTTAATTTTCAAGACTAGTAGGAGGGTAATAATATTAAGATACTTATTTTTTTTTAAATATAAAAAGTTGAGGTAATTTCTAAATAATGTCTTTAAAATACTATACTGTACTAGAGTTTACTATACTTTCATACAGTGAATATATAATTATCTTTTGAAAACATTTCTTATATCTTTTTATGCTCTATAATTCAAAAATATATAATAACGCCCATTTTTCATAAAATCTCAAATCAAGAAAAGATTGCCACCCAGTTTGAATTCACATTTGTGTAGCATACTTATTTGACTTTTGACAATGAAATAACCATATCAATTTACACCGCCAGGCTAGCACATTCATTATCTATTAATGCGCCTTTCAGGGCATATCATCCTTGGCTGGCCGTATCGCTCGTTTTTTTCCACTCTTGTTTGTGCTTTCCGATGTCGGCGCGTCGTTTTTTTATGATTCTGTTTTTGTTTATTATAAAGTACAAACAGGCGGGCCAAACAACAACCCGGGCCACCCACCCAGATTCCGGATCCCAGATCCCGGCGCGGCTCGGCCCGGCCCGGCCCTCGAGACCGTTCCATTCAATTTGGGGGGCCCCAAAATGCTAGTTAGGCATTAATGTACAAAATACACGAGAAATCTACGGAAATCCTGTGAATTTTGTTTCCCAGCCGTTGCGTGGGTCTCCGTTATTATGATGCCTTGACTTTCTCCGTATGCCTTTCTCTCGCTCTCTTTCTCTCTCTATCTGTCAGTTAGCTTTCACCCACAACCCGCTAAAAAAGAAAGCGGAAGTTTTTTTAGGTGGAAATAAGAAGGAAAAAACCGATTGCAACTTTGAAGCAAAAATTCGAAACAAACAAAAAAATGAAACGTGAAATGGAAGAGTTTCCAGATCATAAACGCAATTTTATGGCCTGGTGGGGGCATTTCAATTTTGTATTTTTATTGACAATAAGTTAACAATGTTTACTTTTAGTTGTGTTTTGGGGCTATTTTTAAACAATCCCAACAATCCTCTAGCCCCCCTTCCGATAGACCGAAAATATCCGAAAAGCCCAAACGTTTTCACAACTGCTTTGAATTTCCTTCTTGGCCCTCTTTTGTTTACAAGCCATTTTTGTTTTTGTATGTTTTAATTTTTATTCCATTGGATTAATGAAAAATGAGAAATATGTACAAATGTGAGAAATGAGATAGAGAGATAGAGAGAGTTAGAGGGAGAGAAAGACTAAGAGAGAGAGTGAGACGTTCTCTGCGCCTGCTCATGGGACCCATGGGGGTTTTGGGGGCTCTGGGTTTTGGGTCTTGGGTTTTTGGGGTTTGGGGTTTGGGTTTTGGTCTTTGGGTTTTATGTTTCGGGTTCGGGTCGCCTTCGCTGTCGGCTCAACATCAAAAAACATTTCTGCCCGTTTGTCTCTGGGCCTTATGAGCATTTTATAATTTTCCTTATTGCCGCCGTAGCGCTGTGTTTTTACTTTTCTGGCTTGTGTGTGTCTGCCGCCGCTACGCTTAAGTAGAGGCTTATGTATCCTTCAGCCAAGAACTCAATTGAAGGTGTCTCCTCCCCAAATAAGGTGTCTATTTGGCAACCATTTCAAAGAAACTAATTTGGTTTAGTGCTACTGCTGCTGCTGCTGCTGCCTTTTCCTTGATGGAAATTAATTTGGTTTTATGAGCGATTTATTTCCAATTGCCGATGCTCTATAAATATCTCTGTTGCAATATGGACTATGGTTTATAGTATCATTGCATTTTGGGTCAGCAGATACGAATTTCCCCTCCAGAGCAGCTAATTATGTTTGTTTATGGACGCCGTGTCATAAATAATGTTTAATCCTTTATAAACATTCGTGTTTCTTTGCCATCAAACAGAGAACCTGCTTGATGGACCCATTAAGGCTGTTTCATATATAAAAACTTAATCGAGTCACTTAATCATTAATTGCTAATGAATTAAATATTTTATTGCCTGTAAATCCGCTCAAAAAATGGCCACAATAATTTCCCATCATTATTATTGAAGCGTAACCAATTAAAATGCACCCAGTCAGAAATATTCGTTAATTTCAAGCATATTTTTTCATTTGAATGGCCAACGCTGCGTATGCGTATTATTAATTTAAAGCATTGCTCATACGTCATGTTGCGCCAGAGGACAGAACAAGAAAAGGATACCCACCGCGTGCTACCCACAACAATTCGATTACAAGTTGATTTATTATTTAAATTGCGTGTACCAAGCAAATATTGGCAATAACAAGGAAAAGGGGAATTCTCCGAACTGTGAACCGACGAGAGGGCTCACCTACACAAAAAGAAATCAAACAGAGCCTGGAGACTAAGCATAAAATATGTATTCAACCATCCTGTAGATACTTTTATCAGTGTACAACTTTTGGCTTACATAATGAAGGAATGTTGACCGCTTCTAGCTGGTCGTGAGTTTCATTTTGCTATTCAAATTAATTGCAAAACTCATAAAAAACTTTAGAGACTCGTGCTTATCAGTTGGCCAGCATCGCCAGCTGTAACGGTTGCAATCTACTTGGCCCACTCCATCCAAGCCCCCAATCCCCGAAAAAACTTTTGCCCTGATGGCCCTGACAAGCAGAAAATCAGGAGCGAATAAAGTGTGGTGGAGTGGGCCGAGCGAGATCCAAAGGACGTGCAAGTGACCCGAAGAGCTGTCGGTCCATATCCTAGGCCGCAGCGAATTTGTGGGTGGAAAACGGTGGAGTGGCTGGCTGGCTAAGGCCAATGGCGTAATTTATGTAGGCCCGCTAAGCCTTTCCATGCGTGAAATGTGATTATATCTGCGTATAAATACGCATACAACTGTGACCACGTACGGTTGAAAGTGTGGGTGGTTATTTTGGACGGGATATATACGGGATACATGTAACACATATATGTTTATATAGATTATAGTGTGTGGATAACCAGGGTCGCACAAAAGATTTTAAATTATAATAGTAGCCCAAATAACAAGTATAGAAGCTGGCATTCAAAGAAAAATATACTATACGAGAGTCCTCCCTAAAAAAAAAACTCTTTTAATAATATTTATCTATCCAGTCATAAATAAGAAAACCGACTGAAGACTACAATGAAATCCCCTTGATAATTGCCCACAAAGGCAATATTTCTATAGGAAACTGAGCATAAACCACCAAGGATCAAGATGAAACGAGGAAGAAAACTATCCGAATTGAAATACCCAGGGGCTTAAGGACAATATGCAGTCGGTCGTTAACCAAATCCGATGATAACAAAACAACAGCTGCAATGACAGGACTCGGCTGGCTGCGCTGCGCTGCTATTGCTGCTGCTGCATGGCTGCTGCGCTGCTTTTGCTGCATTAAGCGCGTCATCGCACAAACACACGCACACCCAAACACTCATACTCACGCACTGGCACAGGGACAAAAGGTTTGTTGTTGCGCCAAAAACCAAGCCAAGGATTTTTCGCACATTTACGCCAGCAAATGGACTAAAGCTATTGCGCTGAGAAAAAATCTTAGATAAATGTTTAATGTAAGATTTAGAAATAAAATAGACATTTCTAAACTTTATTTGAAACCTCTCTTCTGAAACATACATAATGCATAATGCAATGGGGCGTATACTTAATATTTGTAAATGTTTATTTAAAAAAAAAAGCACAAGTGTTAGATTTTAAAGGTAAACAAATACAAATACCACAAGGAAATACTTTTTTTTTTAGTTAAGTATCTATAATCCCTATCCCATATAAGACAATGACAACAGGGCGTATGATTAATATTAAAGTTTATATGAAGAACTTAGAGATAAAGACTAAAAACTAAACAATACCCACAAAACTAATATAGCTTATAATTATAAAAAATTTGTGCAGTGTCCTGCTGCTCTTTGCTGCCCCATTCTCTCTTTCTCTCCTACAGACGACCTTCACTCTTATATGGCCAACCTTTTTTTTTGTTTGTTCTACACTTTTTTGAATAACTTTTTTGCTCTGGCCCGCTGCTGGATAAATTAATATCATAAGTGCGGGTACTAGGGGGTATTTGACTAATGTGTGGAGGCGGCTTTAAATAGGCCAACTATGCATCAGTGGTCGCAGCTGCAGCAGCAGGAACAACAAAAACAACTTGTTGTGTTGCATGCCAGCCACGAGGTGCAATTAAAAAATGGTTTTAAAAGCTTTAGCCACTTAAAAAGGACATGGACTGTTAAAAAAGATTGTAGATATTAAAAATATCCATTTTTTTTTGTGTTTTTTTTTCCAATTTTTTTGTGCGGCTGTTGTATTCTTGGGCGAGCAGCAGCAGAGAGAACAACAACAGCAACATTCGCGGATACACACATTTTCACAAATCAAAAAAGCAAACGAATATTGCCACACACACTCCCACACACACACACATACTCCTACCCACACATACACATGGGCAAGAGAGACAGACAGGAGAAAATCTCTCGCAAGCCGCTTTTTATGGATTTTCTGGGCAGGCAATCTGCTTTTTCTGATGTTTGATTAAACAATTGTTTTATGCCTTAATATTTTTAATATTGTCTAAATACATGCGTTTTTGTTGATGATCTCTCGACCATGTTCTGCTTCTTAAAATCTGCGGAAAATTGTTTAGCTCACACACACATACGCTTTTTCGGTTTATTACATTTTACACTTGTCGCCTCTTACACTAGATTCCGCCACCTCCTTGCTCTTTCTCCTTCTCCTCCGATCCGCTAGCCGCACATTTTTCTCCGCACTATTTCAGACACTCCGTGTACATTTTCTCATCAGCTTTTTGGCTTTTCTTTTTACTTTTTGCTTAACTTTAGCTCGCTTTTGGCCAAATTTGAATTTACAATTTTCTGTTAGCCTGCTGCACGCACGATGGCCAAAAAGCTTGGCCCAAACTGCGTCCCGCTGGCTGAAAGCGCTCAACTCTTTTGGGCGCTGCTCTGAGTTCAAACGTTCTCGACAAACTGAAAGTGAAAATTGAAAACGACAGAAAGGCAAAAAGCGCCAGCGCCTCCGACCCTCGCCATCCGAATCTGAATCCGAATCCGGGACACTAGAAATACATATGCTCTCGGAGTCGGCGCACTGCCCGGAGCAAGTGGTGGCCACTGAAACAGAACAGATGTTGCTACTGCTGCTGCCTTTCGAAAGCGGTGGCGGGCGTGAATGAGTTCTGATAAAATATTTATTGCCAGCACAATGCCAATTGCTTCTGAGTTAACAAGTTTCTGGGTAATGTCACAAGGATATAGCACAAATCAATCCAATTATTTTTTACTAAGGGGGTAATGTGCATAAATAGGTTAACAAAAAATATATTATTTCTTACCAATACCGATCCTTTTGAAATCTAAAGGATTATATTTTTAAAGAAATCTTTATATTTGATGCCACATATCAAGAATGAGTTCAATGACAAGTTCATTGAATTATATTTTGTTTTCCAAAATATGCATCCTTATCAAAAGCCTTATCTTTGTCCCATTCTTCTTCAAAAACAAAAGCCAAAAATTCACTGATTTATTATTTATTGACTTGCTATTAAAATAAAATCTAACTTTGAGTTTACAAATATCACTGAATATCTATCAAGGATATGGCGCATGTGCACATGCCAGGCAAACAAGGTTTTCTCACAAAAGGGAACTAAAGCAAGGGTCCATCGACCTTTTGAGTTTCAGTTTCACAATTTAACTAATCGATTTAAGTTTAAGTTTTCAAATCTTCCCAAAAATCAAACTGAAATTCAAAACACCAAATGGAAAATAATTAAAGGAGAGGCACTCCTTAATAAGTTGTATGCCATTTCATCTACTTTGTGGCTGGAGCGGCTTTAGCATCGGGATTCGATTCGTTAAACTGTTTGTGCCACTCCAAGTTCATCTTGGTAACAGATTCTCCTCGTTTGGCGGCCTGTTTTCCACTATAAATCATGATCGCACAACCAATGGCCGTTAATCCAATCATGATGTTGGCCAATCGTATGCGCATTTTGTTCCGACAACGCTCCATCTCATCCTGGCTGATAATTATAATAATAATGTTTGATAACAACCTGTTGCAATCCAAATTGATGGCCTTACTCACCTCACAAAACTTGGAACCTCCGCCTGGGACTTGTATTTGCCGCTCCATACCAACATCTTCCTCTCGAGATTGTTGGGTTCGTGGTTTTTGATAGTTTGTCGCATCAGTTGGGTGGTTCCAAAGGAACGGCGCACCATGGCCCCTACCATCGCAGCTTTGTTAAACATTTTAAATACTTTGTTGATTTCCGACTGTAAATATAGCAATCCACCGGAATTTTATGCAATTGACTAGGGTTGTCAATATCAAAACAAAACACAATATATCGATATTATTATTATAAACATGATATCGAAACTAAACTAATTCTTTCTTTTATTTTATTAAAAATACTCTGTAAATATTTAAGACTAAACGGTGTTAGGCAAACGAAGACTTTTATAATTTGGTGCTTTAAAACTAGAAGTAAAATATTTAAAATCGATTAATCAAAAATCAAAACTTGGCGCCTTTCTACGAAAAAGCTTAACATCACTGTTTTTCAGTGTTTTTAAACTCTGACCACCTGGAGACTTGTGCTTCTTCTTCCAACCCCCTTCTTAATTTCGCTTGTGGTGCTGAAGTCGGGAAAATTATTTTATCCGGCTTGCCACACGGTCAAATAGCGATTTTTCCATCAAGGTCATCTGAGAGATCCTGCCGCCACCCACCACAAAGGAATCCCCAAAGATGAGCGAATACACGATCATTCTGCAGCGAGAGTTCCCCAAAATCGACTCGGAGCTCTTGACATACGTTGAGGGAGTGCTTTCTGGAAGCGAGGAAGACTTCGAGACCGGCGACGATGTCTTTGATGCAGTGGGTGACATCCTGCAGAGCGTGGATTGTGACCGGCCTGAGGAGAGTATACGGGAGCTGTGCGACCAGTTCCTGAACATTATGAAGAACAATGGGGTCAGCGTGGAACGCAAGGTTCTCAATGCACCCGTAAACATTGCTGAGATGGCCAAGGATATGGCACGCCTGGACAAGGACATGCAGAGCATCTGGGTGGTCAACAAGGACGGTGGAAACGTGAGTAAAGATTAGCTGCTTAACAAAAAAAAAAATATAAGCCATTTATTCAACTATTTTAGAAAGTGGATTCTAAGAAGCTGGAAAAGGCAGAGGCCAAGCTTCAGCAGAAGCAGGAGAAGCGGCAGGAGGTGAACAAGCACGGCATGATTCCCGTTGCAGTTAAACTGCAGACGGCAACGGCTTCCCAGGTGACCAACAAAAAGAACACTAAGCTGGACCAGAAGGGCCTCAACCGGTCCATGGACATCAAGATTGAGAACTTCGATCTGGCCTTTGGCGAAAAGTAAGATAACGTTACAAGCTAGAAACACAGATCTTAACAACTTGGTAATGTCCTTCAGGGTTCTTCTGCAAAATGCAAATCTTCTGCTTTCCTTCGGACGGCGATATGGACTGGTGGGTAGAAACGGTCTGGGCAAGACCACTCTATTGAGGATGATTGCCGAGCGGCAGCTGCAGATTCCCTCCCACATTTCGGTCCTTCACGTGGAGCAGGAAGTTGTGGGCGACGATACGGCAGCCGTGGACAGCGTTTTGGAGTGCGACACAGAACGAACAAGGCTGCTCGCCCGCGAGAAGGAGATCCTGGCCGCCTTGAACAATGGAGTTCAGGATGCGGCGCTTTCCAGCGAGCTGAGTGAGACATACGCTGCTCTACAGAACATTGAGGCGGATAAGGCGGTGGCGCGGGCATCTGTGATACTGAAGGGATTGGGTTTCGACGCGGATATGCAGCTGCGACCGACGAAATCTTTCTCGGGTGGGTGGCGCATGCGTCTGGCGTTGGCGAGAGCTCTCTTCTCCAAGCCAGATCTTCTCCTGCTCGATGAGCCGACGAACATGTTGGACATTAAGGCCATCATTTGGTTAGAGAATTACTTGCAGTCGTGGCCAACCACGATACTGGTTGTCTCCCACGATCGTAATTTCCTCGATACCGTGCCGACGGACATTATTCACCTGCACTCTCAGGAACTGGAGGCTTACAAGTAAGTACTTTAAATCCATACACCGAATTGGTAACAAAATTATCTTATCTTCTCCAAAAGGGGAAACTACGAGCAATTCGAGAAGACCAAGACGGAGAAACTGAAGGCCCAGCGCAGGGAATATGAGGCTCAAATGGCTCACAGAGCTCACGTCCAGGAGTTCATCGACCGCTTCCGTTACAATGCGAACCGCGCCTCATCCGTACAATCCAAAATTAAGATGCTCGAGAAACTGTAAATGGAAGCTCCGTTTGTTTGTGAATCTATGATTATGTTACCGACCATTTCAGGCCTGAACTCAAGCCCGTGGAAAAGGAGACTGTGGTAACGCTCAAGTTTCCCGATGTGGAACCCCTTAACCCTCCCGTTATGGCCATTTCGGAGGTCTCCTTCCGCTACAACCCGGAGGATCCACTGCCCATCTTCAAGGGCGTCAATCTCTCGGCTACCTCGGACTCCAGGATCTGCATAGTCGGAGAGAACGGTGCAGGCAAGTCCACGCTCCTAAAGATCATCGTGGGCCAACTTAGCACCATACATGGGAACATTGTAATGCACCGAGGATTGCGAATCGGCTACTTCGCCCAGCATCACGTGGACCATCTGAACATGAATGTGACATGTGTGGGCGTCTTGGCGGAGCTGTTTCCCGGACGACCCGATGAGGAGTATCGGCGGCAATTGGGCAGTTTCGGAATATCGGGTCCACTAGCCCTGCAAAGCATTGCCAGCTTGTCCGGGGGACAGAAATCGCGTGTGGCCTTAGCAAAGATGTGCATGGGTAGGTCTATTCGATAAACAAACAAAACATTTTCAATTGAAATGAATACTTTGTAGCGGAACCCAACTTCCTGGTGCTCGACGAACCGACCAATCACTTGGACATTGAAACAATTGACGCTCTTGGCCGAGCAATTAATGACTTTAAGGTATAGCGCTGCGTAGTTACTTGTCGTTGTCATTTTATAACCATTTTCTTATATTTTTATTAGGGCGGCGTCATTCTGGTTTCTCACGACGAGCGACTCATCAAGGTCATTTGCAAGGAGCTCTGGGTTTGCGGCAACCGCACCGTCAGAGCCATCGAAGGTGGCCTGGATGAGTACAAGCGGGAGGTGTACAAGGAAATCGAAGCTAATAGTTGAATTTAATGTTTATATTATTTGCCCTCATTATTGTGAAACAGCTTAGCAATAAATTTAACTAATGTGAAACACAAAGCTTGATTTAAATCAATTGATTCAATTGAAATATTGTTAATAGAACAATTATTTTTGTGAAATACTTTTTATGGCTTCAAGTTTCAGGCTTCTCCTCCCTGCTTAAGACCATCTCCCGACTGCTGATATAGTTTCCTTCGCAGTTCAAAGAGCAACAGCGTGAGAGCAGAGGCCACATTTAGGCTATCGATTCCAGCTGCCAAGGGTATGTAGACGCACTTTCCCTTTCCTCCAACCAGGTTCTTGAACCTAAAAATGCATTTTAATTAAAACTCAAAACTTTACTAGCTTATGTGGCACTTTTTCTCCTACCTGTAAGCAGCCTCACTGACTCCATGGCTCTCTCCACCAATTATCAGAAAATTTTGAGCTCCTACATCACTAATATCGGCATAATCGATGGTCTCGTGGCTCTCCCGCTTCTCCAGATTGTTCTCCGCTATGAACACGCGACAGTCGTTTGAAACCTCCGGGGGTACGATGTTGGCCAGCTCCTCCCAGGTCACGTCATCCAAAATGGGAATCCTAAACTGTCCGCCGCAGCCTCCTCGTAGGGCCTTTGACTCCCAAGGGTCGCAACAGCCGTGGGTAACTACCACCTGGCTACATGGAAGGGCTGCACAGGTCCTGATGATGCTGCCCAGGTTATTGGGCTCCCTGATGTTGTCACACACCACCGTTACAGGCAAGGGTTTAGTGCCCGCTCGCTCTTGCTCCGCCAGGTTGCTTTCCAAGCCCTTATCCGAAGGGCGATCGAAAATGGCCATTAGACCGGGAGGGGTTACCAGCGAGGACCAGGTCTTAAGATCGTGTTGCGGGACCTTGTAGATTTTTGATCCAGTTTCCTTTTGAGCCTTTCCCACTTCCTCCTTCACCAAAGCCAACTGATCTTTCTGGCTGAAGAGGAGAGTCTGCATTGTGAGACCGCATTGCAGGGCCTCCTGAATGAGGCGTCGGCCCTCGAGGATGATCTGCCGATTTTTGTCACGACGCTTCTTGGACCGTACAGTAGTTAACAGGGTGCTGGTCAGTGGATCTTGGAGCGTGAGACGCACAAACTCCAAATTCAGTTCGCTGTCTTTGATGATCGGAGCAGGAGGAGTATGTGTTCGAGGAACATTGAACTTGGGAGGATCCACGGCTGCAGTGAATTTTGGAGGATTTACTGGCGCTTCTCTCTTATGTTCCTTATTCTTCTGGATTCCAAGCGACTTGGAGCGGTTCTTGCGTAAAGCCTCCCGCGTGTTTACCGGCTCATGCTTTTGACCAGAATTCCCAAACAGATTGGCCTCAATCTCCAGGGCATCCTTGACATCGCCATGGGTACTGCTGGAGCTTGCTCGGAAAGTATTGGAGCTATTCTTTGTGTATAATATTTGTCTTAAACTCGACTGAAGCGAGCGTTTTAAGATGTTGTGAAACATGTTGGACGAAAGTGAAACAGATGATTGCTCCTACATGGGCGTAGTTCATATTTAAGATAATGGGATACTTTTTCAAAGGAAAATTCTCAATCCTTAATTATAATTTTCATATAGTAGTACTATAATTGCAATATAATAGAATGAATTCAGCTAGTTCTTTTTAAAACTATTCAATATTAAACCCTTTTGACCTACGCCCCCTTAACCAGTGTTGGAAAACAAAGCCACAGAATGGACTTCACAGAACTGCAAAACCTTGCGCGCGACATTTAAAACACTCGAAATGTAATGAAAAATATACTTTTTATTTCAGTTTTAAAATTTGTGTTAGCAGTTAATAACAATTTCAAAATAATTAAAAACTAATAGCGCAATGAGTCGTCCAACAGGGCTGTTGACATAGTTCAATATTTCAATAGATCAATAATAAAATACAATAATTTAAAATAACAATGTAAAATTAAAAGGTCTTTCGAGTGCAAAGACTAAAAGTAGATTGTATAGTATCATGATAAAACAAGGTTAATATTGAAATGCAATAAACAATTAAAAACATAGGAAATTCATCTAAAAAGGTGCTTCATCCAGTGCAGTAAATACAATATATAAATAAATTCTTAGAGTATCCGTAATTCGTAATCTGTTCCATCTTAGCCGAGTTCGGAGGCCTTCATTTCACGAAATTTGTTCATAACAATGTACCATCTAGAATTACTACTATCACCGTTACTTCTTACATGGCTAGGGGGGTTACTTGTTAGATGAAATTCCATAAATATTAAGCAATGCCTCTAAAATATCCGCGTATATACAGGGCTTAATCTATGTGCTGGCTAAATATGTTGGGTAGAACAGTTGGAGCTGTTGTTGCCGTTGCCGGATTGCTGCGTCTTCCGCTGACGAGCTCCTCGTCCGGACAGCAGGTACGACAAGTCGATTGGTTGCTCCTGGGCGGTCTGTGCATCGAGACACTTGAGCTTCATGGTTATGAGAACGTTCTCCAAGCGGGAGCGCTTCTTTTTCAGTATCTGTAAAGGATTCATTTAAAATAAATAGAAATCGAACTGGTGAATGGTGAAACCTAATCCCTCACCTGTCCATTGGGCGCCACTGGTTGCAAGACCCGTACTGCCGATGAATCCGATGTGACCGCGTTGATCCCACGTTGCTTCCTCCCAGCCGCTTTTTGTTGCTGCTGTTCCTGCCGGCCCGGCGTCTTCTGCGCCGCGGCTGGAACGCCTCCTGCTACTTCTAAATCAGTCTTTTGCCTCCGTGTTTTAAGCAACGAAGGATCCACATCGTGTGGCTGAAAAATCATTAAAAGAAACCATAAGGACCTTGTTAAAATTTCAGAAATGTTCTCAACTCACCGCATAGCTCTTGGATATCTTTAGTTTCTCGGGAAACTTTCGGAAGGCATAGCTTTTGGTGCATGCCGGGTGATTGGCCTTCGCTTTGGAGAAGAACCTGGCCGTCTTGTCCACTCGCAGTTCGCAAATATAGCAATGATCCTCGTCGGTGCACTCCATGGGGCGGCCCTTACAGAAGGTGGTGCGATCCAGGACCCAGCAGCGTCCAATGACGAGCTCAATGGGCACAACTTCGTAGAGGGAGACACGCACCACTTCGTTGGGATAGAAGCGACGCGAGGGCTCGTGGAAGGTCTCGTGCGGCCGAAGGAAGTGGTGACCGAAGATGAAACGCTTCCCGGTTTCGTTCTTCCACAGGTGTTCGACCCGAAAGATGTCACACTCCTGGTAATCAATGGCTCCGATGGTCTCGTAGGTGTGCTTCTTGGTGGGCAGCACTTTGCCAGCCTCGTCCTTGATGGGAATATCGCGCAGAACATAGACGGCATCTCCTTGACGCACCTGCAGGTCTCCACGCATCAACGAGAGGTAGTAACGATGTCCTTCTTCGGTGAACTCTTCCAAGGGAATCTCACGATCCACCTCCCGCGGCTCGCAGCGCTCGCATTGGTAATTGTCCGCATCGATATCCGCTTTGGTGCATTCTGTGTGCTGCCACACCATGCACTTGGCGCACTGAATCATCAGGCCTTCGTCCTTGTACAGCCCACATATGCAACGGATCACATCCTCTTCGCTGGATCCCACAATGGGGGGCAGGTCATTAATGGGTATAGATGGCACTATGGGAGGAGGCGTGGCTTCTCCGGCTCCTGGGGATTTTTTCAAATCTTTCTGCATCTCCACTATCGGAACCATCAGCTCCTCCTCCTTTGGCTTGAAGCTTTGCAGAGATTCGGACTCGCCCAGTATCTCCACCAGCTGGGAGTAGCTGGCCGTCTTTTGCTGCTCGTAGCACTCCATGAGGGACTGCAAGGCCTTGGCCTTTCCCTCGTCGTCGCCATGCTGTTGCTTGGCGTCCGCGAAGAGCTGCTGCATGTGCTCGTCGTATTCCTGGGGCGTCTTGTAGTGGCCCTGCTCGACCTGAGCCTGTATGGACCGAAACTCCACGCGACCCGACCCAGCCGACGACCCGGGTTTGCCGCCCAGCGAGGTCTTCATGGCCTTCTTTTTCTTGCTCGACACAGTCGTCAGGAGGTCGGACATTTTCCGTGACTCCAGGGTACTACAAATGTCCCTCAACACCACGGCCATCTTGGCCATCTTCTCCAGCTCCGGGTCTTGGACGGCTTGGGCCAGTCCGCGGGTCTTCATGTTGCGCGGAGTGCAGAGCGCGGAGATCTGAGTGGCCAGCAGCGAGGTGGAGGATGGCGTGGACGGTCTTCGTCCTGGAATATCACCATTCGTGGCACCGTGCACTGGAGACGAGGCAGAAGCAGTCAGAGCTGATGAGGCCTGGGCGGCAGCTCGTCTGGCCTTCCACTTGCGGATCTGAAGATGAGGTTTCATTAGCTAGGATTAAAAGTGGATAATGGTATGGTATGGACTCACCTTCTCGAAGTTCCTGACCAGGAAGGTATTAAACTGCTTGACTAGCTTCTTCTCCTTGTCGGACAGAGGCTGCATTTTGGGCACTGTCACTGCCGAGGCCGTGTCCTTGGCCGGTGCCCGCTGCTGCTGGTGTTTCTTGGCCTTGTGCTTCCGCTGGCGACCGTTGCGGCCGGGGGAACTCTCCGATGGCTTTGCCTCCGCGGCGGGCAGGGGCTTCACCCGCTGCGACTTGCCGCCAATGACTCCGCGGCACTGCGGCATTCCGCACCGGCAGGGCTGGCCCTCGGAGGGATTGAACAGCGAAAAGTTGTAGTCGTAGGTGAGTTCCTCGCCCTGGGCGATGGCTCGCTTGGCGAAGAGCACCATCCGCGACAGGCCGTTCACGCTCCACTTCTGCATCTCGCAGTTGGGCTCGCAGGAGTGGTTCACGAACCGGCAGTCGCTGCCCATCCTCTGGCCGTCGATCACCAGGCCGCCGTCCAGGTGGAGGCAGTAGTGGTGGGTGTCGTTCAGGTAAATGCTGGCCATTCGCTGCTTGAACTCCCTCTCGGTGACCACCTCGCCCACGTACTCCAGGATGTAGGTGCCCTTGGCAATGGGCAGCTTGGTCCGAACCCCCCACCCCTTGTCCACCGTCATGAAGCGCTCCACTCCGGGCGCCACCTCGTGCCGCTGGATCTTCTGGTTGCGGCACTTCTCCGCCGCAGGGCAGTTGCTGGGCGAGCACTCGGTGTACACCATCCGATTGAGGCAGTTGTCCTGGCACGCGTTCTCGCCGTGGTTCTTGCAGTTGCAAGTGGGATGGTCGAAGCCGGCCAAGTTGGGACGCACCGACTCGGCGTAGACGTTTGTCCGAATCTTCCGGTAGTTCCAGGAGGGCACCACATGCCGGGTGGGCAGCTTGGAGTTGGTGTAGGCCCACCAGATGTCGTAGGGCAGCTCGAAGTCGATCTCACTCCGCCGCAGGTACTTCTCGCAGTAGGGCGGCGGCGGAAGAAGGCTGGCCGGGACCACCTGCTGATCCTCCGGCGCCGGTTTCTTGGTCACCTTCGCGGGGGGCGGCATGAGCGACTGCTTGTAGTGGTTGGAGAAGAGCCCAGCCACCAGGTAGGTCTTCTTCACCTTGGAGAGCTTCTTGGTGGAAAGAGTGGATGCCTTATCCTCGCTGGTGTCGCTGCAACTGGCATAGTCGAATGGCACGGGATTGAGGGACTCGCCGGCGGGAAGAGGATCGTGTTCCGTGGGAATGCTGTCCAAGCGCTTGGCCTCTGCCTCGGCATCGATCTCCTCCTGGCTGGCGGTCACTTCATCCTCCACCGGCGTGACACTCGCGGCAGGCTTGCTCTTGATGGTTCTGGATGGCTCTTGGACTGCGTTCATGTTCTTCCTCCGCTTCAGCCGAATCTTGCAGCTAAAGTTCGTGTTGGGATCGATGCCAGCCGGAAGCTTAATGTTGGGTTGCAGTCTGGTCTTCGTGGGTTGCGGAGGCGGAGCTGGAGTGGGTGGCGGGGGAACCACTTCTACGGGCGGCTTCTTGGGATGTCGACCTCGTTTCTTGGCGACCTTCACCTCAGGCTCGGGCGGCGGCGGTGGCGGCACTGCAGTCTTGTCCTTGGGCTTCCTACCCCTCGGTCTGCCCCTGGCGGGAGTTTGCGGCCTTTGAAGCCTCTCCAAGGCCACCACCGACAGGCGGGGAGTGCGCTGATTGCTCCTCGCCACAAAGGTCTCCCGCGCTTCGCCTGCCTGGGGCACTCTTTCGCAGTCCATGGGAGGATTGGGAGCGGGCACCGGCACCTGAGCACTGCTGGAGCTTCTGGTCTCCCGTATGGACTGCAGTGGCTCGTCGTCGGGATCCGGTTCTGGCGCGGGTTCTTCCATTATCGCCGCAGGCTGCTGCTCCACACTGACCTTCCTCTTCTTCCGCCGCACGGTTGGGAATCCCGTGCGGTTGATCTTCTTCCGCTTCCGCTTCAGCAGCAGGTTGCCACCCGTTTTGTGGAGCAGGGACTCCACCACCCGCTGGCCAATCTCCTTTTTGGTGTCTTCTTTGATGTCCAGGGCCGACAGGAGTGGTGACTCGACCTCGGCCTTGGTGATGACCGATTCGTTGAGCTTTCCGATGGGTATCTGGATCTCCAGCTCGACGGACGGCTCGAAGACTCCAGGCGGCGGATAGCTGCCGGCCGGAGACGGCATCTGAACCAGCTCCCTGGTGGCGATGGCCTTCTGCTTGCCGCCGCCCACTCTTCTCTGCTGCTTGAGGGAGCACAGTGAGCTGGGACTGATGTCCAGCAGCTTGCCACCGCTTATGGAATTGTTGTCAACGACGATCCTCAGAGGGGAGTTGCTGGCGGACGATGCCCCCTGCCTACTGCCCGGCGTGGGTTGCTCCAGCAGATGCCGCTTCTTGGGAGTCAAGGCGGACTTCGCGCTCTTGGCGTTGAACTGCGCCTGGGACTTCGTGGATGCAGTGCTCTTCGCCGCCGCCGCAGCTGCCGCCCAAGCTTCTGCATTCAGCTTTCCATTCGCGAAGGCCGTCTCCGCCAGCGGACGCTCCCCCGGGGTCAGCAGGTAGTGGCGCTTCTTGAGCGGCAGCTTGTGGTCGTCCGGACTGGAGCTGTCGTTACCCTGGGACTTCTTGTGGCGACGCTTGGCTGTTCCGGTGCTGCTTCCACTGCCATTCGGAGCTCCGCTAGCGCTGGCCGAGAGCATTGCAAAGTCCACCAGGGGTTCGCTGAGCTTCCTTTTCTTGAGGCCCCGCTTGACAGGCTTGGGGAGGGGAGCTGCCAGGGCTCCCATCCCGCTACTCCCGCCTCCGTTGAGGACCAACTGTTGGGCGGGACTGGGCGCGGCCAGGGTGGCCTGCAGCTTGTTGGCATCGGCCATGAGCTTCTCCTTGCCACTGCTGCCGGTCAGGCGGTCGTCCTGGATGCGACACCTCGTGTGGAAGGTGCTCGTGATGATCTCGATCTCGGTGAGCAGCTTGGAGTCTATGTTCAGGGACTTGTTGTGACTGAAGCTCTTCCGGCGGTGCCGACGCCGCACTCTGGACATTCCGGACACATAACTGCTGCACATGCTGGCCGCCGAGGATCGCCGGGACTTAATCTTGCAGGAGGACTTGCTGGGCGCCGGGGTCTCCTTGCGCTGGTTCATCATCTTGCTGATGAAGTTCTCCGGATTCGTGGCCGTCAAGCTGCCGCCTCGCCCGAAGTACTGGCCCGTGGTGATGTAGCGGTTGATCTCCCCATACTTCTTACTCGCGCTCGTCGTGGGCAGGCTCTGGAGGCTCGGCTTGCTGATGTACTCGTTGCTCTCCTCGCTGCTCTGGCCGAGCGATAGCCCCGCCAGCTGGAGGATGTCCTGGTCTTCAGCTGGATCGTCAGCGGCGGTCTTCAGGAGCATGGAGGCCCGCCGCTTCCTTCGCAGTCTCAGGCCGGACTTCCCCGACTCCTTGCAATCGCTGCGGTAGCCACAGCTCTTGGCCCTGCTCCTGCGGCTCATACAGCTCTTGGTGCTGTAGCGGCTCTTGCAGCTGGCATCGGACTTGTAGCCGGAATTGTGGTTGTGGGCGCTCCTCGGTTGCCGGACGCTGCCATAGTCTGAGACGTAGCCACTCTTGGCGGCCAGTATCTTGCTGCAGATGGTGGTGGCGCCGCCAGTTGCACTCGCCGCTCCCACACTCATGCTCCTCAGCCTGAACTTCTTGTTGACATCTATTTTCCGCCAGAGGGGATCCAGCTGGAGCTCCTCCATGTTGCTGGAGCTTGACGTTGTCTTCTTGTTGTTCTGGCGCCGCTTGCTCCTCGGCGGAGGGTATAGCACCCGCTCCGTGGCGTACATTCGCTTGTCCAGGTAGGCCATGTCGATCTTCGGTTTGCTGGAAGTGGAAGCCACTGGCGCAGCTCCAGCGGGGATAGTTTCGCTTTGCATTTTGGGCGACGGCGTGGTGCTCTGCGTAGTGCTGGTGGTGCTGATTACACCCGAATCTGCGGATTCATTGATGGCAGGTCCTGAGTTGGCAGCGGGCAACGTGGCGACCACCTTCTTGGGTCTGCCCCTCCGCTTTCGGGGAGTAACCGTCTGCACCACTGCTTCCTCCTTGGCTTTAACGACGGGCTCCTCGGGGAGCTTTGAGTTGGCCGGGAGCTGGCCCAACATCTGCGTCCTCTCCATGAAGTCTTGCAGCAGCGTGGACTGGTAGCGCGGCAGGTTCTTGGCCTTGGCCGCCTTGCGGAAGCTTCCCTCGACTGTTGTGTCCTCCGTATCGCTCTCCACGCGGTTGATGGCCGCCTGGACGAGATTGGGCAGCTCATTGTCGCTCGAGGAGATGCCAATGTCCAAGCAGGGCTTCTCAATCGACTGTGCTGCCTGACTGATGGCCGTGAGCAGGAGTCGCGGCGCTCGCTGCTGGTGTACCTTCAGCGGCAGATCGTCTTCCGAATCCGAGGTGAAGCCCCCGACCTGGGGCTTCTCCCTCTCCGTCTTGCTAATTCCACTGTTGCTGCTGGATAACTTCTTTCGCTTCACTCTGATCTTCTTGCTGGCTGCCTTGTTCTTAGCCTCTGAGCAACCGGATTCCGTGTCCTGGGTGGACATCTTTCTAGACTTTGAGACAACTGGCTTGATTTGGGTTTTGGTTTCCACTGGAGTTGCGACTGGCAAGGGGCGTATTGCCGAGATTCTCATGCGCAGGCCATCGGTATCCGAACGTTGTACGCTGAATTGAGTGGCGGATTTTGTGGACTTCGACTGGCTGGATTGATCCGTAATAGAATCGGTTTCCTAAGGGCGATAATTATTAATTTTTGACGCTTCTAGCGAGGGTTGCCACAGGAATATCTCGAGAACTTTGGTCTGGACGGACTTAAAATGCATAATAAAATGATTTTTGAAAAACAATTCGTAGAGATAGAGATGGAGAGGGATATTTTCAAAAGATTTTCATTTTAATTATTTAAATGCTTGTATTATACATTTAAATATGAAAATTATATGCATACATAGGCCTCTCTCCACCCTTTACTCTTGTGAACGTCACCAAAACTATTCGGAAGTTCCCGTGGCACCCCTTTCCTTTCAGCCTCCACACCAGACATACCTCATTTTCACTGCCGGACTCTTGTGTTTCCAGAACCTTTGCTGCTGCCGTCTCATTTTGGCCACTGCTCATATTTTGGACTCGCTTGGGAGCTGCAAGAGATTAGCCAGGCGTTTTTGTGTGTGTTTTTAAAGCAACATTTCGTTTTTTTAATCGCATTTAAAGTAGGTCAACCTACAGCGACGACGTCCACCAAAAAAAAAAAAAAGTGAAAACGATTTTCCCCCCACTTACGTTGGATTGTTTTCTTTGCTGGCACTTCACTCACGGCTTTCAGTTCGGAGTTGTGTATTGGGTGAGTGGAGTAATTATTAGTTCGCACATTGCATTCGCACTATGACACTTTTCCTGCGCCTTCGGCCGTGGCTTGTTTTGCTTCTTAAAATGGCGCCGTTTTCAGCCGTTTCGCTGCTGCTGCTTTGTTCGACGCCCGACGACGGAGCAACGTTGCAACGCGTTTCGCATGTGGAACATGTAAATGTTGCTTCTGTTATTCACTCGATCGCATCGCGGACGGCGGCGGGGACGCGCTTTAATTGTTATTGTTAAGGTGGCGCAACAACAAAAAGCCAGGCAACCAAAAATTTACGAACATAAATAAAGAAAAAGACACTGCGATTTGGTGTGGCCAGGCTTCGTGATGTAGTCTTGTTGTAGTGTTACCTTGTAGGGGAATCACGATAGACGCGTTCGCACTATCGATTACAAAATAAATCGAATATTTAAAAATGTTTAAAACTAATCAAGTTTTGTTTACAATTTAATTAAAAAAAGTGGATTTTAGATTCTTTCTATTTATATTTTTTTTTTTTTATACATTAAAACACCTTGTTCTTACTAACGATAACTGCTATTTATCGGTAACATTTTTCTTTTGATGTGTACTCACTGGCCTCTTATTCTTCGGCCCCCCTAAATTGTTTGTTAATTTTTATAGATAAAAATGAGTGGAAAGGCGTCGAAATCAAACAGCGCAACGAGCAGCATGCTCTATGGCTCCAGCATGTCGGCGGAGTCCATGAAGGTGATTGCAGAAAGCATCGGCGTTGGGTCTTTGTCAGATGATGCCGCTAAGGAGTTGGCCGAAGATGTCTCCATCAAGTTGAAGAGAATCATTCAGGATGCAGTCAAGTTCATGCATCATGCCAAACGTCAGAAGCTGTCTGTAAGGGATATCGACATGTCCCTGAAAGTGCGCAATGTGGAGCCGCAGTACGGATTCGTGGCCAAGGACTTCATACCATTCAGATTTGCCTCCGGTGGCGGAAGGGAGCTGCACTTCACGGAAGATAAAGAGATAGATCTCAGCGAGATCACTTCCACCAACACGGTGAAGATCCCGCTCGATATAACCCTTCGTTCTCACTGGTTCGTGGTCGAGGGTGTCCAGCCCACAGTGCCGGAGAATCCTCCACCCCTCTCGAAGGATTCCCAGTTCCTTGACTCAGTTAATCCAGTGATCAAACTAGATCAGGGTCTAAACAAGGATGCTGCCGGCAAGCCGACCACCGGCAAGGTGCACAAACTTAAGAACGTGGAGACCATACACGTCAAGCAGCTGGCCACCCACGAGCTGTCCGTGGAGCAGCAGCTGTACTACAAAGAAATCACCGAGGCCTGTGTGGGCTCCGATGAGCCCAGACGAGGTGAGGCGCTACAGTCCTTGGGATCCGATCCGGGTCTCCACGAAATGCTGCCCCGCATGTGCACCTTTATCGCTGAGGGCGTCAAAGTCAACGTAGTGCAGAACAACCTGGCACTGCTCATTTATCTGATGCGCATGGTGCGCGCCCTGCTCGACAATCCCTCGCTGTTCCTCGAGAAGTACCTGCATGAGCTGATACCTTCGGTGATGACATGCATTGTCTCCAAGCAGCTTTGCATGCGTCCCGAGCTGGACAATCACTGGGCTCTGCGAGACTTTGCCTCCCGTCTGATGTCCCAGATCTGCAAGACCTTCAACACTCTGACAAACAACCTGCAGACTCGAGTGACGCGGTAAGACTAGGGTTCTTCCATTAAATCCACATCTAATGTCTTTTCAAAATTCTACAGAATCTTCAGCAAGGCGCTGCAGAACGACAAAACCCACCTGTCCTCGTTGTACGGCTCCATTGCTGGACTCGCTGAGCTGGGCGGCGAGGTCACCAAGGTTTTCATTATTCCCCGCCTCAAGTTCATATCGGAACGCATCGAGCCCCATTTACTGGGCACTTCCCTGAGCAACACGGACAAGACTGCCGCCGGCCATATACGAGCTATGCTCCAGAAGTGCTGCCCTCCCGTACTTAAACAAATGCGAAACCCACCCGACTCGGCAGAAGAGTACAAAGCCGATTTTGGCTTCCTGGGGCCATCACTGTGCCAGGCGGTGGTCAAAGTGCGGAATGCACCAGCCACCATTGTGACACTTTCATCAAACACAATCAACACAGCCCCGATTACGAGTGCAGCTCAAACGGCTACGACAGTGGGACGCGTCTCAATGCCGAGTACGCAACGTCAAGGGTAGGATAATACATGAAGATTACGAAGAATCATTTTATATTTCTTCCGAAAACATCTTAGAAGTCCGGGAATATCGGCATTGCCGCAAATCCGAGCTCTTCAGACCAATCATCCGGCACAGAAGATTGTGGTGGTTAGCCAAAACACGCCGCAACAACAGGGCCAGGGAAAGGTTGTGCGTCGAGGAAGCTCACCCCACAGCGTTGTCCTCTCCTCAGCTTCAAACGGAGCCACTGCATCCAACTCTAACTCGAACTCCAGCGGCAACAGTGCCAGTGGCAGCAGCCTTCTAGTCGCATCGTCGCTACGGAGCAACGAGAATGTGATTGTTAGTGGCGGTAGCGAAGCGCCTGCAGTTGATGGTATAACAGTTGAATCTTTCAGAGCACCCTAGACGCCAACTCCTTTGTTATTGAAACGGAGATCGTGCGTGCCCCGCCCGAGCTGGACGATCTCTCGCATCTGGAGTAGTAGCCACCTAGTTTTGTAGTCTAAGTAATCGTTTCGTACCCAATAAACAATAGAATGCTAATTCTAATTTAAGTAATCATGCTAGAGATAGTGAATATTATTTTTAGAAGGATCTAAGTTTTGAAATTATTTTAATTTCATTTCTTATTTTAAATCTTAAATTCTCTCATGTAGTTGCTATATTATTTGGCCATTTTTCCTTGATTTAACCTTAATTAAAAATTAGGAGGTTAAAATTTAAACTTCGGGCCAATATGAAGAGTAATACAAAATAATCCCAGTGCATCCCACTCCACCACAAGTCGCGAGAGTTCACCCACGCAGGCAGCACGCATGTGCGAGCCAGGAGCTTCGAGTGGCGGACTATCGATTTTTCCACCACAGTCCAAACGCACAAAGAGCTCTGCTCAACCCTCCTTGTAGATACCCATCGCAGGACAAAGGCAGAGCACAGGCCAGCAGCTCTCTCCAGGAATTTTCGCCAGGACTAAGGGAATTTGTGACAGAAACCAAAGAAAAATGCATGCAAGATTCGCGGATCCCGAGCCTGCGTCCCCGGACAGTCCGGACAGGATTGATACGGAATCGCTGGAGACGAGGATCGAGGCTTTCAAGCAGAATCCCCAGAATATGGCAGCTCTGCGGGAAGTGCTCGACGACGTGGTCCAGCGGGCCGAGTCGGAGGCCAACAGGCGAGCCGTTGAGAGCCAGAAATCGCAACAGGTTGACTATGAATATTTTATTTCGCTTGTTATATTTGCATAAACTAACTGGAAACACTTGTGACTTCCATTTTGCAGGGCAAGGAGAAGCGCCAGAGTAAGTATACGCACTGTGGTCCAGTAACCTTTCGCTTTTTGGCTTCTTATCGGGATGCTTTTCGGGACGTGACCTAGGGAAACATTAGTTTTCCCTCGCCGTTCGCCCCCACGCACTTGGCGGTTTGGTAGACTTTCTCGCACGAGTCCTTGTAGTTTTTGTCTGAAAATGTCGAGTAATGTCGGATAACAATGAAAGGATGAGGGCACTACTTAGTGAACTCAAGTGCCACTCACACACATCCTTGCAAGCATTGATGGCCCGCGTAGACACATCGAGCAGCTCGGCCGGCACCAGATGCGGCAGCTGGGCGAGGGCCTTGGCGGCATTGAAATCCCCCTTCTTGTTCACCGTCCCCACCATCAGAGTAATGCACTTGGCGTAACACTTCGGGACAAAGGATCAGAATCAGTGGTGGTGCGAGAATACTCCTCTACTAACCATCACATCCTGAGAAGCCTCCTGGCTAAAATCCCCCATTCGCAGTCTATCCAGGGTGCTGGCTTCGATTTTAAATTTTGGCGCACAACCTGCGCGCAGTGTGTCCAGTGAAGTGACGAACTGGTCCATGGTCATCGCGGAAACAGGATCTTCTCGTAGGAGCAGACCCAGAGCCTGCAGGATAATGGCGATAATCCACTGATTCATGATGGCCGATCGAAAATATAGTACTGCGAGCTGTCGGGGCCGCGGAGGGCTTTATAGCCGATCTGTGGTGGCAATTAAAAGTGGGAGGGTAATCAGTAATTAGGGAACGCACCCGCACGCCATTTTCATCCGTTAGTCTACTGGGATAGGATAGATTGCATGTACCATATTTTGTTGCACTTACTTGTCTTTTGCCCTCTCACTGATCTTGGTTTCCGTTTGTTTTTTATTCCACTGCCTTTATTGCGCCTCGCATGCACTAATCTCTCAGGTTTCGCCATACCAGATTTTAAGAACGGCAAGGTGGTGAACCGAGCCCGCGGCTTTGTGGTGCGCATCTTCGATGCCATCTGCAACTGTGCCAACAACAATGCTGCGGCGGCCACGACGCGTTTCAAGCTGCGGAGCAACAGTGGCGGCGGCGGCGGCGGAGGAGGAGCTGGCGGCAACACTAGCAAGCGTCAGCAATCCCAGGACGAGCCGGAGACCCTGGCCCTGACCAAGAAGAAGCCGGCCGGAGAGGGCAAGAAGAAGAAGGGCGTCAGCATGGCCGACGACGTGCAGGCCGGCGTGCGACTTGTGGACTAAGAAAGCAATAAAGGACCTCGGTGGATCCTCCAAAGGGAAAAAATAATCAAAACCCATCTACAAGCCCTCTACGATCACAGCTTTTGCATCCGCATTCTGTCATCCACGAAGTCTACTTGGATCTCTGGACCCCTTCCTTGCTCAAACTAAAGCACAAAATCTACTCCATGATGTCTTCCCCTGAAGACCCAAAATATTTGTATAAGAAACATAAAGTCCTAGAAACACTTAGTTTACTTTCAAAATCAAATTTAAAGTTTATTTTCTATATATTTTTATGATATTACTTCTTGAAGAATCTATATAACGGTACTATTTTCCCGCCATTTCTGAAACTGAAATAGGACCTGTTTGAAAGCTTTAGATCTGTATTATTTCGAAACCCTAATGTGATCCCTGATGGAAATTAAGAGACAAAAAAAGAACACTAATCACAACAACTTGTAGGCTAGTTAGGGAAAGTGGAGAAGGAGAAACACTCCCATACTACCAAACTACTTTCGAGGCTTTATCCCACGCACAACACAATCAACGGTAGGCATTACACCTTGTCAAGTTTAAACACAGGCCTGTCAAACTCCACCTAATTATAACTGTACGATATATCAAAATAATTATACAATACCAAACCTATTTAGAAATACGTGAGTGTGTGTAGTAGTTGCGATTATATTTTCGAAAAAGACCTAAACAAGAAAAGCCGAAACCAAAGGTTCAATATACATACAAGCATAAATGTGTACTGATTTTATATACAATGTACTAACTACTATTATATACCGAAGATGTAAGGAAATGTTTCAAGTTCTAGTTTAGTTTACACTGAAACCTTTTTCTGAAAACCTCACCGGTTTCCTGCAGCATCCTCATCGAATGTCATTACCAGAAGCCACCCACGCACACGCTCTATCTCTATATGGATATATTTTTGTGAGGCCCTTTTTGAGAGATCTATTAGGAAACTCTATACTCTAACATGGAATACGATGGATGACTTTGTAAACATATTTAAGGAGTAAGGAGAGTTTTTTATAAGGTTTTGCATTTATTTTTGGAACCTCCCGTGCAAAAATGCAAAGATCTCCCTGAGTTTGAATGTTTTGCTAAGCCAATTGAATATTTATAAATTATAAACTATGAAAGTATGCGAAATGCAATTATAAAACTGTTGTATTTAGTTAACAATATCAGCAATAAAGTGTAACAATGTTTAAAATCTAAATATTTGTCATGATTCTCCCTGGTTTTCTCATGAAATCGCAATGTTTGTATTGTTTTGACAAAATCGCATTGAGAGGCAATTAAATATAGAATATAAGATATCTGCTTATTAAGCCTCACTATTTGGAAGATGCTACTTCTATGGAATTAAAACCCACCGGACCGGATCATTAGAGATGCACATCACGTCTTTGTCAATTGTCGGAGAATGACAGCAGATAATCATGGCCAACATTTTATTTACACTGTTAAAAATTATATTAAAATTATCCTGTAAAACCTAGACATTATAGAAAGGCTTATAAAGCTCTATTATTATTTAGAAAGTTTTCCAGAGTCGGGCAACATATTTCGCAACATTGGGAGATAATTCCCACAATTAGGTCTAAGCTCATAAGCATTAAAGGGGACCGGCATCTCAGAGCCCCTCCGAGGAGATAAGCCCACTATGTAGTACTCGGATTAATAATATTTCTATAAAAGTGTACAAGTTTTGAGTTCTCCCAGAGAGCTTTTGTCTGGGCAGCGAGCTTGACGTTGTTTTATTGGCCAGGAAAACCCGAAAGTGTCAACGCATCGAACGAGTTCAAAACAGAGCTCCCAAGGTAAACTGTAAGCTAAGCCGGGCCTGAGCTTGGACTCCTCGATATAGGAGAACTATATAATTTTAAAGCAAAACTGACTCAGAAGCGGAAGCGGCACGCGATAAAAAATCGCACTATACTTTGCAAACTGGCCGCAGAATGAAGTGTTTTTGGGGAGCTCTCTTGCTGGTCTTGGGATTATATTTTCAAGAGGGATTTGGAAAAACCCTAACCAGCGATTATATAGGTAAGTTTCAAGTAAAAGAATTATTAAATAAAATAAATATTATATTTTGTTCTAAAGATCTTCTCGACTTGAGCGACAACGATGAGTTCCAATGGGGCGAATCGGAGAACTTGCATTATGGTCTAGATAATCACACTGAGGAAAATAATGTTGTGAGTTTCCTGTCCCGACATCGTCTCAATAAGCGACAGGCTCCCACCTCCCAGTTACTGGTGAATCATTAGAAATGTTTTATTTAATAACTACTGAGTAGAGTGAATGATCCTGCAGGAGAACAAGGACTATGGACCTTGCAGCACTCCCTTGGGGGAGTCAGGACGTTGTCGTCACATCATTTATTGCCGCATTCCGGAGTTGAAGAACGATGTCTGGCGGTTGGTGTCCCAACTGTGCATCATTGAGAAAAGGTTAAGTCTCAGAATACTAAAGTAAAGTCCCTAAATAACACTCCCTTCCCCGCTTCAGCTCCATCGGCATTTGTTGCACGGATCAAGCGACTAGTAACCGGTTCAGTCCCCAGATAGTGACTAATCCGGAGAAAGATGAGCCCAGAATTGTAAATAGGCCGGAACAACGTGGCTGTGGAATCACCACCAGGCAGTTCCCGCGGCTCACGGGAGGACGGCCAGCTGAGCCGGACGAGTGGCCATGGATGGCGGCCCTCCTTCGGGAGGGACTGTCCTTTGTTTGGTGCGGTGGGGTTCTGATCACCGATCGCCATGTCCTGACAGCAGCCCACTGCATACACGGCGTGAAGAAGGAGGAGGTTTTTGTGCGATTGGGGGAGTACAACACCCACCTGCTAAACGAGACGAGGGCCAGGGATTTCCGGCTTGCCAACATGGTCAGCCACGTCGACTTCAATCCCCAGAACTACGACAACGACATAGCCATTGTGCGGATCGACAGGCCCACCATATTCAACACCTACATTTGGCCGGTTTGCATGCCGCCAGTGAACGAGGATTGGTCCGGAAGAAATGCCATTGTTACGGGTTGGGGCACCCAAAAGTTTGGAGGACCGCATTCCAACATTCTTATGGAGGTGGGTTTCGGGAAATCAGTACATCCCTTAATCTAAATTATCTCCCGATCTCTTAAGGTCACCCTGCCGGTGTGGAAGCAGTCCGAGTGTCGAGCCACCCTGGTGGAGCACGTCCCGGACACAGCCATGTGTGCTGGTCTACCCGAAGGAGGCCTGGATTCCTGCCAGGGCGACAGCGGTGGTCCCTTGCTGGTCCAGCTGCCGAACCAGCGCTGGGTCACCATCGGCATCGTGTCCTGGGGCATCGGTTGCGGCGAGCGTGGTCGCCCGGGGATCTACACACGCGTCGATCGCTACCTGGACTGGATTCTGGCCAACGCGGATGCATAGGATTCAAACAGGACCCTTTTACACTTCGTCAGTACATTCAATTTACTTGGCATTAGCTTTAACAAATGCTATGGTCTAAGTATACTAATTAACCTGATAACGATCGATGTCAATAAAATCGATGAACAAACCCGAACCCCGGAACAGCCCCCCAGGCTGGCACTAAAGCTATAGCCGTGTCGCCGACTTGGCGGCGGCTGCACTGGAAACTTTCCGTAGCGGCTCCTGTTCCACTGCGTCCGTTTGTTTTGTGCTAGTTGCCTCGCTGGTGTCGGCAAAGGCTATCTTGTAGACATCATCGTAGGTGGCGGCGAAGTGCACTTCCAGACCCTCTGTTATGTAAGGGGGCAGCTCTTCGAAGTCTTTTTTGTTATCCACGGGCAGGATAAGGCAATTGACTCCACTGCGACGAGCCTGAAAGGATGCGATGGATCTTTTGATAAGAAATTCAAATAGGATTGGTTTCCGATCTGTGACTTACTGCTATAGTCTTCTCCTTAATACCGCCAACGGTTAGAACTTTTCCCTTGAGGGACACCTCCCCTGTCATGGCCACGTCCTGTCGTACAGGCTTGCCCGTCGCCAAGGAAACCAGCGCTGTTATGATAGTAATGCCTGCACTGGGACCATCCTTGGGTGTGGCTCCTTCAGGTACATGCAGATGGATGTGTCTTTGGGGGAATGAAATTCAATAAAATTCCCTGCATAAACTGGATCTCAGTACTTACTCTTGCTCTAGGAACTGATTCTTAGGATCATGCGAGTGCAAAAAGTTTCGTGCCACCGTCATAGCTATTTGTGCCGACTCCTTCATCACATCCCCCAGATTTCCGGTAATATGAAGAGTTCCACCGGCAGCGGGAGCGTCTGGCTTATCCAAGTGACGGATGTGGCGTCTTGAGGTCTCGATGTACAGCGACGAGCCGCCCATGGCCGTCCAGGCCAGTCCCATGACTACGCCAACCGGGGTGGTGTCATACATACGATCGGAGCTAAAGATCTGTTTGCCTAGGAATGTGGTGAGATTGTCAGAGTTCACCGGGAAGTGCTCGCCCTCCTTCTTAACCAAGCGGAAGGCCACCTTGCGAATGACCTTCTCGATTTGCTTTTGCAGATTCCGGACGCCGGATTCCCGGCAATAGCTGCGGATCAGCATGTTAAGGGCATCTTCGGTGATTTTGATTTGCTCGTCCGTCAGTCCGCAGTCGTTCATGGCTAGCGGTATCAAATACTGTCGGGCAATGGCGATCTTCTCCTCGGCCACATACCCAGACATTTCGATCAGCTCCATACGATCCCTAAGGGGCTCGGGAATTGTGTCGATCACGTTGGCTGTGCAGATGAAGAGCACTCGCGACAGGTCTACTGGGACGTCCAGATAGTGATCCAAGAAGTTGGAATTCTGCTCCGGATCGAGCAGTTCCAACAGGGCAGAGCTAGGGTCTCCTTGATAGCCCCTAAAATAATAATTTGTATTAAGATAAGATATTAACAAGATTCTATGGTCCACTTACTTTCCAATTTTGTCTACCTCGTCGATCAACACCAGCGGATTTTCGATCTTCGTCTTTTTCAGGCACTGAATTAGCTTGCCTGGCATAGCACCCACATAGGTGCGACGGTGTCCTTTGATCTCCGCCACGTCCGTCATTCCGCCCACACTGAAGCGGAAGTATTCACGATTCAAAGCTCTTGCGATGGACTTGGCTATGCTCGTTTTGCCCACGCCAGGGGGCCCGTGGAAACACAGAATTTTTCCCTGCGTAGAACCTCTGAGAGAGCTGACAGCTATGAACTCCAAGATGCGCTTCTTGATGTCCTCCATGCCATAATGATCGTGATTTAGGATCTCGGTGGCTTTCTCTAGGCACAAGTTCTCTGTGCTGAGGACGCCCCATGGAAGCGAGGTAAGCCAGTCCAGGTAGTTTCGGGTTACACTAAAATGGAATTATTTGATTAGCAGAAGCTTTTAAAGAGGCTCTCAAAAGTATCCATACTTAAATTCTGAACTATGACTTTCAAGGAAGCTTAGCTTATTCAGCTCTTCATCTATGACCGTCATTATGCTTTCGGGAACAGTTTTGTCTTTAAGTTTTTCGCGATATTTCTCGCCAATTGCGTCTTTGTCCTCCTTTTCGATGCCCAGTTCTTTTTTGATAACCTTCAGCTGTTCCTGAAGTATGTATTTACGATGCTGTTGTTTGACCTTCTCCTCCACTTCGCGTCCGATTTTCTGCTGTAATCTCGAAAGTTCAAGTTCCTTTTTAAGCAAGGTCAGGGATAGCTGAAGACGTTCTGGGATCTGAAATCACAAGACTTTAGTAAAACCCTCTTATTAGTGATAAGTAACCCTCTTCCTTACATCCGTCTCCTCTAAAATCCTTTGCAGTTCCGCCGGCTCACCAGCAGACAATGAAGCTCCCAAGTCGCACAAGTAAATGGGATTGTCGACAACCCTTTGGTTCTGGTGTAGCATCTGCTGGAGACTCTCTCTGGAAGATCATGGCATTTAATAAATTATCAATAATTATGTTTTTTTGAAGGCTTACCTGTACAAGGGATTCATGGTGATGATGTCTCGAAGAGTTTTGATGATTTCCTGCGTCAAGGCCTTGACCTCTTCAGTTTGCTTGTACACTGGCAGCTTGACATTCTCCACTTCAACAACGAGAACAGGTTGCGGAGCAGGCGCTGCTGATTCATCTGCTCCAGCTCCCGCCTCAGCGGTAGCTTCTTGCTTTTTAGCCTGGCTGGGAGGTTGGGGCGCAGAGGTTGGAACAATTCTACCAGATTTCAATGGCGGTTCCAGTGTCAGCTTCTGGGCTAGTTTCTCCATGGCCTCCAGATCCTGTGGCTTTGGCGGTTGTCGCCGCGGAGCTCGAGTTCGAGGCTTTCTCCCAGTATCGGGCCTTGTTCTTGCCTGTGTACGCTCCTGTTCCGCGGTTTGATCTTCAGCTGGGATGTGTAATTTTAAATTAAATAGTGGATAATGCAAAGTTGTCATTTTCACTAAGAGCAAGAATATATGTCACAACATTTGGGCACTTAGTGTGGGTTCTGTGGATAGCTTACCCGGCTTGGGAGGGGTCACATCCTCGACCACCTGGCCGGTGATACGAATGCGCCGGTGGGCCACAAGCACCATGCGCAGCTTGTCGCCAAGATCCTGAAGCTCTTGAATTTGGGCAAAGGTGCCAAAGTGGTAGACATCATCCAGATTGTGGACAAGCTCCTCCTCGCCATCCGACTTTTTGAGAAACACGCCCACGTAAGGTTGATTTAGCTTGACTTTGCGACGCAACAGATCCATGAGGATGGGATTGGACACCTCAATAATCTTCATGAAACGCGGAAAGAGCGGATTCTTGCGCATGGCCAGCAGAGGAACATGCGGCCAGACATCCGGCACAGCCACTGTAGCCGGCAGATGAGAATCTCGCTCCATGATTACTTCGGGACCGTTCTCAGGCGCTGGGTTCGCGTCAGGATCGTCGCTCTTGCGACTGTAAAAGCGCTGCACCATCATACTAGCCCCATGAAACTGGTGAAGGCGTGTGGCACGATCCCGGTAGAAGTGCATCATAGAACTCTGGACTGGACGATTGCGGGCCCAAACAGCCGTCGACGCAATGCCCCGAATAACGGGGCGCACTCGGATGGCGCGAGTCAACATGTTGAAGTAATTTCAACTCGCAATTTATTATAAATTATTTAGAAATGGTATAAAAAAAACAATTTACTCTCCAAATGTGTGTGAAGTGATTATGTGACAGTCGAAATCTGATGAAATGACAGCTGGTGGCAGTGTTAGAAAACGATACCCATAATACTATGGGCTCTATGTTTTTCAAAAATGTTTTTCAATAAAATCCATCTTAACAAAAAATAAAACTTGTTAAACTATTTAAAAAAAAAAGTAGGCTTTTAGGAGATATCTAAAAACATGAGCAACAAAAAAAAACCATTACAAATAACTACAAAATAGGGTGGTAATTATTTAACTGGTAATAATACTTTAAAGTTTTAACAAAATTTTAAAAGTGTTATTTCATTAAATAAAATATATATCAGTAATCAGTAACATCGTTAAAAATCATTACCAGCCGATTACAACGTTTTGCCACTGTGCTTTCAGTGTTGGTAAACAAAGAACAGAAGGAGGCTAGGAAATCGGAAGAAAAAAATTGTAATTTACTGGATTTAAACATGGTTTCGCGATTTGACCAACAGAAGACCAAGCACCAGCTCTTCCACGTGTCCCTCAGCCTGGCCACAATCCTGCTATGCATGGCATATATGCAGTATCGCCGGAACTGGGCGCATCTTGGGAGCTTCTGGGATTCGCTGGTGGTTCCCATTGTTTTTATCGGGGAGCTGCTTAAAGTGGTCTTGGCCCGTTTCTACGGACGGGTGGAGGATGGAGTTCTCTCAGCGAAACAGCGCCAGAAAAAGTCGACCTACTTTACACCAAAAGAGATACTCGGAGGAATCACGCTGCAGTTCCTGTGCACGCTGCTGTATGCATTCATTTGCATCATCCTGGGAGCCCCAGTGCTGGGCAACTACGAGCAGACCTTCGTTCTGGCGCTGCTGATGACTCTGCTGACGGTGTCGCCGACGGTTTTCCTGCTGGGAGGAGGCGGAGCCCTTCAGGTGTGCTTCTGCGAGAAGCCCGACTTTGTGACCAAGTGCGAGGACACGGCGCTGAACCTGTTCAAGTACAACGCCCTGGGAGGAATATTGGGTGCCTGGGCAGGCAGTGTGGTGGCGCCCTTGGACTGGGGACGCGACTGGCAGGCCTATCCAATTCCGAACGTGATCGGTGCGCTCCTGGGCAGTGCCCTGGGAAATATTTACGCTTGCACGCATGTACTATACGCCACTGCCAAAGTTTATATGACCAAGAAGCGGTCCTAAGCCCCTGAAAATAAACGCTATTAGCCCTGCCACCAAGATTATTACCTTTCGCTGCCACTGTTATCCACAAATATGTACACTCCAGTCCCATGAGCCACGTCATCATCTCGTCTAGTCAGCAGCTTAGGAACTACCAAAAAGCAATTAACATACTTTAATGTTACAACTTTAAGCATTTTATTAGAAGTAATATTAACAAATTCTTTTTAAATCAATATTCTAATAAACTAACAAATTACCAAATTTAAGTAAAGACTAGTATTATTACTTTAATTTAGAACCAATTCCAGACAAAAGACAAAAGAACTTAACCCCAAAATTTGTTTAAAAATGTATTCTTTTAATAAACCCATTATATTCACAAATTATCAGTTTTGGAAATTCAAAACCCATTCTTGAAACATCACATGACCGATTTACAGACACAATTATTGTTAGATTTAAGCTTTAACAGCCAGCACAAAGCTCTCGTCCTCGAGAAGACAGCGTTGACCTACAAAGTGCTCGTTGGGCTCCCAGTAGTCCTCTTCCTGGTCGTCGACCACCAGTTCGCAGGCTTCCTCATTGTTGAGGGAGCCCTCTGGAAGTGGGAACTCTCGAAGGTTCTCTAATGGCTCGTCGGAAGATTGTCTTCTTCGCAGTAAGGACTCTGCAGGCGAGGCCGGGCAATGCCCAGTTTCGTAGAGTTTATAGAGCTTTATGAAGTGCAGTCCACTTGTCAAGCGTTGACCCTCTTCTCTGACCACCAAAGCACTCCAGCTCAAAGCAAGAGTGGCATGGGGCACGTAGCGGGCGATGCTAGCATTGAACTCCTCCGTGGAAATGTTGGTATTGAAGAAAACCGTCTCCTCGTTGGTGAGAAAACTATGCGGATCGTGGATCGCGGGCAAGTGCTGCTCCACTTGCTGAAGATTCTGGACTGGCATAAGCTTCCGGTGTGATAGTCGAGATTGCAACAAGGTCTTGATCGTTGGAATGTCTTGGAACTGTTCCTTAGTGTCCCTCTCCTGCAGGCGACACTGGAAATTGCAGGATATGGAAGATTTGAGGCACAGGTCTCCTGCTTGTCCGGCTCTCACTCCTTCGCCGTTCATGACTGCAGAACATAGAAATTATTTATGCATCCTACACATCAATTTGAGTTACTTACAGAATAGAATATCTGGATTTAAGTTAAAGTCCTTTGAGTAGAGGGAAAGGGAGTTCATGTACACTTCCGTTCCCTCCGCTGCGTGCTGGTTTCTCACGTTGACATCCACGCCCAGCTCATTCGTAACTGCATTGCTAACCACGCATGTGGAATCGGCCAGAATGCAACTCTCCACCTGCAGCTCCCAAATGTGGCGAACTAGGCGATACTTAATGGGTGAGTTTGCCGTCGCTGGCAAGGAGTAGTAGAACAACAAGCGGAGGGTAAAGGCACCGGCCTCGTGTGGCGCCTGTATCCACATGGTAATGGTTTGACCCTGTTGGGCATCGAGTGCTGCCTGGCCGGAACGTTGCAGCAGGCGGAAAACACGCTGTCCACGGATTTCTTTGTCCTTCACCAGTTTGTCATTCGATAAGTTACGAAGAGCTAAATGAAAGTAACATGTTTCTTAAGTCCGGAGAGATTATAGAAAAGAAAGCACTTACAGCTCATCATAGCCAATGGCATTTGGTTGTGCTGGTCCAGAAGCGTCAGGCATCGAGGATTATCGCAGCCCAGATAGATCTCTTCGATCGGAGCGATTCCCAGATTCCGGAGCGTAACGTAAACAGGAACTATCTCACCAGCCAACAGCTTGCTGGGCACAGGACTGAAGCTGACACTCATAGCGGGTAGGGTGGGCACCAATTTAATGCTCAATCGGTTGTCTAGTAGGGACTGTGAGGAATGCTTGGCGTTGTTCGACCTGATCCTTTGTGTCTCGAACTGCAAGGAGCCCAAGAGACTGGCTGCCGGATCGGCAGTAGCTGCCACTCGGCAGACGACTCCCAAGATATTCAGACGCCCGGTTAGTTTGGAAATTAGTTTGAAGTGCAGGGTTTGCTCCGCTTGCTCGGCCAGCTCTATAGATCCCACACAAGTTGTCTTAATAGCTGCTCTTACGGCAATTTTGCTGGCGCTATCGGATGATTCCTCATAAACACAAGCATTGGAGAGGACTTCATCGTTGTCCAGGGTGAGTTTCCAAAGCAAGTCGATCTCTGTGAGAGCAATGCCACAGCGAACGCTGTTGGACAAGGTCACAGCAAGTTCGATGGGTTCTCCTTGCACGGCCACTGGGGTTTCCATGGCAGGCTGCTGCTTCGTATACAAGTATCGTGAGGGCTTGAACACAAACGGTTTGTTGTTAGCCGCCGTGATAACCAGCATCTCTTCGATCTTGTTCCAAACAGACTCGTCCGTAGTCAGATTAGAGTTTATGTCTATGTTGGTGGCGGGCACCAGAGGCGCCAGAGCTGAGGGCGATTGCACTAAGGTGAGGACACGCACAGAGGATTGCACCACCTGCGGTAAGGCGTGGGGAAGAAGTCCTAGCTCGGGACTGCGCTTGAGGAGTTCCTGGAGAACATATTCAAATATTATTTGTGTTCCATAATAGTGGTCCTGGAATACTTACATTCTGCGTTTGTATGTATTCCTTTAGGAAACTGCTTTGCTGTTGGGCACTTTGCAAGCTTCCAGGTCGCAATAAGTGAGCAAAGGACCTACTGGCCTCTTCAAGCTGCTTTAGCATATAGGCCTGTTTAGCCACCGTATACTGAATGTGATCCTCAGCCAAGCTCCACTCCCGCTTTTGGAAGACCTGATATGCCTGGCGATAGCAACGATAGGCGTGCTTTCTTTGGCCAGCTCGCGAGAACCGATTTCCAGCCAGAACTATGTGGAAGGCGTACTTCCGGTGCATTGGAGGCTGGGTGACAAGGAAACAATAGGCCGCCTGCTCAAGCAGTAAGGCAGAACGAAGATCTGACTCTTCGTTGGTCATGCGAATCAATTGCTTTGCCACATCGTTGTACAGACGCGCTGTTTTCAAGCATTCCATACTAAGAAGAGTAGCTCGAGTGGCAAATTGTTGCAATCTGAAAAGCACGATATCATAATTAGATTACATTTTTAAATAAATCATAAATAAACCTACTTGCACACCGTCAAGTAGCAGACGATGGCATCCTCCATGTAGTCGTAGGTCTTTCGGTGGGCGGTGCCCAGCATGAAGGCAGACAAGGCAGCCATTTCCAAAGCTCCTGCGTAGTATTGCCAGGCAGAGTCCGCATTGAAGTCGCGCTTGGCCTGATGGTAGGCTTGGAAAGCGAGGTTGTAGTGGCCAAACATGAAGTACAGATCGCCCAACTTCCGGGTTTGAAGTTCTGCCGACTCGTTGGTATAGCTAGAAAAAGAAATATAGATGTAGGTACATCTGCAAGGATATGAATGTATTTTCAAGTTCGTACATCACTGCATTCTGATTATTAGCTCCTGCACCTGGTTTGCTGGTGACGAACCATCTCTTGGTGGCACTGAGCAGGGACTTGCTTACGCCCTTCTTGTTGGTCACGCCCTCGGCGAGTGTGGCCACCAGATGCTCAATATACGGTATCAAGGCACGCACAGCATAGTCCTGCACAAAGTGACGCAGGTTGTCAATGTCCCGGGAGGTGAGGCATCCACCGTGTGGGGCATCCGCCTCTAGATCGTTGGCCCAAACATTGGGATTAATAGTCTGGGAAGCGATGCTTTCGCTACTGATGCTGAATTTAGAGTTAATGGCTTCCGTGGCACTTTCCTGCATTGGACTCAGCGGGTGCAGCATAGCCAAATCGGTGTCTTGGGGATTGGCACCCTCCAACAGCTGGGACATTTGCATTGCGGGCATGCTTATTACAGAAACCGCTTCTTGCGGGGATTTGGGGGCGCTGAGATCCGTTGAGGGTATAGTGGCATCGCTTTTGGGTTGCCTTTTGATGAAAGTGGTCCAGTGATCCGGTACTTCGGGTGCGCTGTGGCCGTCCAATGAATTCACAGATACCAAAAAGCATTTGCTATCTCCAAAGGTGGATTTCAAGAGCTCGAATCCCTGCTGGGCCTTCGAAAGATCCCCTTGGCTGGCTTCGTGCAGCACCACATAGCTGTTGAGTACCTCCGTGGGATGAAACCACTTTGGCAACTTCTGGGGTGTGATACTCTGCATCTGTTGCACTCTCTGGACCAACTTGTGCGCAGTTTCCACTATATTGGGATCAGCACTGGATAGCACCAGCAGGCAGCTCAGAAGATGTCGCGTGAACTCATGCTCGGCCGGGAATTGGACAGTCAGAAAGGTTTCACGCCATTGCTCGAACCACGGTTCCGATGTCGGCAACTCGAGATCGATGTCCGCTAAAATGGAGGCGTTATTGATAGATTTTTTGGAAAGGATGATTGTTTAACCTACCTATGGTAGTTATTCTGGTTTTGTCATTGTTGGCATTGGTCACCGACTCATTAAGCATCTTTCTGGCCAAAACTGTTTGCGGCGGCCTCCAGTCCACATCACAGAAATTGAGGCGTAGTCCTCGCACAGACACACTTGTGCCGGAAACATCACGAAAGTGGGCTGAAAAAAATTAAATAATATTATTTAATTCCACAGTTAAATCAACGACAAAGTACAAAAGCTTCGAAGTGGAAACATTAACTTGGATACCTTCTTTAAGGGTATAAAAATCAATTAGTCACATTATTTTGCATGTCAGACCCCAAGGTTCTTCGGAATAACCGCGACTAATTTATCAACATTCCTGCACTAGAATTTTGACCCGAATTGTACCGTGTTTACCTCACCGATTGCATTCTCTTACCATCGTTGGGCAACTTTGCGAAAGGCTGAAGGAGCTCCACGAAGGAAAGGTTGTTCCGGTGGCAGATCTCGTCCGCCTGGGGACTGCTCAGTACTCCGATTAGCGGCGAAAAGATGTTCCGGATTATGTCGCGGGCATTGTAGTTTTGGCCCGTCAGGTGCAGCATTACTTTGTTATTATTACTATTTACAACGAAAACCCAGAACCACGAATTGGGGGCGGAGTGTGACAGTGTGCGAAAATGATAAAAACTTTGTTTTTATGGGACACTTTTTCACTGCAGAAATTGTACCTAACTTTATTTTAATATTATATTTATTAAAAGTATAAAAACTGATTTTAATAAGCTTTCTGAATAAAAAATTGAAGAGTTTTAAATATGTTTCGCGTATTGTTAAAGATATGGTATATATTTGACTTAATAACCAATTTTGCATGGAATCTTATATATTAACCTAAATTTATTTTAAACTACGCTACTTTATAAAGGTATTTTTTATACGCATAAACCAGGAGAAATGTACATTTCTGTGGATAATTATAAAAGATATATACAAATTTGAAATATAAAAAACTATCGATAAGTAATTGTTGATTATCGGCTCGATTTTGACATTCCGCCACATCGCTTGCTCTAAATAAGGCCACACTGAAGCGCGGGAAAGCCGTCAGCTGTCATCACAAATTGCCTGAAAAAGCGAGAGAATCCCGGTAAAATTATATACAAATCGCAATTTACTACCTGAAGCAGTCAAATATTTTGTGCAAACTAAAACCAACGCATCTATCAAGGTCAAACCATAAAAAGAAAGTACGTTTATCACTTTTTTGTGGCAATTTTACAATCTGGCGAAATCCCAACAGGGGACAAAAGAAAAACTTGCAAAAAAGCGCGTCGTCGACGGCGTCTGGAGTACTACTTGCTGTAGTTTGTCGGTCGCAGATCTATTCCGAGAAGTACAGTCATGGCTAAGGTGCACATCACAAACGTCGTGGTACTGGACAACCCGAGCAGCTTCCACAATCCCTTTCAGTTCGAGCTAACCTTTGAGTGCATCGAGGAACTGAAGGAGGACCTCGAGTGGAAGATGATCTACGTGGGCTCAGCCGAGTCTGAGGAGCACGACCAGGTGTTGGACACCATCTATGTGGGCCCAGTGCCTGAGGGGCGGCACATATTCGTCTTCCAGGCAGACCCTCCAGATGTAAGCAAGATTCCGGAGGCAGATGCTGTGGGCGTCACTATTGTGCTCTTAACCTGCTCATACCGCGGTCAGGAGTTTGTTCGTGTTGGGTACTACGTAAACAACGACTATGCGGATCCGGAGATGCGTGAGAATCCGCCGCCAAAACCCATCTTCGACAAGCTGACCCGCAACATTTTGGCCAGTAAGCCGCGAGTTACACGCTTCAAGATCAACTGGGACTTTGGACACACCAACGGTAATAGCAACGGCTTGGAAAATGGTCATCACGACGAAATGATGGTGGAAGACGGTCCCTCAACTTCGGAAGCGGCGGCTGCTGCAGTTACCCATCAGGACGACGACAACAGCCTAGCAATGCCAGTGGAGAATGGAATCAAGGCGTTGAACGAGAACTCCAACTCCTTGGCCATGGAATGTTAAGAGCTGCCGGCAGTCAAACTGTTTTCCTTGTCCAAACACACACATACATGAACAGAAACACAGACACTAAAACTCATTGGGCGCTGACTTGAGGGAATCCCCCGCCTGAAAAACACACATAGTCCTCCTCGCTCCCCTAATTAAGTAATTATAATTTAAAGAAGTTAAATATAAACGTATATATAAATTAATTGCTATTGTATGTTTTATTCAAATAGGATAAATACTATGAAATTAATAGATAGTTTAGATAGAGATATATTTTGTTGGGTAAAGGGTAAATATTTTAGATATTTCAAACATCTAGGAAAATTCAAGTATCCATATTTTTGTGAGTCAACTTTACAATCGGAAGTTTTAAAAAATTCAACGAAACCTTGTGCTGGGCTTATATTGTAAGTAGAATTGAAATAATAATCGCATTCCCAGCCTATAAATTAAAAGCAAGTCCTAAATTACCCAAAAAAATAAAAATTAATAGGAAATTTCTGTTGACACCTATGTAAATTGCCGGGCCCGTGAGCCGAAGCCATTGAAGGAAGCCCAGAGGATGCCCATCAGCCAATCAGACCTGTGCCGCCTGGCCAGCGCAACCAGCTGCCGCCAGCTGCACCCCAAAAGCCTGTCAAGCAATACGTGAGGATTATGGGACTATTCCATGGCCTCAATTTTCAATAAAATTTCCTTGTTAATTCTTTAGGTATTGCAGCTTGCCTGGTCAGGATTTGTGCGACAAATTCTTTAGACGAGACCCCATGACAGAGCCCAGCTGCGATCATTGGCAGTTCTGCGAAAAGGTTCCCAATCGCTCCGATGTTGAAGCCGACTCTCTGGGTGATCCCGTTGGACTTGTCTGCTCCACCAGTGTCCTGGATAATCCATGCGGCGCACTCCCCCTGCAGGAGGAGGCGAATTCCCGGAACTTTGCCACGTATCTGAAGGCCTTCGCCCTGGTGTATATTTTGCCGGAGGTGGACTGGACGGCCGAAAAGATCGACATGCTGCTGCAGGAGGGCACGGATCTGTTCGAGGGCAGCTCCGAGATGGATGCGGAGGAGCAGAGGGGGGATCCAAAGCTTTTGCAGCCGGAAATATATACTGAGGAGGAGAAGCGCATCAACAGGGTGTTCAATCTGGAGGGGCACACGTTCACCTTGGCGCTGGAGCCTCGTTATATGGGAGACATATCCAAACCACTTGAGAAGCAACCGCCACACATTCTTGAGAACCTTCGTCCCGTGCTCCGGAGTTTCTTCAAAGCCGGTCGCTACTGCTTGCTGCTAACTCGAGTTGGACACCTGCTGATATGGCGACGCAGGAAATCTTTCTTCGTCCTGGACGTCAAGGGAAGGAGGAGGGATAATCTTGAGACGGTTGAGAAAAATGGAGTGGCCATGCTGGTATGTCTGAAATCCATTGATAATGTGGTCCATCTTGCGGCCAATTTGAGTGGCATCACGCCCAAGGATAGTTTCACCATCCGGGAACTGGTAGTGGTGCGTTTGGAGACGCCCGATGGACGAATTTATATGAGAGACACCAGCCACCGGTCCATCGAATTCAAGGTGGTTAACAAGAACTACGCGTATCTGAAGGGATCCTTGCATCTCTCTTTGAACAAAGAGGCGTTAGCTCGAAACCGCAGCAGCCTTATGGTGGCTGTCGCCGCAATCCTCGCCAGCAAAATCGATCATCCGGCTAACTGGAACACCAACATGTTGGACCGACTGATCTGCTATGGCGTGCAGCTGTGCCGGAGCTGCTGGTCGGATTGTTTGAGAGATCGAAGACCCATTGACCTGGACACCTTTCCAACCCAGCTGCGGATGGGCCAGTTTGTGTTGGAGCTCAAGCTCATACCGAATGTAAGAACTGGCCACTGGAAATGTGGCGTACGGATCGTCAGTACGGACTTCGAGGCCCATGTGAAGCAGGCGCTTAAGGAGTACGGCAACGTGGTGTTCCAAATGAACGACCAGATGTACTCCATGTGGGCCAAGGATGAGTTCTTCTACCTAATGGATCCCTATCGCCACACCATTGTGGGTACTCATATTGCCGAGGACAAGGTGGAGGGCGCCAAGTGGGCCACGGTGCGCATGTTCCGCGATCAGCTGACCATGCTCAGCGTGTTCCACCAGATGCTGAAGGAATCGAACCGCCAGTCGGCCTACTACTTGCATGTGGTGCGTATTCGCAATCTGGCCGAGTGCCCCAAGGGATTTGCCCTCGCCCCCTTGCCCGACGATGTGGACGCCATGGACGTCGAGTCCCTGAACGAAACTATACTTTTCAATGAACAGAAAGCCGTCAGGGTCGGCGACAAATGCCTGGGGGAAATCAGCGACTTTGAGGAGGACTTGATCAGTCTGACGGAGGACAATTTCGATGTAGAAAATTTCAAATTACTGACCGATCGTCAGATAGCAGGAGCCGAGGGTGAACTGGAGGAAAACATGGAGGAGCAGCGAAGGTCTCGGGCCAAGAGCCGTACTCGCAGTGCAGTGAGGAAGCAAGGAGTCGGCAACAGAATATCCGCCAGAGTGATTGCCGCAAAGGCAGCGAAGGCCTCCAAAGCTAATATTCTTCGCCAGCATCCGAATGCCTTTGTCCAGGGAGTCAGACAAAAGGATACGCCTAAAAAGGAAGTCCCTAAAAAGGAAACCAATAAAAGAGAAGCTCCCAAAAAAGTTGTAGCCTTTGGAGGCACTGCACTAGCCAAACAGAACCCACCGAAACCATCAAGGGAAGCAGGAGGACGTGTCTTTAATCTACTGCCCGTGAAGTCTTCGTTGCGGTCCTGCTCCAGGGAAACTCCGGGCAGAGTAACCTTCAAGAATATGCACAAAGAATCTCACCAAAAGGTCCCTAAAACAAGCCCAGTCCAAATGGCAAACAAACGCTCCAGCCTAAGCCAAGTGCAGAAGAAATGTTCCAACGTGAAAATAACTACCAACAAAGGTACCAAACCCCAAGAGGTCTCCAACAAGGCTCCCAGACCAGTAGAGGCAGCCCAAAAGAGTGCCAGGCCAGTGGAGGGACCCCAGAAGGGTTCCAACCAAAAGCCCACTAAAACGATTAAATTGGTTACTCCCAAAGATACTCCCACTAAAGGCTCCAATCCAAAGATCTCCCCCACCAGATCGGCTTCTCCCAAGAATTTTATTTTACGGGAAGGTCTGTCCCGTGAACCTTTTACGATGCAAAAAGAAGAAAACCAAAAAATATTGACTCCAAACCAGGAACATCTCAAGCCGACGACATCCAGGTCTTTCAAGGAAATGCTTCTGAAGACAATGTCCAAGGTGAATAAGCTAGGTGCGACCACAAGTGCTTCCCCCCACAAGTCGTTTGAGAGAGAGGAGAACCCACATTTCTTCATACCAGAATCCAATAGCAATGAAATGGCTGGAGGTAAGGCGGCGGAGCTGGAGGATAACAGAGGCAGCGTTGTGCCATCTCGTTTCCCTGGCTTCAGTCCGGTGCCTCAGGCCCTGGCAGTGGGTGGATCCGATAGCGGAACCGTGGAGAGCATAGACCGTCTCTTGAGCTCATCCTTCAAGGTGGCCAACCGGGTGCTTGCGATGACGCCGTGGGGTAACTACGTGGTCTTCCGGCATCGTCCCAATGCTCAATCGAGATCCGCGGCCACGTGGTTTTACGTTTTCGACGGCTGCACCTGCGACATTGATCGCTTCCGGCATCTGGATCTTACCCAGGGCACGGACGGGCTGCTGGCATTCCGGAAGCAGGCGGAGGTGGTGTGCCACATTATCGACTCGCGGGAAAAGAAGACGTTGGAAATGCTGGACTCTCTGGACTATAATCCGCCGCACGAGAGACTAAAAAAGCATATGGCACGTTGACCATGGAAACAAGTAGATTTTTGGAATCAAACTTTAGACGAATAAAATTTTAAGTAAAACTCATTGACTTTATTATGTGGAACGTTTTTTTGTCCTATTCGTCTCGGGATTTTGATGCAGAATGGTGGGGAATCTATCCAGAAATCGTTTAAGGTACTCCGCTTAAGAATCGGATTAGGATTGGGAAAGATATAGCCATCACTGTGGACCCTATAGGGGAGAACACCATTTTTAAGTGGATCCCATAACGAAAACCATTTTTCGTTCATACAAAATTTAAAAAATATCTTTATCTCAGGATTTTTATGCAGAATGATAGTAAATCGATCAAAATCTAGAAACAAATATATTTTTTTCCAAATTTTCTGAGAATGGAAGCCTCACCCCCAGGGCCGTAGCTAGAGCCTCGGGGGCCCTGGGGCAACAAGTAAATTTGGGGCCCCTATACGAAAGTCTTTTGCCCCGCGGGGCCCCTTCCCTTCGGGGGCCCTGGGGCACCGCCCCACCTGCCCCATGCCAGCTACGGCCTGCTCACCCCCCATCAATAGATGCCCCAGCCATGACCATATCGACGCATTTCCGCAAAAGTATCGTAAGTCGCCTTTTTTCGAAATTGAGATTTGAATGAAAAATTGTTAGGCACCTAATGTCTTACTACCCTGTGAAATATTATAACTGAAAACCCTATAGTTGCGATAAAAATTAAGTTTCAATTTTATCGTATGTTACAGTGTTTTTCAATCTGCGCGCGAAATTATCGTACAAATTTTTTGCATGGAAATACTTCAAATGCACAAAAATAAAGAAATACAATAACAAATGTTTCTTATCGCTTAAACATCTTATGATTTTGCTTATTGTTTGTAAGAGATGAAATAAAAAAAAAGCTTCTCCTGTAAAATTGGATTTTTCAACATACGATACTTTTACGGAAATCTGTCGATATCTTTGCTAATAATCATCCGACCCAAAAAAGGAAATTTATAGGTTAATTCTCAACCTGCAAAAAAATTAAAACAAAATTTTTTCAGTTTTTTTGTAATATTTCTGGAGGGACCCATTGAAAAATCTTAAGGGTTTAAATTTTAAGCTTTGAAATCATGGCCATGGAGAGTAAATTATAAACTTCAAATTCCAAACTAATATTATTGAAAAACAAGATTTTAGCGTCTTAATTGTTGGTTTTTATTATTATTGCTAATTCGTATGAGTCGTTAAACTTAAACTTAATATGGAGTACATTTAAATAATGTAGAGAAAAGTCGCGGCTGCCGTCGCGACGCGTCTTACGAAGCTAAACATCCAACTAGTGTGTAAATATATCGAATATATATATCATAATATATATTGAGTGTATATAGATGTATATTAAATTTGTAATTCGTTTTGCAGAAGGGCGAAACACTGTTGACTAAATATTTAGTCATAGCCGCGGTCAGATCTACCAGATTATACTTTATTTTACTCAAATTTCCTTTTTTTTATTTTGTTTTTATTTATTTTTTGCATTAAGGCACTGAAGCTTTGAATTTTGTGCATTTCGAAAGTAAGATTTTTCGGTAAATCGAAGGGCCAGACTCCCAAAATAATTGGGAGACCGGCCATCGAATGCGACTAAAAAATTATACATACAATGCGCTTCTTAAAAAACATCTGACGTCTTCGAGGTCTTCGCAAATTTAGTTTTTATAAAAAATATCCCTGACTATTTCTCTATTCTTTCCTATATAATGCCTGAGGCCGATTCTATTAATTTGTTTGTTTGTAGTTCGATTTTTGTGGGAACGATCCATGGTTACCTTGGTTTGTGTTGTGGGTCAAGCTCTTAAGGTCGAAAAAAAAACTCTATGCCTAATGACTTACAAAAACATTTACAATTAGGGCGTTTTCTTTAAATATATTACAAAGGCAGCTCTCTATAAACAATAATAATAATAATAGTAATAGTAATTATAATAATAACTAAGACTAATGCAAAATTATATTCAGCAAAGTAGGAAATGCATGTCATACAAGTACAATACAAATTAGAATTGCCCCAACCCGAAAGGATTCATTTCCTTCCATTCTGTGTACCGCAGAACGATCCTTCTTCCGAGACGATCAACGCCTGGAGGAGATCCAACGCTTACAATTGTACATATAAATTAGAGAAAGATAGAGATTTGGACACGAACATAGATAATACCGTACAATTGGGGGCGATTTCTCGTTGAGTATATATAGAGATAGTGGTTTCAGCATTAAGTAGACAACTCTAGTGTAGGGTTAAGGTTAGGAGTACTAGGTTAGACCATGTTGACGGCGCCGTCAGCCTCGAAGGTAGGTATGGATATAATATCGCTGCTGCGCACCGCGCCCATGGGCAAAGCAGGGCCCTTGGCTTTGGAATTGGAATTGACCTTTGCTGGATGAACCACTTCTTCTTCGTCGCTAGAATCACTCGAGTTGTCATCAGGTTCGCTGCAGCTGTGCGTGGAGGTGGATGTGGACGTGGTGTGGGTTTGCTTCATTGCCGAGGCAATGTCGGTGTTGCTCTCCAACGTCGAGTGGTGGCTGGAAGGCGAATGGCTGTACTCGGAGGTGTTCTCCTCCTCGTCAGAAACGATCACCACGTTGCGCTTGTGGATGGCAACCTTCTGGGAGAGCGGGGCTTTGTAAATCCGACGTAGTCTCATTCCGCGTCCAATGGGCTGCCGGCCGATACTACAAAGAATCAGGTATTTGTATTATTCATGTTGCTGGTAGGAGGATGCTACTCACCTTCGTCGCCTCAGCGCGTGCTTGTAGTCTGTGGTCTCTCCCTCCTCGTCCGACCAGCTATCCTGTTCATGGGACTCGCCATTCGCGTTGTTGGCGGAACCTCCACTCGGGCTATCGCCTAGCGGGTGTTTCCGTCGCTTGCTTTGCGTGCTGCTACACCGACTGAGGCACGGGCTGTTGCCCTCCACGGGTGAGGCTCCCCCGTTCCCATTCTCCGTATTGCAGTTGGAGTTCGTGTTGGACTGGATGGACAGGCGATTTTCGTTGATGAATTCGATGACCTTGCGACCGAGGCGTTCCAGGTTTTCGTTGTCGCTGCAGCATTCGGTGATGTCCAGCCGCTCGTTGCTGTTCATCACATCATCGATGAGCTGATCCGGGCTGGAGCACGCATCCTGGTAGGTCAGTTCGCTGGTGCTCAGCGAGTTTCCATTCGACGGACTAGCGGGATTCGTGGCATCAGCAGCTGACGAGAAACTTCCGTTTCTGGCCCTCGCCTGAGCCTCGGCCATCTTCTGCACCCTCTGGAGCTGCAGCGGCAGCTGGCGGTGATTTGGAACCAATGGCACATCCATGGGCTTCGATCTCGGCACTTCCGCGCTGGGACTAATATCCGTCTCGCTGACATCCATAGCATCCGTCTGGGTCTGCCTCTCCACCAGCTGAACCTTTCTGTTTTCCGGCTCGCTCTGATACCGACGGTCTCGCGTCGGGCTGTACTTGGGAGGGGCACCAAAGGAACCGGAACCGTTGCGGCGATGTCGCAGTATTTTTTTATTTTTGCATGGCATAGTGCCACCGATGCCGCTTCCCGGAATTATGTTGCCGAGATAAGATTTCGGTTGGCAATTGCTGTCCAGCTGGGCATAAAGAACGCACTTGACAGGCGACTGGAAAGAAATTAATGGATTTGTTATAAAGGCACGTGGTGGGTGAAGACGATTGGAAATACCTCTGGCGTGGTTTCGGGATCTGGGGTGGTGGACTGCTGTTGGATGGCCGCCGGTGGGCCATTAAGCCTCCTCCGATAGTGTTGCATTTTCCTGAGAGTGTTGCCCAACCGGCGCGAGGGTTTGTAGCCACTTCCGGGCAGTTTGCGTTCCCGTCTAGGAAAATATAGAAAATTTTAACATCAGGGATTGTAATCTTCTCTCCTCACTTACTCTGCAATCTCCTTCTCCTTCTCCTGGAGCTGGGTCATGCATTCGCTAAGCTCCAAGAACAGTTCGTTGGTTATTTGTAGCTTCTTCTCGTAAACCATCCTAATGTCCTGGGCATGCTGCCACTCGGCGGTGCGCCGCTTGATCAGATCCTGCTCGTACTTGTGGATGCTGGTGCCGTTCTGGGTGATCTCCTTCAGATGCGATCGCACCTCCTCCTTCCACGACTTTTGTGTCTCGAAATATTGCTTTTCAGTTTTCCGCAACAGCTCGGGACCAGCAATGTCCAGGTGGGAGAGTATCTGCCGGAAGGAGGGACGGTTTCGCGGCTTGCTCTTCCAGCAGAGCTTGACGAGCAGCTTGAATCCCTCGGGACAAGTGCTGGGCACCAGCAGTTTGAGCGAATTGTTGCCCACGCCCCAGATGATGGCCGAGGAGTCGACATCTTTGTAGGGTATTTCACAGGTGAGCATCTCCCATAGAACCACTCCGTACGACCAGATATCGACCTTTTCGGAGCAGGGCTCGTTCCGGATCACCTCCGGCGCCATCCAGGCCACAGTGCCGGCGAAGCTCATCTTGGTGCTGATCTCGTTCCACTCTCGACTCGTTCCGAAGTCGCTGATCTTCACCACCTCGTTTGTACTAATCAGTATACTGAAAAGGGATTTTTTGTTAGATTGGGTTTCTAGTTATCGGTTTCGGGTTGCAATCTTACTTTGGGCTCTTCAGATCCCTGTGTATGATTTTGTGGGAGTGCAGGTACTGCATGCCCATTGCTATTTGCTTGGACCAGGAGACCAGGCGGGACGGTAACATGACTTGCTCCTCCTTGAGTATGTTCTGCAGGGGGCCGTAGGGACAGAACTCCATGATGATGCAGAACACCGGGGACTGCGTGCAAACTCCTCTGCAATAAAATAATATTATAGTACTGGACAACTTGTATATCATTCCGAGACTCACTTGAATTTGATGATGTTCTCGTGATCTAGTTTCCTGAGATGCTTGATGTCCGTCTCCTTCAGTTCTTTGACCTTCTTCACGGCCACTATCTCGCTCTTGAGCTTCCCGCTGAAGACGGCTCCCTGGGCCCCACTGCCCAGCCACTCCAGATCCGACACGGACTCGAACGGGATCTCCCAGTCTTCGCTGCGCTGGCTCTTCACCTCAATGACCCCCGTTTTCCCGATAAACGAGAGCACCGGCTTCATGCAGCCGAGCAGTCCGTACATCCAGCCAATCGGCTTATCCGGATGCCCGAAGACCCCGGCTGCCGCTCCGCCGCTGTGGGGTGGCCATCGCTGTTGGCACGTGTTCTCGGCGCTGCTGTCCGTGATCTCGGCATAGTTGTTGTGATGCTGCAGCCGGGGCGGAGAGTCCAGATCGGGCGACTTGAAGGGCAGGTCGGTGGCAGTTAGGCCCAGATGATTGAAGTCATCCTGCAGGCATGCCATGCTATAAATTATTGAAATGGATGTTATTTTCTTGAAAACACTCCTTATTATGAAAATATATTCCAAAAAATTCCCCCCTTAATGAGGCTTATCGGTTCTGTCATTAGGGAATGGCTCTCCTATCACTAATTACCTGGGAAAAGTTCTATATCTGATTTTGATTCCAAGAACTCTAGCTCCACCTGACTCGCTTAGCCTCTAAATAGCTCCACCATATGCCTATATTCCTATCCCTCCCAAGCCCAGCATCAATGGAGATCGTTAGAGGATGTGAAGAAAGCCCAACTTTATTGACCATAAATCTAATGCATGATAATGAAATGTATATCTGCCTTTCCGATGTTTACACACGCCATAATAATCACTTTTCGAGCTGACACAGTGAACGGGCACAAAAAACGGCGAGAACTTTGATAAAAAAAATAAAAAACAAGGCAGTGCAAATAAATATTAGAGGCAGCGATCTGGATCGGTTTCAGTTCTTGCAACCCATACCCTCGCAGAAAGCCTTCCTGTTGGAATTCGTGTTTGCTTTCTGTCCGATAAGATAAACAAGCCTAGGGGATAGGGACCCTGGGTGGGGAATGGAGGGTGGGGTGGAGCTAGAAGCAGGTGAAAAAACAGTTACCGCCTGTCAGAACGCTGATAACAACAACAACATTGACGTAGAAAGTCTGATGGCCGAAATCACCTGTTGTATGGGTATACCTTTGTATGCAGATGTTCGCACAGATACTCCTACATATGTGGTCCTCAGATTTAAGATATTTAAGAGGGCGGTTTCAGAAGTTTGAAGACACGTCATGATGTCTGCTGATTTGTTAATATAAGTCTAGTAATATTCCCTCTGATTCCATCAAACTTCACCTGTACCCATGCTAACACTCTTCAATTAAGGGGGGACATCTATTTAAAATTTGGATAATTTAAAAAAAATTGTTTTTGCTTAAACGATGCTACAGGGTTCTAAAAATGATATAAAAAGAGATAGAATCCGATAAAATGTCGAAAATTAAACTTGCAGTACTTAAAACTCGAAGTTTTAAAAACTCAGTTTAAAATATAACTCGAGCAAATCTTGACCGATCGATCTGAAATTTTCACAGGATGTTCCAAATACCTTTGTCTACCGAAGTGAGTGATATTCTTTTTTTTTCTAATGGTAACTTTTTTAATATCAACAATTTTGTGGTGTTTTTTTTTCAGCAAAAAAAGTTCAAGTTTGGCTCGATCACAAGCCAACATTCATTTTATTTTTTCTAGAATATAGATACAAATTTATGGATGCTAGGTGTCCGGCCATGGAACCTTCCAAAAAAAAAAAGGCACTTTGCGACATGTATTGTGCAGCCCCCATTTTTTAGTCAATGTTCATGTAAAAAATTATATTTTTGACTTCATGCATGCTATTATCAAAGCTTCTTTACACATTTTCTATTGGCTCTTTCATTTAGATAAAGTACCAAAAATACGTTTTTTGTTCACCAGTTACATAGATGCTCCCCCTTAACACCACATCCGAGCCGCTTCTACGGTTCTTTGCAGATTTCAGTGACCAGTCACTGGACTGGGGAGCCACCTATATCGCCATCCCGCTCTCGCTTGGCATCCGCCGTGCAAGTGTCAAAAACCTTTCGTTTATTTATGAATTTGTGTGAATATCATAAAAATTCTCTCGCATATATTAAACGTTTTTTTTTAAGCTGGCCGGCAGCACGTTTTGACCTTTTGGGGCTGTTCGGTGTGTAGTTCACATAGAACGCGGAAATTTGAGGTTTTTTTTGTTGCACTTGCACTTATTTTCGTCTACGTCAGCTGTGAGGGGAACGCATAACGGTGCATCTCGCCAGCTGTGACTCAGTGGGTGAGTTGTATCTGGCAGATACTTTACCTCTTCTCGTTGGTGATGATCTTGTCCGGTGGGTCATTGTGACCGAAGAAAGATATGTAATAGACCATGGTTTTTGTTTCTTTCTTTCAGTTCTTGTCTTTTATTTGTTTTTGTAATTAGCTGTTGGGGCGTACTGAGAATTTCATTCATTCATGCACTCGAATAATGCAAATTTCCACGCTCGCTTTTCACCGACAAACCGACAGGTTTTTGTTTTTGTTTACGCACGACGGTCGTCGGCTGAAGTTTTGATTAAAAGCGTTCGTGCCAAGCACCAGCAGCCACCGACACCAGCACCAGCTCCGACACCGACACAACATTGGCCAAAACCAAATACAACAATTATAACTTCGTATGTCGCGCTATACGATGTATAATAATAAAAAAATGACGTCAAGGTAAGTTGGTAAGGTTTTGCTGCCTTCTTCTTGTTGTTTTTGTATTTTTTGCGTTAATTACAAGAAGCTGAGACGAGGCGCGTAACACTTTCGTTGGCCATTTTCCAAGTGTTGGCCAGTGTTGGTGTGGGAAATGTAATAATTTCACGTATTTTGCTAAAAACTGCGTCGTCACACCAGAGACCAAAACTGATTTGGCGATAAGCGCAGTGGCTTGTGGGTTGTTGTTGTTGTTTTCGGCACACACACACACACACATACGCATACACTGGCAGGCTCGCGAATTTGTGGAGCAGCGGAGAGAACAGCTCGTACGACCGTCGAAAACGATTGATTTTCGCCAACTAAATGGCGAGCGGGAGCATAACGCTGCAAAGCTCCCCATTATCAGCACAGCTTTCGGATCTCCGGCTCTCTCTCTCTCTCTTTCTGTCCACTGATTACTCCCCCTCTCCCCCCGCGCCAAATCACCCATCAGGCCTGTTATCACGGGCCATTGTTGTTGTCAGAGTGACCGAATTGGCCATTACCTGCAGCAATGGGCGCCCTAAGCCCGGCTTCCGTCTGGCCACACTCGAAACTAGTTTGGAGCCACATGATCTCTCACAGACAGGTGGGCTGTGTAGACTTTGTTAGTGTGAGTGCGCGACAAGGAAGTTGCTGTGAGGCCACCCCCCCACAACTGGAGTGGGGACAGTGGAGATTCGTATTATCATACCATTAATAGATTAATTTCAAAAGGAAAATAATTATGATAAGTATTATCTTTGATTCTTGTATTTTTAAGATCTATTAAGTATCTTTAAGATACTATAATACCTATAACATTTTCTTTAAAGCCGGTATCTACTGTGATTACCTTTTATCATTTCACCACAACTTTTTTTTTTATTTGCACGTGTTCGGAGTTGTTTTTATTGCTTTTAGGGGGGAATTTTCGCTCCGATTTCTATTTACTAATGGGAATTGAATGTGTAGATCTGTATCTGTATCAAATAGATTTCGGCTTTTAATGGCAGGTGATTGATGTACTGGTTTTCCTGATTACTCCCAAAAAGAAGAAGAAAAAACACCTGAAGCAGCTTACAGCTACAGCGCGTTGTGAAGGTCAATTACCCCACTTAATAAGGCACGATCTGGCGAAATAAAGTCCGAATTAAAAATGTAGTCGATCTCCATCAGTAGCATTGAGATTAAAAGCCAGTTAAGCATGTGCCGGATGTTTTGTTTATGTTTTCCACCATTACCAGTACCCCCTTTCTTACCTTCTTCGCAGATTATCCGTCTGGTCCAGTGAGAGATTGGGACTGCTGCCGTGGTGTCGCCTCCGACCGTAGAGGGGCTGCTGCTGCTGGCGGGAGGCGGTGGCCACATGGACCAGATCATCTCGACTCTTGCTTAGACTGTCGCTGAATGGTTGCATTGTCCAGGATTCGGGAGTGGGAAGTGTGCGGATGGCCTGTTCAGCTCCTTACGACATGCTGGTAACGGGGGTGCTGTATATCGTATACGGTATAGCGTGAAATAAATCAATTGAGATGACAAGGGCTTGACCCTCTCACTCGCACACCACTCCCGTTGTAATCTTTTATCAATGAAATGGCGAAAATCAATAAGGAGCAACGACGTCAAACGGTAAAGGGCTCAGGATGTGCGAGGGAGATGGCCAAAAGCAGCACCCACACACACACACTTGTACTCAAAAGTCAAATAGCAGTAGATAAAGAAGAAGAAGCAGTAGCTTTAAAAAGAAGCTCCGATAATTGCACTTGTCAATTATTCATTTTGCATTCCATTTACATGTTTTTCTTTCACTTTCAAACTGCAGGCGAGCTATTTTTATGATGCCTGTAAAAGGCAAATTGCAAATTGCACAAAAGAACAAGCACACACACACATTCACACTCTACCACATACAGGTATTCTTGTTTTGCTGTTTCTTTTGGTTTTTGTTTTTTTTTTTTTTTCATTAAACTTGGCCAAAGCTAGAACCACTAACCATACAGCATATAGACAACCCATTTCATACAACGAAAATGGACGCGAAAATTTCTTGCGACAGGCCCCAGAGCGGATTTCTTACGCTCTCTTACGCTCATCGTTCGTTCATCTTACGCTCATTCTCGCAATAAATGTTTTCTGTTTTCAGTCTCTAAACGGAGCGCGATGAGAAGGTTGGCCTGCGCTTCGGTTGATCTTTGTATGTATGCGTGTCACACATTCACATACATGGGTGTATGTGTGCGTGCGATTTCGTTTCGAAGCCAGCGCACAAATTTTGTTTTTTACTTTTAGGCTTGCTACCCTAACAAAATTCGGGTATTCGTTATTTGATGAAATGACGAAGAAATTATATTATTTTTGTATTATATTTTTATTATTTCGCATACATTTTTAATTTATTTAGAATAAGATTAAGTGTTAGTAGTAAATGTTTTCTGTATATATATTTTTCGAATCATTAAAAATCAATATACTGAGAAAGTGTCAGAGTATATTTCGGTGGTCACTTAAAGCGCCGTTTGTTTTAAGTTTTGTTGTTCTGCAAGAGGCTTGTGCATGCCTACTCTAACGATGGAATGATTTTTAGGGAGGGTGAAGACGGGTGAAGAATTAAATTACTTTTTAAAGTTATTATATATAAGGAAATATATATAAGGAAATTATTAAATTAACGACAATAATTTAATTAAATCTCACAATAACCCAAAATAATAACAAGTGCCTGAAAAATTGTAAACAAAAAGGTAAACAAGTCCATCAGCTGTTTTGTGTCTTCACCCTCCCCTAAAATCATTCCATCGTTAGAGTAGGCATGACAAGCCTCTTGCAGAACAACAAAACTTAAAAGCAAACGGCGCTTTAAGTGACTCCGACCGAAATATACTCTGACACTTTCTCAGTATATTGATTTTTAATGATTCGTAAAAATATATATACAGAAAACATTTTACTACTAACACTTAATCTTATTCCTAAATAAATTAAAAATGTATGCTGAAATAATAAAAAATATAATACAAAAATAATATAATTTCTTTCGTCATTTCATCAAATAACGAATACCCGAATTTTGTTAGGTAGCAAGCCTTAAAAGTAAGAAAAATCAAAATTTTGTGCGCTGGCTTCGAAACGAAATCGCACGCACACATACACCCATGTATGTGAATGTGTGACACGCATACATACAAAGATCAACCGAAGCGCAGGCCAACCTTCTTCATCGCGCTCCGTTTAGAGACTGAGAAACAGAAAACATTTAATGCGAGAATGAGCGTAAGATGAACGAACGATGAGCGTAAGAGAGCGTAAGAAATCCGCTCTGGGGCCTGCTGGGGCCTGTAGCAAGAAATTTTCGCGTCCATTTTCGTTGTATGAAATGGGTTGTCTATATGCTGTATGGTTAGTGCTAGAACATAACAAAAACAACACTGAAATTTTGCCACACACACACCTCTATACACCTATACACTTTTTCTCTATTTCTGTCTTCCTCTCTCTCTTTGGCTGGCACCCACACAACCACAAGCTGGAAACCTTACAGCGCAGCTTTGTGCTGTTTCTGCTTCTTCTTCTTCTTTTACTGGTTCAGCTTTTGGCCAGAAAATCAATATGAAAATTTCGGTATTTGCACATTTTTCACACAGTTTTCATGCTCTTTGAACTCATTTTCATGGCTAATTGCATTACTCGCACATTCTCTTACATTGATTTGGTAATTGGAGATGTTGTTTAATTGATTTTCACTTCAAATCAAACAATTAAAGACTGGTTTTTTGGTTTTCGAACGAAACGCGTTAACTCCGACGAACCGTCCGCACCAAAGGTAGATACAAATCAACTGAGAAAAAGAAAAAAACAGCCTGGCTTTTGGCCGAAACCAAATCCGTGAGGGAGAACCACTGAGCGGCCCAGAGAACCCATTTCCTCCCTCAAAACCAGTTTTGAGCTCAGCCTGCTACTGCGCATGTGTGCGGGAGAGTCGGAAAACTTGCGGGCGCGAGAGAGCCATGGCCAACCACCAAAACATTTGCAAGGTACACAGCTCTTGTTGTTGTTGTTGGTTTCATTATGGGTAACTGGAGCTGGCTTTAGCCACAAGCTTAGCTCCAACCTGAAACGTGCACGATCATGTTGCAGGCCATGAGCTTTGTGCAGCTGCGTCGGAGCTTTCGCCATGAATGCGGGAAAAGATAAAGGCAACAAGTATCTACAATGTACATACAGTGTATTAAGAAACTCTTTACACACCAAAAAGGAAACATTGTTTTAGACTTTGCATGCGAAAAAAAAGTCTTGTGTTTGGTTTATTAAATTTAATTTAATGTTCTAAAAGTCAATTAGCCGTTTATTTTAACCACTTTGTAACAGAACCTAAGGTTGAAAATGGTTAGGGTTAAAATCCAAAAAAAACTGCATCTTTCACATTTTTTCTTGGTCTTTTATCCTCAATTTTCCCAATTTTCTATTTTTACCGAAGTAAAATTTTTCAATTTATTTTTTAAGTTTAAAAAAATTTAAACATTTAATTAATTTATTTAAATAATATGACATTTTTATGCGAAAATAAGTCGGTGTGTGTAGAGTTTCTTGATATACTGTTTGTACATCTATAACTTGCCACCGAAAGCCTCAGCACTGGCTTATCTATTTCCGAGTTTCCGATAGAAATACAAAATATTAGCATGCTTCTTAAAAAAAGGGATTTTCCCAACACGATTACAGTGGCTACAAAAACCACATATGTATTAATATTTGGGTTTTTTTTTTATTAAAAATGGCACGTTCCTATACTTGATAAGAACAAAATTATAAGTTTGTAATAAGCTAATTTTAATTTTTCTATTTTTAAAATATAAGTCTGATAAGAACAAGTAAGTCCCAAAATTATAAAACAACAATAAAAAATTAAATCGTTATTATAAAAAGATTTTAATTATTTTTTAAATATGTATGTATTAGATTAAAAGAATAAAAATGTCCCTATATTTACGTATCTTAAATAATTTAAAGGATTGTCCATCTATGTAAGCACTTTACACGCAACCCAAAACTGATAAGAGTATGTAACCAAATCTGTGTTATACAAGAGTTTTCTCTTTTTTTTTAGACAAACCACCTCTCATTGCACAACAGGTAGAACGAGAAAATAAGAAATGAAAGAATGAAAAAATGCAGCAGGTAACATAATTTCTATGTAAACATTGATGACTCATACGCCCAGAAGACGAGGGAATTCTTTGGAGACTGTTTATGGGACACGCTGGAAATAATGCTTCCAAGCTACACTACAAGAAAACGTGCAATTTGTCAATAAAAAAAATAATATCAAATATTTTCACAAGAAAAAGGTTGAAAAAAGCGCTCTTTAAATATAGTCAGAACCTTTTCTAACGTAGTATTATTTTTTACAGTGTACTTCGATCCAACAATCCACATATTCTTGTTAGTAGACCCACTATTTCCCCGGCTCACCATTTTTTTTTTCAATACCTTTTTGTTGTTTGTTCTGGCCGATAATTTGTTATGCTGCCTGCGTCCCGTTCAGGAATTATATTTTTGGTCCATTGGATGTGAGTCATTGGGTATATGGACTGGGTATTTGCAGACGGACAGGGTCCAGACCCGATCCCCGTTTGTGTTGCAGGTTCCATAACCGTGCATCACAAAGGGGAATGGGCATTTGATTTCTGAAATAGTGGCCAGGCCCTTGATGTTTCTCACACTTTAAAGATTGATCTTGGGGGGGATGAAGATAGTTTTTCTTTAAACAGATATTTATCTTTTTTTGTCATTTATTTTTCAATAATACCTGTTGAAACTTGATACAAGGCTCATTAAGAGCCTATTGATTTCCTTGATTTCCAAAAAGTAAACAATACCAAGGCATTTAAATAAAAAATAATATTTTTTTATTATTATAATATCCAACACAACTATTGTGAACGGTTTTTATTGCCAAACACAAATACATTCGACATATCTTAGGGTCTAAAGTATAATAAAAGTATATTTTGCACAGGTTCTTGATTGCTAATTAACATTAATCGGTTTCAGCAAAAATGTATTCTTAAAAATCATTCATCAACTTAGTTGTATATTCTTACTATTTAAATTAACGACAGACAATTCGCTAAAGTGCTGTAAATTATATTCTCTCCCGATCGTCAGTGCTGTCAAAAATATAGAAGCGAGTGCTCAAAAAATGTTACTTGGCACATTTTGGTTTTGATTTATGTTGGTGTTTATTGAAAAGCTATAAGGCTGATAAGTACGAGTTGTTTTTGTATGCCTGCCACCATTAAATAGGGAAATTATAACGATATAATTTTGATTTCCAGATATGCAATGAATATATACTAAAATAATGCCATTCTGGGTCAGTGATGAGATAGAGAAATGTTATCAAGGTCAAAGAAATGCAAAGTCGTTTGTCAAAGAAGGACAAAGAAGCCATTTAAAATGAGAATAGCTGATGGTATCCTCTATCTGGAGGAATTAAGATATAGCAATAAATAATTTTTGATATTACCGGAAGGGGTTTTTCGAGGTCGGGTTCAGTAGAGCTTTAGGAATATCGTAGATATTAGGGAGGCTACGAAAACGCATTTCGCTGTTAGAAGTAATGGCGGGGTACATATCGAAAACGAATCTATAAATAGTAGTCACAAAATTGAGATTATTAAACCAGGCGTATATCCTCATAGTATACATCAAGTTCTTAGATAGTGGGCTTTGCTGCGAAACTATCCAATGATTATTTTATATGTTTCTTTAATAGTAACTTAAGGTATATGTAAATATAATATTTAACTGTCACAGAACTGTTTTTATATTCTTAACGCACATAACGGCGGCTTAATATTTAATACTGGATCTGATTCTCTGACTACAGTGCGTCTTGAAACTAAACACAAAATAAAATATATCTCTCAACTATGCCCAAGAGTATAGAAAATCAGTGAATCTTAATATCATTAGAACTGAATCTTTTCTTAACGCACTGTGACCAATCATTTAATTGGGGCTTTTCTAAAATTGACCTCCAAGAATCACACCCTTGTCGAGTATAACCCAACTCACATACATATATTGTCGTTTTCACACAACGCTCTCCTGGTCTTTGTTTAACCTTTTCTGAAAGAGGAAATATAGGAAGCGATCGAATATCTACTGTGGGAGTTAATCATGTTTATAGACTGAGTTATGTACATCGGAATATCATGCGGCAGCACCTATTGGTGTCAATATTAAGAACTTGATTCTCAACTACCTTTTTTTTGGGGGGTAACTATATAGAAGTAGAATCTGTGGATTAATTGCAGGCGGATCTTAAATCTTTATGGAATATATGTTCGTTTACCCTGTACCCTGTTTCATTCTGATCTGTTTCTGTTTCGGTTCTCAACGCTCAACGCCTAGAGCCTATCCGTTAAATATTATTTAGTTGATATATTCTCAGGTACGCGCTGCATTTCTCTAGTTAACATTCCCCATTCCGTTTTGTGAAATCTTCTAAAAGGAACATTGATCATTTCTTTAGGTGTATGTGGGCTAAACTAGCGACAGAGAAACTTTACTCAAGACACACTCTAAGCTCCCTGATGATTATCCCCGGACTGAGACTGCTCGCCCGCCTCCTGCTCTTGATTCATCGCCGGAGACTCGTCCTCCTCATCGCTGGAGTCCCCGTAGCTGCGCATGGTTAGCGCCTGGAAGTTATTCAAGGCCTGCTCGAAGAGATCGATGGTGTGCTGGTTGTTCTGTATGTGCTGGATGGTATGCTGGAGGGTGTGCAAGTTCTCCGTGATGAGATCTTGTATGGAATTGGGCGGCGAGGAGGCAGGCGAGCGTCCCGCTTCCTGTGGATCTGTGGATTGGATTTGCTCACCGCTGGGATCTTCGCTGATGTTGCTGGCCGCCAATCCTCTGGTGAGTTCGTCCGCCTGGGCTAGTGTTGAGCCAATGATGTCGCTGGCAATCCTGATCGCCGCGTCCGTAGCCGCAATCGTAGATATAAAGCTTGAGCCAGCTGTCGCCACGGTTGCCGGAGTGGTTGTGCTGCTGGTGGGTCTACTAAAGATAGTGTCGCTGGTCACCTGGTTGCCCTCAATCCTCAGGCCGGCCACCCCCTTCTTGGGTATGGTGGCCAAGTCTCGTTTAACCCTCCGACAGCGGGTGGGTTCGTTTTGGCGCTGCTGGACAAGCTGCTCGAGATCCACAATGTAAACGTAGCCGGCCACCAGGATGGTGCAGGACTTGTCGCCCTTCTTGAAGGCCTCCTCTATGTCCTGACTCGTTCGATCGTCGTACTGCCACCAACCTGCGATAACACATTTAACAACAAAAAATAATCGGACTGGGAGAGGAATCTATTCCTCGTTGTTTTTTGGCCTCTAATCACAGATTGGTTTTTTTTTAACAATATGGGAATTGGTGTGAGGAACGAGTGGATGCGGGATGCCGCGTGGTGGGTGTTTCTTCGAAAAGTTTGTTTATTTTTGGAGCTTGCTGAGTCCAGCGACGCCTTTGGTTACTCCCGGCACTGAACCTGATGCATTTCTTCTGATTATGTTCCGACGCCGCTGAGCGTCAGATCGGGGATACTGCTGCATGCACTGAAAGTCAATGACGTATATTGCTCCGCAGATTTGGAGGTGCAGCCGGCTTGGATGCGGTCCAATGTCCGAGAGATCCTCGGAGCTGGTGCTCTGGAACCCGTCCTCATCGGAGGCGTCATAGTCATCCGAATCGGTAGAAGGTAATGTTTCGGTTTCAAAAAGACAATATTCGTCATCGGAATCTCCCAAAGCAATAAAATCAGGACTTTTTTGAGGATTTGGTGGCGGTTTCGGTTTCTCCGACTTGTACTTCAAGTAGCCTGCATAGGCAACCTCGATGTCCTCATTCGTCCGCGTATCGTAGGCCCACCAACCACCTAAATGTGCATGCGCGTTTGTTTTGGGTTTATGGGATATGAGGGGCGGCCAACACCAGAAGCGTGAATTCTACTCACCGTTCCGGCCCTCGTAGTACCACTGATAGCCATCCTCGGTAGCGCGGGTGGCGCAAATGTCTTCGATGCCATTCACCAGCTGTGGATGGTCAAGAAACTCGGCGGGAATTTCGCGGCGACACATGGCGCAACGTCGGTTCTTGTATGCAACACCCTAGAAACGATTATGAATACGATTTAATAGAGTAATTCTGGTCCAGTTTCCTGAAAGGAAGTTAGAACCACAGAAGCTAAGCTGCTAATTGCCGCTATGCCACCTTCGAGCATTAGGAACAAGTTTCCGAACTGGAAAATGCACTTTAGTGCTAATTGGAATACTTGTCACAGGCAGAAACTGGTTGGAAATGATCGGGGGACGGAAACCAATCTAAAAGTCCCCAGGCGGAAGTCTATCTAATGCCATAATTGACGCGCTGGTTGGTTCACCTGGCATGCTAATCAATCGGTTAGCACCAAAGGGTTAAGAACAGCCTTGAACTTGACTACGTGCCTACGAGGCTTTGGTGCGGTGCGAAAATTTAATTTAAAAGCCCAATTCGATGATGTGAATTGCATGACTAATTGGTCGGGAGTGTAGCTTCCGCCTTAGGATTTTGGAGCTACGCACCTTAACACACAAGAAGCAGAAGATGTGGCCGCACGGCAGGCGGGCAGGATGGATGCAGGTCTGCAGGCAGATAGGACATTCCAATGGAGCTGCAGTGTCCTCGCCAGGAGTCGGAGTGGCTACAAGAAAAAGGGAATAGTTTTTATTTTAACATTTTTGTTTTAAGGATATGAATGTAATTAGGCTCCCAAGCCTCTCCCTGAGTCCGGCATCTCTAAATTTTTAATTTTCAAGATTTCTTTAATTAAATAAATCACCAAATATTATAAGACCTCTTTCTTTAAATGTCAAAGGCCCTTTTTCTTCATCAAGGCCATTGCCTTTACTGTATTGGCCAACTTTTCCTCACCTGCTTCACCGTCAGTTGATTTCAAAGCTTCCCCCGGTGACGATGGAGCAGGTGGTGGTGGAGTATCTGATTCACCACCAGCACCAGCAGATCCTGCTTCTGCTGCCCTGGCTGCAGCAGCCGCGGAAGTCGAGGGCGACATGCAGAGATCGATGACACTGGTCAGAGGACGCACAACACCAACAAACTGGACATCTTCGTCCTCCTCGTCGTCGCCGTCGTCCAAGTTAACCACGGCGTTGTTGCTGGCTGTGTTGGGGTCTGTTGCTCGTTGTTGCGACATGGTTAAACTTAAAGTGAATCAAACGACGTGTGTCGTCGTCGTCGCGTTTTATTTTTATGACAATTTATTTTTTCACAACAAACGAAGAACAGCGCACAGCAAGTTGGCAGCTCTCGAAACAAACAAAATAGGGTTGTTGATAATATATCGATAGTCAAGGCACAAAATCCGCAAAAGTGGCAGCACTTAAATTAAACTTAGTGTTGTAAATGACAAAAGGGCGCCAAATTAAAAAAAAAAATATGGTAAAATTTCTAAAACAATTTAGATTTTGATGAATCTTCCTCGTAAGAAACTTCTAGCTTAAGTAATTGTCAAGTTTTATACAAGAGGAAAATAGTTTATTGACCGTTTTGTTTTTTTTAGAAAACTATTTACTCTTATATTAGAAATTACAATTAGAAAATGTAAGTTTTGTTTTATTCATAAAGCTTAAGTAATATTGCTATATTTTAACAAACCTTATTCAATAAAAATGTATTTAACTTTAAATAAACTCTGATTTCCAAATAAAATTATTCAATAAAAATGTATTTAACTTTAAATAAACTCTGATTTCCAAATAAAATCTTCAACTAAAATGTAAAGGAATTTATTGAAAATACCTGATTTATTTTTAAATAGTTGCCTCGCATTTCATTCATTACCTTTGGCTGCTCCCACATTAATAATGCTTTATTAAATTCGATAAAAACCAATTAAAATTATTCGCTTCATTACATGCAACACCTCCTGGCCACCCCCGCCGAAACGAGAATTTAACTTCATAAAAATTGACAGCCCTTTGCCCAGAGTTTCGGTCAGCGAAGCATCACGCACTTTTTAATATGCAGCCGGCATGCCACCAGAAGGCAGAAGCAGCAGAGCCCCAGAGCAAAAAAAAAAAAAGTAAAACACAACAACAGTCAGTTGCAGTTGTCCTGGACAGGACCTTCGGACTCATTACATAAAAATCAATTTTTGGTTTATTTTTGCTTTCGCTTCTCTCCGCAATTGCATGTCATTTTTTGTCAATTACACACTTACACACACCCATACGCCCAATTGCCTAATTGCGCGACAGACAAACGCGTTGCGAACTCAACTGCCAACGAGTTTTGTAAATTACTCTCGTTCAGATTTCGCTTTTCTGGATGGGAATGTGGCTGCGGCATCCACTGCCCCTGAAGCTGTCCTCCCGGGCGGCTGTTTAATGCACGTGTCCCTGTGGGCGTTTTAAAAATGTGTTGCCTGTCCTGGGATGACACTGTTACGACGTGATTCGCCTTGGGGAATGTGAATTTTTAAAAATCTACAAAAAAATATGGCTTAAAAAAAAAAAAATTTCAAGTTTATAGAAAACATTTTCATTACCATTAGGTTTTTGATTAAAATAGTGGATTAAAACTTATAGAACTGGCTAGTTTTCAAACCAAAGTTATAAAATAGCTTAATTCAAATAAGATTGAAATAAATATTCAAGAGAAAAGTATTTCAAAAATATAGATGCTCTAAATTATTTATTTATTTTGTTTATTTATATTTAAAAATAAACTTGAGCCTTGTTTTGTTTTATTTTAAGACCTAGAGTCCTTAATACCACTTTCAATCAAATAAAAACCTATATACCTTGTAACCCTAGTGTTAAAAGGTATTTGAAACGCAGATAGCAACTATTTAGTATTCAAGGCAAGTCCTTTAACTCTCGACACTCAACCCTTTATCCTGTGGCTCGTTTCTGGCACTTGATTTTTTGTTATAATTGTTCTATGCGATGCACAATTGAATTTTTATTTCCAGCAAACGATCAAGAGAACAGCAAAAGTTGAAAATATGATTGCTCCTTTATGGCTTCATTGCCTTTTTGGCCACAAAACGAAGGCCATAAAACCAACAACTCACAAAATGAATGAAAAGAAAACCTCAAATCTTAATGTAATTATCAGGCAACGAAAAAAAAATGAAAAACGTTTATAATGGTAGACGCCTCAAGATTATTAACACAATAGAGGGCAGCAGTGGTCGTCATAAGCATAAAAATATTGTCATCCCCTTTCCAGAGGCCTTAGACCTCTGCCTTTTTTACCCCAAAAACGGGGGAAAAAATATTCCTTGTTCACTTTGCACCCTCTTGGTAATAAGCCGTACTTTTGCATCTTATTGCTCTTTATTTTATCATTTGCTGGGTCTTGTACATTCTCACCCTTAAACATTTTATTATCGCCGTTTTTTGTATTTTTTTTTTTGGTTCGCAAATTCCCAAATCCCTTTAATAAACGAAAATTGTCTAACACATGTGAGAAGAGGTCTGAAGTCGGTGCAGCCTAAGCTTTAATAAATTTACCATCAAAATTTCGCACGACTTTCCTATTAAAATGCTGATTTTCCATAGGAATGGGTAGGTTATTTTTAGAAGACTGATAGATTAAGGAAGATAGCCTTGATATGAAATCATATGATCCAATATGGTTTTACTTTAGACTTTCGATCTTCGAAATTTGGATATTTTTTAAATAAGAGTCCCTAAAGCCTTGAAGCATAAAGAATATTAAAAAAGAAAAGTTAAAATTAAATGTGTCAATGCCTGCCTAATCAGTGAACTACTTTTCACAGTGACCTTCCGCCCTTTTCCAAACTCATTTCTTGCAGAAGCATTCAGTCGCTTTTTAATTAAAATATAAAAACGAAGGGAACGTGCCGCGGTCGTTAGGCAATAAACTTGGACACCGCGCATCCTGGCAAGGACAATTACCAGGCGGAAAATGTCGCAACATTTTTACTCCTTATCGCTGCCTTTGGGTACTTTACTTTTGGGCGAAGGAATTCCAAGCCGCGGCGGCATAAAGGAAAACGAATTAACGACATTGTAATGCTTATCTGAGGAAAAAGGTCCTTTTTGGCCAAGAACACAGGCATATCCTTTCGCCCTTCTTCAAACATATTTTGCCTGAAATCTCCGGTAGTCTTCTTGTACAAAAAAAAATGGGGGAAAATCTTGATTTTTTAATTTTAACGCTTTATTTAATTATGTGCCGACGAGACGACTTGAAGTTTGCTAATAAAATGCTTAAGGACTGCCCTTTTTGGTCCTTCCTCATTTTATCTGAGCAATAAAACCCACAAAAAATGGGCTAAAAATTGCATTTTTTTCCTCGGCTACTTTCGCTTTTAGGATTCTCTCTTTTTTTTTTAATAAAGACATCAACAGATGGGCAGCGATAAAAAGCCAAAGATTATGGAACAGACTACAAAGGAGTGGCAGCTGGGGGAGGCATCCTGACCAGAATGGTCAGGGCCAAGTGTCGTGTGGCTTTTGACACCCCATGGAATAAACAACAGAAAAAAATAAGGGAAAAACAGGCAACAGTTTCTGCTTTTTTCGCCTCCATTCAGGATTCAAAGGAAACCCGGACAAAAGGCCAGACGCCTGAGATTTAGTTTTAAGCGTTAACACTTGACCCACGGAGAATACGGGCTGCACTCGAAGGTCCTGTCAGTTTTTATGTCTTTAAAGATAAGCATTTATTTCTTATTCGCTTTTTCTTAATGCGAAAACTTTTAATTAGCTGAGAAGAACTGTTTACTTTTTATATTCAACTTTTCCCCCAATTTCTATCCAATTGATGTTGAACAAATTTCAGGCCAATGAGAAGTATTCAATAAAAATACAAATAAAAATCAAATACAAATACAAATCGAATTGTTTGGTATTGTTACGCATCCTTAGGGGGATGTTTAGCCTACTTATGAGCATCATTTGAAGTGTCACCTGTTGTCGCCTCTTCCCTGACTTGCTTCTTGCTTCCCACAGGGCTGATTTAAATCTTTAAAATCAATATGCCAAGCTACAACCCAAACAAGAGTAGCTCCTGGGCAAATAGAATAGCAAGGGGGAGTCCCGTGACATCCTTGACAGGTGTGAGGATGGGCGGAGACCCCAAGATGTCTGTAAAATATGCCTCTTGGCAACAGACAGTTGGACAAATTGAAATGGTTTAGATTACAGTTGACTTTTATAAGCGGATTCTGGGCGTGACACAGTGGCAGTTATTGGTAAGAATGACTTTTTAGTCATTTCTGGTAAATTGAGGAAACTTTTTGCAAATTTTCTGAGTGGGGGTCTTCAAATTGGGAAACCCTGAATATGGTTTAAATTACCCACAAATTTCGGCAGATTCGTAGATCGTATATCAATTCTCGGAAAGGATACAAATTTTTTTTTTTTTTTTTTTTAATTTTTTTGTTTAGCAGCCACAAAAAGGCTCTCTGCAAAGGCTGTATCTTTCACAAAAAGCTTGAGCGGAATACCCTGAATGATGTATAGATCCATTCTCCATAAAATTTCATCAAAACATAAGAGCGTAATTTTTTTTCGATCCTATGTTACATTTTATGGAGGGTCCCCTTTGAAAATCCCCAAAAAAAGCATGGAGGCAATACATGGTTCTCGAAATCTAAGAACATCATTTTTTTTTAATTGTTTGTCAAAATTTCTGGAGGGTCCCCCTTGATATACCACAAAAATGCATGGAGCTACTATATGGCTACAGTGATGGTATTAGAATATGTATATGTATCAGAATTAACATCCGATTCTTGAGCGGAATACCTTAACGATTCGTAAATCGATTCTCAATGCTTTATATGGCTTTTTGTTAAGTTTTCTATATGGTCCTTTTGGAAAATCCACAAAAATTCATGAAGCCACCAATCTTTGGCAAAATCATTGGATTCTTCAGAGGAATGCCTTAAACAATTGGTAAACGGATTTTTTAAGAAATATTCATCACAATCTTAAACAAAGTTTTTGTTTTGATTTTTTATAAAATCTTTTGTTAGAGCCCTTGGAAAATGGGGAATTTCTGAATATGGTAGATGTATGTATATGGCCCACAATGATGTCTATGTTTTTGAACTTTAATTACGATCCTTGAGGTACATACCTTGAAATTTGTACAAAAATAATTATATTCAAAAGAAAGTGTTTTTTTAAAAATGGAAGACACAAATTTTAAATGTATTTCAGACTTTACATGGAAACTTAACAGAAACTAGTTACAATAAAGGCTATTTCGAGTTTTCAGACAAAATTACATCGACAGAATTGTCTTTTTGATAATTTCAATGCTCTCCCGCATTTGGGATTCATTGATAACGAGGGGCGGGGCGAATCGGATGATATCTCCATGGGTCGGCTTGGCCAGGAGACCGTTTTCCTTAAGCTTCAGGCACACCTTCCAAGCATCGTATTCTGGAAAGGAAATATATGTTTTATAAAAAATGTATAATCAAAGAAAATTAAAAAAAAAACTCACTCTCATTGATGACAATGGCGTTGAGCAGACCCTTTCCACGGACCACAGACACCACATCCTTGGGAAGTGTGGAGAGCTCGCTGCGCAGCAGTTTACCCATCTTGAAGGCATTCTCGGCCAGTTTCTCCTCCTGCAGGACCTCCAGAGCAGCCATGGCAACCCGGCAGCCCAGGGGATTGCCTCCGTAAGTGGAACCGTGCTCTCCAGGCTTGATGCACAGCATCACAGGATCATTGCAGAGCACAGCGGATACCGGGTACAAGCCACCGGATAGGGCCTTGCCCAGGATCAGGATATCAGGCTGAACCTCCTCATAATTGACAGCTAAAAGCTTTCCAGTCCTGGCCAATCCAGTCTGCACTTCATCGGCGATCCACAGGACATTGTTTTTGGTGCACAGCTCACGGACCTTTTTAAGGTAGCCATCGGAGGGCACCACCACACCAGCTTCGCCTTGAATGGGTTCCACCATGAAGGCACACACATTCGGATCCTTGAGAGCTTCCTCCAAGGCGGTGATATTGTCGTACTCGATCAGCTCGAATCCTGGCATGAAAGGACCGAATCCTTCGTAGCTGCTGGGATCATTCGACGCAGATACGGCGGACAGGGTGCGTCCCCAGAAGTTGTTGCGGGCAAAGATGATCTTGGCCTGGTTGGCAGGTATCTTCTTCTGGAGATAGCCCCACTTGCGGGCCAACTTGCAGGCCGTCTCGCCGCCCTCGACTCCCGTGTTCATGGGCAGTACTTTGTCGAAGCCAAAGAGCTTAGTCACGTATTCCTCATATTCGCCAAGGACATCCGAATAGAAGGCACTACAAAGTAGAGTTAAAATTATAATATAAAAAGTTTATAAATATATATTTTAAAAATATTTTAGATAAGGCTAAAAATAATCTGAAGAAGTTCATTGCTTTCCATACCATATCATCAACAAATGATGTTCCAAATTTAGAAATCCAAAAAAGAAAAAATAAAACGTGTCACCAATCGCCGATTTCTTATCAATGACTCTATCGCCCCATTCAACCTGACAATCTGGCCCTGGCAACCCAATGGAAACCAAATAAAACCGGCCATCAGTTCGCATCTCAAGTGGAGCAGAATAATTCAATAAATTTTCTTTCTGACCAATGAAAAATAGCACAGAAAAGTGCGAAATTTTATATATACCTATTATTTGAGACACTGATAAGATATCATTTTGTTCATGGGGGGTTATCAGTGTCGTTAAAAATAAAGCAACTTGAGAAGTAAACAAAAGCAGAATGTTTTTAAAATATTTTTTTTAGATTTTGAAATAATTACATTTTTTAAAACCTTAATTTTTATTAATCCGGAAATTGGGGTTTAGGCCATTAATCTTGTCCAGACATATTAAAATATTAATAGCATACTGTGCTATCTCTAGAGGTTTGTTTTTAATGTAAACTTTTTATAGACCAAAAAATATAGTCATTCGATGAGTTTAAACTTTCAGTTGACAACAGAAAAAAATTACGAATTAATCTTGCACTTGAAATTGTGTAAACAATTATTGTCCCAAAAAATAAGGCTATAAATTAGGGTGAACTGGTGGAAGTGGTAATTTTAATTAGAATTACGTATACGACATGTGTGCTGGAAGTTAGGTAATATGATTAAATTTTAGACAATATATGACTATTTTTAAAATGTAATATCTTTTTTATATTATTATAAATACAAGTTCACCCTAACGAACCTATAGTATATCAGTGCACTGATAAAGCTCTATGAAATAGATAAGCTTTTAAGGGGGCACGTCTTTTGTTTTTATTAAAAAATCCCTTATTCCATTATGTTTTACTTACCGGGATGTCAAGGCCAGCTTGGAGGCCTGTTCCGTAAGGGCCTTGACGATTTTCGGGTGGCAGTGGCCCTGGTTGACCGCCGAATAGGCACTCAGATAGTCGAAGTAGCGCTTACCCTCGACATCCCACACGAAGACACCCTCGCCCTTGGAAAGTGCCACCGGCAGGGGATGGTAGTTGTGGGCTCCGTATTTATTTTCACGGGCAAACACCGCCTCGGAAAGGGATCCGGCGGCAGGAGCAGCCGATTCCTGGGAGACCGCCTTCTGGGCCAAATAGCCGATGCGGGTGGCAATGCCGCGTGTGGAAAGCTTGGAGAACATGATTAAATAATATCACTGGGGGTTATGGACACTTGTTCTCGCGGATCAGTGGCGATGATTACTGAAAGTCCACTGGGCTGTAGCGGCAGCTATTTATACATTCTTCCGGAGAGAGGGGATGGGTATTATGGAGAGACTGATAGAGAGTGTTTCGGGGTCTCTCCCTCCATATGCTCTATATACACCCCGATTTCCATATTTATTTCATTCCTCTTATATTACATTAAACTTTTAAAGCAAGAGTTATCAAAATGTAAATGTAAATTCGATATTGTGTGAACTTGATCTATAAGCATTGTTGTTTTTTTTTATGATTTAATGGAGAAATTGTAATCAGCAAAAAAATTTCCATTGCTCAATTGATTAAGCTTAAAGAAGCTTGGGGACGAAAAAATATAAATTACACTTAAAAGCTTCCTTTGTAGAAAAATTAAATTTTGGTTTCATATGATATCATAAGATTATGTATCAGGAAAAAAATACACTATATAAATAAAACAACGTTTGTTTAGTATTTTCATATATTTATTGGATTTTTCATAAATAATTTACGGGACTTAAGAATTTACAACTAATTTCTGGCTTAGATTTGATAATTCCTTTGTCATTAATCGTATATTGTTTGTTTCGCGATCAATTAAACATTTAACAATTATAGCACGTTCGGGGAAATTACAATTACAAACATACTGATATTATTAATTATTAAGTACACATAAATGTATATGACATTTTCGAGAAGGCAACCAAAAATTGCACTAAATTATTGTATAATTAAAACCGATTCCATTTTAAATGAGAAATATTGAATAAATATACTTGTTTTTAGTTTTGTCCGATTTTTACAGTGTCGGAAAATAGGGAGAGGGAGGTGGAGGGGAACTTTGGTGGGCGGGAGCTGAACCGAAAGAGTGTTGCCTACTTTGGGGCTGATTCGCTCAATTAAACATCATCATTATCATCGCGATTCATTAGCTACCTCAAATACAATATTTTATTAATTAATTTTAATAAATTCACGCTTTGATTGCAATCATTCATGTTCACTCCATGGCTTGGGGCACACTTTGTTGTGGCGACTGGGCGGGCGACAGGCTGCGGGGCGTGGCCGTGGCAGTTACCGCCTCGCCACTTCCGGCCACCGCCCTCTGCTGGCTCTGGGCCTGGCTAAGTAGCTCCTTGTTCAGGCGATAGCTGCTCATGACATTGGCACAGCTCTGGTGGAAGTAAAAGTTACGACCGCGCAGGAAGGCATCCGTATTGAGATCCTTTATGCCTGTCTTGAGAAATGAAACAAACAAGAATTCCAAGCTATAGAAATGATATACTCTATAAGGGTTTAGGATGTAGTTTTTTGTGCATTAACTAACATTAGAAATAACAAGATAGAATAGAGAGACAGTTAGGGGATTCGAGGGCTTTAATGGGAGATCGTGCTTGACTTTAAGTGAAACTGAAGCAAACTGAGAAATTACCTTACAAATGAAACACTTGTTTTCATCGTCCGGTTTTAAATCCGAACTAATCCCCACCTTTGTGTCCAATTGCGTTAATCCTGGCACGCCCATTGACGACAACTGCGACAGGCTATTCTCCATGCTCTCCGCATATTTGGATGACGGATTGTTGTTGTTATTGCTACTATTGTTGTTGTTGTTATTATTGTGGGATACATCCATGGGTCCAGGTTCCGTACTGCTCACCTGCGGCTCAGATCTGGGTCGCTCCTCCACAGGTGAAATGTTTTCCAGGGATCTGAAATGATGTACAATTTTAAGAAGAAGTCTTAATAGTAAGTGGTTAAGATATTTAAAAATATCTTTTAATCATAAAAAATATTAAAATATATATTTTACCTGCTACTGCCCACATTCTGCTCCTCCTGCCTTCGCTGAACTTTGCTGTAATTGATTTTGCTCGACACCTTGACGGTGTCGTCGTCGTCAACAATCACGTCCTCATCGCTGTCATTCTGACACGATGCCGTGTCCATCATTAGCTCCTTGTTGTTGTTGCCACTGCCACCACCGGTGGTGTTGTTGTTGTTGCTGTTATTGGTGCTACTGCTACTGTTGTTGTCGTTAACGCCCCCGCCGCAGGAATCGGCGTTGTAATAGTGATGTGTGGTAGATGACAGCTCGCTGACGGTTTTCACTGGAGGGGATGACACGGTGGACAATAATTTCCATATTACACTCAAAAAAATCGAAAAACCTTAGATTGCGACTTGAGACTCACCACTGATATGTGCCTGAGGTGGGGCATTAGCCTCGCCCGGCCAACTGCTACTGCTGGCCGTTGTTACATTGGTGCTCACATCCTGCTCGTCGGCATGGGCATCCTTCTGGTTGATCACACAGGCCGTTCGGTATAGAATCCCGTCCAGCTTTCCTGGCTGGGCATTGCTGTTGTGCATGCTGGAGGGCGGAAGGATAGAGCCTGAGCCTACAGACCCTGCACCGGTTAGTTCCGAACCCGAATCGGGTACATCATCGTTGCAGCTCTCGACATCCACTGTTTCGATCTCTTCCTGGGATTTGGCATCGTCCTTAAAGATAGGAAAATATTTTGTTTAGGGTTTAAAATGTTAAATCCTCATGAAGGGTTATCTTCCTTATAAGATAAGAGTTTCTATAGCTCATAAAATTATATAAAATGTTATTAAAATTCATTAAACAAGTGCCACTTCCTTAGAATAATTTTTAAATATTCTTTTTTAAGACCTACCTCTGGTGGCATCTTCCCCGTTTCCAGTGCATACTTCCTCTTACAAATCGGACAACTACTGCAGTATAGACTCTCCATCATGTACATCTCCCCGTACTTGCGCTTTCGAACTTTGAGTCTCAGGCGGTTCTGGCGATTGTTTCTTATTCTCTGGAAAGTCTGAAAAAATAATACAAATTATAAAAAACTTAAATAAATAAGAAATAAGAAATTATTAGAATATTTACCTCCCAGCGGTTGTGACTCGTGCGGATGGCGTTCTCCTGGGCCGGACACGGTGGGGCAAACATGTAGGTGGCCTGAAGATTGGCCCGCTCGAAGCCCGCACTCAGCTTGTAGAGCCTGTCCAGCTCGGTGAGGAAGTGCGTGTGCCACTCCTCGGCGCTCAGCTTCAGCCCGCAGACCGGACACAGATCCGGGATGGCTCCACCGGCGGCGGCGGCCTGCAGTCCACTGACCAGGCTCAGGCCCCCGGGCACTGCCCGCAGCCCCGCCATGCTCAGGCTGGCCAAGGCCGCGTGATGGGCGGCGTGGTGGTGCGACAACGGATGCGGGTGGGCCATGTGATGGTGGGTCGTCACCGCCGTGGAGACAGGGGGCGGTGCTCCCACATGGTGGCCGTGGTGCGGATGGGCATGCGGATGGGCCAGGGGATGCGGGTGCGAGTGGGGATTGTGAGGGTGGTGCGAGTGCGCGTGGGAGTGCGGGGAGGCGGCGGCCAGGTGGCTGGCCATCGAAACGGCCACGCTACTGGCCGCCGTGCTGATGGCCGGATTGCTGGTCGAGCAGGAGGAGGACGAGGAGCTGGATGCCGACGAGGAGGTGGCCAGTGCCTGGTGGCTCTTCCCCGCGCTGTGCAGATCTGTGAGGAAAAAACGACAAGGTGCTAAATTTTAGTCAAGCCGCAATCATCAATCAAGTGCCGAGGCAATAAAAATTCAACAACACCGTGCTTTGATTTTACACTGAGAAAAAATCTCTTAAAATTAGAAGAAGGTGGGGATTGAATACTTAGATTAAAGCAACGATTTCTCCCAGTGCACCACCCCCGATTTCGCTTCTACCATAAATTTTCGAGGCATTTTCTAATTGCCTCTCCGCACTTTTAAACGCGACAGAGGAAAAAAATTAATTGGAGCTCGTAATTTTGTGAAGGGAATCTGAATCTGAATCCGAACCTGAATTTGTGTGGCAACGACACACAACTCTGTTGCAGGATTTTCCGTGTCAGACACACGTCCCCACAGGCGCCACAGTAAAAAAAATAAGCCACCGGCAACCACAATAAATACAAACTGTTTGCAACAAATCCCGCCAAACAAAATCTGTCTCACCCGCCGTCCTTTCTGCACGTGACTGCCTGGCGGTAATTAAAATAATATTACAATAAATATATGTATGGCCATGTGGTCTCTTGGCCAGGCCAACTAGCATTGTTGGATTGCCGGCCAAATGGTTTTATTTATATTCCTCTAAATTATTGCAGAACAACAAAATATGTCGGGTTAACCGCGTACATCAGAAACACTCGAATGACTTTGGTGGCTTCATAGTTATATTTATGGAGAGGCATATCAGAGTCGTGACTTTGGTTTAAATTAGCTCTGCAGTTTGGTGGGGGTTTGTTCCAGTTTTCAGTTTCGCCTTTCACGAATCGAAAAAAATTTACTAAATTTTATGATTTTTGCAAGTTATTTTGTTTAAAGGATGTCCTCTGATTTCCCATTCAATCAGATTTTAGCAAAAAACCTTCCCTGCTTGAAACACGGCCTCGAAACCACTTTCCCACCCCAAAAAACGGGGCGTTCCAAATATCGTTATATGAAATATGACTCTGGCTTGTGTCGTGTATTTTCGGCCATTAATATTACCAAAATTAATATGAAAATTCCAAGTGTGCATTCAATACAATACATCATCGCTGGAACACAAACCATCCCAGGGAAATAATAATAATAATAACTCTCGTCATAACAATGGCAAACAATGCAATCAAAGCGATTTGCAACACTTGCGCATCCTTGGAGCGAGCAAATCGTAAAATAAACCGATAGTCGGAAAAAAATCCTTCCAAAAAACCGACAATAAATGAGCAAACATTATGGTGGCACGAGGGGTGACTTATAATTGCCTCCAGAAGAGCTTGCCACAATGTCGTGGATGAGTAATTAGCCAGGAGTGGCGGACGTCTTCCTGGCGAAAGGATATGCCGTCGGTTTGACTTTGTAGTCAAGTGGTTGGGGTGGATGTTACATTTCAATAAGCCTCCTCGACTCGAGAATCCTTGTGCCATTTAAAACACTTTGCCAGCAAACACACACCCAGGCACACACAGCTTGTTTCTTAACCCTTTGGTGCTTTTGAATTCGTTGGCATGCCCTTTTGACTTTTGCCGCATGTCGCACCGGAAGGTAAGGGGGTTAAAATGGAAAATAGAGCACTTTGTTCTATTTATCTTTAGTTAGTTTAACACATTGATAGATGGCCGCTTGTGCAGCAGATTCAGCTAATTAAAAGTGTATTATTTATCGAAATTAATTTATGGGTCTCAGGTCTATCTACGACTACTACTCGTATAATCCAAAAGTCAAACACCAATCCACATGTTGGCGTCGGGAGGTGGTGGGTTGTTTGAGCAAAAAACTGGTTTTCCGGCTTAAGTACAAATGTAAATAATGGTTGAAGTTAAATAAAGAGTTGGCTAGAGAGGCAGAGGCTTTTGAAATGGGGGGTTTAATTTAGTTTGGTATTTATTTGAAATAATAAAAATTAATTTAAAAATATTTCTAAATTTTGGGGGGTAATTCTATGAGTATCGAGGAGGAGAGCCCTTCATATTATGTAGTATATTAGTTATTTAATATTAACAACATTTATAAAGATTCAAGAACGGAAATTATAAATAATAAAATAAAATATTTTATTTTAAGGGTTTCTTAAGTACACACCATGAGAAGCCTTTGAGATACATAAGAAGGAGGAAACCCCTTTATTTTATTTAGAATTATTTTTATTTTAATTATCTTAGTTATAATAATAAAAATGTATTACCAAATTATTATTGAATTTTGTTCACCACCACTTAACTGCTTCCTATGAGAATCGAGGAGGAGGGCGCTCTTTTTTATTTATTTATTTTTTTGAAAATCATTGTTTTCCAAACCTAAATTAAATTTCCTGTTAGTTTACCCCTTTTAGAGGACGCCCCTGTGTTCTCATCCTACATATCAATTATTCACTCCAACCTTTGGTATTTGTTTCGTTCATTTGCATTCATATTTATCATTTTCATATGCTGCCTTCCGGTTCCAGTTTTCGTCCTAAGGCGCTTAACTCGAACAGCTTTGTCGGACCAATTAGCAACGCATTTGCAGCCAAATTGGTTTAGCCTATATTTCGGCAAATTCCGGGGTAAACAATTTAAAGTCATTTGCGATGATAAGCCACCCCAGGTGAATTCCTACATAAGAATTAAAGCACAAATATCCAAACTCTGGAAAACTAATAAAAAACAAAGTGAATTGAAGTGACTAGAAGTTGGGGAAGATGGGTCCTGTCGCTGTCCTTACGCCTGCCAGTCAAAGTTAACCTACTGAAGCGTTAAAATTGCTCAGAAAAAATACCTAAAATTGAAACAAATACGCAAAAGCGATTTTTATCTGGAAAACAGGGAATTGGGAAGCTCAAACTTTCAACTCCCTTTTTTTTTGGTCGGGGTCGGGGTTATCGCAAACATGCAAATTTTTTTTATGTAAATTTGCAAAATAAATAAATGTGCTGCAACCCTACTTACGTCTCAAATCCCTGGGATCCTGAGAATTATTGCTGCGCGGACTTTCACCCTTTTCAACGGCATCGTAATCCTGTGATCCCTCCATGGATTCATGGGATGTGCATGTGGGACTGGCCGAATCCGTGCGAAATGATTCGCTGCCGTTGAACAGATTCTGCCGGATAGAAATCGAAATCCCAATATGACAAGTGTCAATCTTCCGGCGATTATCAGCTCATCGCTTCCGCATCGCGTTGGATACAATGGCAGTTTGCAGCCGCAGGACAAAGCTCACCTGGTCCAAGGATATGCCGATGTACTTGGGCGGCGAGAAGGCCGACGGCAGTGAGAAGTTCGACAGCACCGACGGCTTCCCCAGCGGCGACCGGTCGCTGGCAAAGTAGCTGGCCGGACCCGCTCCCGCAGCCGCCGCCGCCGCAGCTGCTCCGTTCGCCACCAGCATCCCGTGGTTGATCAGCAGGTGCTGGTTGAAGTAGTTGCCGACTAGTGACATGTTGTGAAGATCTTTGGCGTCAGGTAACTGCAAAGTTTAAAGTAGAGTTTAAGTTGATTTGTTTAAATATTTAATACTATTAAATATTATACTAATATAACTATTTTTAAAAAACGTTTTCCGAAGAAGCCCATTGTAAATCTTAAATAATAACACACTAAGACCCTAATTCCGTATGGTTTATAATCTTTTTATACCCGGTTCTCGTAGAGTAGCATCGGGAAACCTGGCTATAGCCGTCCGTTCTTTTAAAATTCTGTATTTTTGTAATAAATGGATCACTTTGCTATAAAAAGAACTAAGAATTGGATCTATAAAGTTTTTATTTCGAAACTAAAAAATGTCCTTTGATATATTTCAACGTTTTTCCACAAGTACTCATAGACTTTGTATCCAAAATAAACTAACATAACTGATATAAAAACTTGTCATAAAATTATATTAAATGTTTAAATGCATGTATCAAATAATATGCATATGGATATAAAATATGTGGATGTGAAACACGTAGAAATATATTTGTAAAAATATAAAAATATATGGATATGAAAATTAAACCTATATAAAATACACATGAAAAGTATGCTATACTTATTTTCGCAGGGGAGTTTCCGCTCGTAATCTATTCAGAACACTGAAACCCAATTTCCATATTCTCAGTAAACATAATTGCCATTTTCCGACACGTAACCAAAGTCAACAAATTTAGAAGCCAAGTGAGCATTAAATTTAAGCGTTAAATTACACGAATTTCTTGAGCCAAAGCAACCAAAACCCACAACAAATTACAAGTTAGCTACATGACTTGGCGTTAAAATTAGCCAATTATAAAAGGTAAGGGAAAAGATTTCCAGATAGGTAACATATGGTAAGGCAAGAGCTGGCTCATATGTGTAGAGGAAAATTATGGCGCAAGTCTAATCCAATTCCCGGGTGTATAAATTGTAGACGCCCCGAAGTGTGCCAAAATATTACACATCGATTACGGAAGTCGGCTCTACTCATGCAAAATTATGCACAAAAATGTTTAATTTACGACAAATAAATGTTAAATTGAGAGATTTTCGAATTACGATATCGGGTGTGCCATAAACAGTGTTATTTCGAAGGAAAAGCTGGGGGATAGCTCACTTCCAATGGGGTGTAAAATAACGAGAAAAACGCTTTCTCACTTTCTCCGACCCTCAGACCCTCCGACCTTTGAAAATGATATGGGTTGAAAAGGAGTGGGATGTCATGTTTCGAGGGGGTGGTACATATAAGGGGAGTTGGCCAAAGATAACCCAGAGAACAAATTGAGGGGCTGATGAGTGTTAAGCGGCGGTTGGGACACAGACAAGATACAACTTAAGCAGCGACATGTGTGACAAGTATTAACCCTCACCCACACCCATTACTTTCCAAAAAAAGTAGCATCCAGTGGGTGGGAAAGTTTGTTGGATGAAAAAATTTACATACAAATTTGTCTGCCAGGGAAATTTTTTTGGCAACAAGAGAGTTAGATAAATATTTTTGCTCATTTTATGGGTAATCCCATTTTAAATCGAATTTATTTGTAACTGAGAGGGAAGTATTCTTTCTAATTCAAGTCATTAATTTATGGTAGTAAATAAGGCCATTGGTGACTATCTCTTTAATCTCTATTAACCATTAATTTAACTACAAAATCCCATCCTTGACTTTAGGTTAATCCTTCTCCGGGTCCTTGTTAATTGTCCCCAAAAATCTGGCTAAAGGCCAAACCCAAATCAAAACCCATAAATTAGGGCTTATCAAGAGAAATTAGCACCTCGATTTGGGAGCGAGTTGTTGAAGCATATGTTGCCATATCAGCTCCGAGCAATCATCATCCATCCCGTCATCCCCGTGCTCATTAGGTTTGAAATGTGGGAAGTCAGTTCGGGCGTGGGCGTATTGCAACCGCATGAGTTGCACTTTGTCTAAGTCTGCACTTGGGTCGACAGCTGTTGGGGGTCCTCGGATGGATGGATTATTCCAATCCCCAACAGAAGTGGTCAACCACTCAGGGGAAGAGAATATCACAGCGTATATTTAATATTTAAAAATGCAAATATCAGAGAAAGATTTACAACTTTTTATTTAACTAAACCTTTATAATATTGTGTTTTTTTCCTCTGTGCAGAAGAAGGTTAAGCTTCAGGGGAGCAGGTGCTCTGGTACCACCCCCTAGAAAGTTGGGGTGTTCCTCCTCCATCCGCTTCCTTGTTTGCTTTTCTATTAGAGTCGAGCGGGTGATTTGTTATCCCAAATTGTAACATTCCTTATCCGCTGAAAGGGGGTTGACTGGGCCCAGATTTGCATAAATTCGTTCTGTTTGCTCTTAACACTTGAATTATTGGTGTTTCGACTCCAACCCCTCCGGTTACGACTCCGGCTACTTATTGTTTTCCTTGCAACACTCAGCTGCACTTGCAGCAGCGTCCAACCTTTGAAATATCCAACCAACAGCAACAACAATAACAGCTTAATTACAACAACACGATAACGAGTGGCAAATAGCAATTGTCTACATACAATTGCCAATTTCGCTCAACTTAGCCATAAAACACTGGCTGAGAGAGCGACATCATCCCGCAGACAGAGCCAAAGCAAAGCAAACAACTTGGCCTCCTCGACACACCACAAATAAATCTCAATTTGTGGCACTAACACGGAGTAAACGAGCCTGAAATTGAACTGAATTGAACTGCAGCTCTGCGGCTGAAGAGGTCCGAGATGTTGGTAATTCTGAAAACGTTTACCAATTGCCAATTTTCTCAAACTAAATGTTTATGGCGAGTCCCAGCCTGTTTGGTTGATTTGCTCTGTTTTCTTTTTTAAGAGATATAGGGGGAGATAGAGATATATAAACCTTGTGTTATCTTTTTTAGGGTTTTTAATATATAAAGGATGAGTTAATTTTTTTTATGGTTTTAATTTGTAATAAATATATATTTTAGTCATAACTCACAACAAAAGATTTTGGAAAACATGTTTGCAATAAAACCAAAATTTGCGTTAAATTCTTATTAAAAATCTTATAACTACCATTTTAGATTGTTTAAGTTTCTATTTTCTATACTAGTCTTGCATCATTTTCATGATATCTTGTAGCTGGCATTCTTGAAGCCAACTATCACTGACCATTTGGCCATTATACTCCCTACGACTACCACTTGTTTTACGCTCCGATGCCTTCGCATTTTTGCTGCCTGGGCCCTAGCTGCTTTCTTGATAAATTGGTATAAATTAAATTAAGCTCAGTCACACACTAACACACACTGCTACACACTCACAACTCACTAGCACATACTTTGTGGCAATAAGTGGCAGAAAAAAAGAATTATTTTTCATATGTTGTCCCGCCTCAGTCTCATAATTTTTCTCACCCCAACTATGGCTCTGCCATTTTTTCTTCTTGTTTGTTCAGGGGTCAGCCTGTTTACCTTTTGTTGTTACTGGAGCTGCGTTGTGGTTACAAAATTGTAACAGCCACTGCTTCTGACCCACCCAGACAGGTTGGTGGTTAAACGGCCCGGCCAGAGCGAGAAGAAGTGCCACGAGGACCCGGGCCACATTAAACCATTTGACATTGCATTTAATATGCTTGCTTGGCTTGTTTTTATTAATTTTTATTGTTTGGGTTATGCTTGGTTATAAATGGTTAGCATAAATAATGGTGGATATACGGGTGGGTTTTCGGTAGTCTAGTTTGTTAGGTAGTTTGGCAGAAAAGGTGGTAAGTAGTGGAAAGAATACTGGTTCGGTAAGAAGGTATAAGATACCTCTAAAGTACCTCTCAGAGATGTACGTCTCAAAAGCTTTAAACTCTATAAGTACCAGGTATAGCTTAGAGTTATATATATCAAAGTTAAGCTGTTAATAAATGAAACAACCCCCTTAAACTTTTCACTAAAAATAAATACAAAGAGCTGGAAAATCCTTCACCCTTCAATAATCATCATCCCGAAGCTCCTCACCTTTACTCCTAAAAAAAAACACCATTCCCATCTAAAAACTGAGGACATATTGTTGTCATGTTTAACATATCTTAACGCTACTCAATGCTATGCAGGGTCTGAGATATAATTTCAATTCCGAGTCCAAATCCGGCTCCAGATCACATAACCAGTTTCCCCGGGAGCCGCAGACGATTGTTCGAACATCATCAGCGCTCGAGTTCTTCATCATTTGTAGAAATCAGCGTCAAGATCATTGCTCATGTTTACAATGATGACAGCCCCCAGAATCGGAATAGTTGGAGGAGCCGCCAAGCCGCCAACCCGCCAAGTTGCCAAGTTTCAAAGTTTCCAAGCTGGCCAGTGGCAAGCAAATGAAATGGAGGCCTCTCTGTGAGCCCCGAGAGGGGCCGGCAGTTAGCAGCAGCGACTACTGCCGCCGGTTTCCATCAGGTCCGAGTTGAAGCTCGGAATTGAAGCTATCATAAATCTGTTCGTCGCAAAAATCTACACACAATGGGGCGTTTGCAAACGCATTCGTTGATCGGAATGCGACGACGAACTCTCTGAATCTGCCTCTTGACTGACTGCCGATTGCAAATGCCAACGTGACACGATCTATTAGTATCCCGGATATATAGAAAAATATCTTATGTAAACCTATCCACAGTTTCCGTTGGTACTGCTTGAAAAATATTAGTTAAAGATACCTTATGAGATGAAAGTTACACAGGTTATTTTAAAATATTAAAAATATATAGTTGTAAACTATGAAAACGTATATTTCTTTCCCTCTCAAGATACATCCACTGTGCTTTCTCTGTACTTTCTCCATCGTCTGTTTATGGATCGTTAATAGACTTAATACTTTCCGATCACGTTGTCATCTCTAGTCGCATCCTCAAACTCCAAATTCACTTGGAAGTCCGAGTTGGATTTTGTTGTTTTACAATGCAGCATTGTTTTGGTTGCTTTGGGCCTGAAACTCCGAGTTTCGCCTTCGCTTCTGAATCGAGTTCGGATGCTTCTGGCCAAGATCGGTGTGCTGATTTATGGCATCTTTCGGCATTTCGGCTACCGGCCCCCTGGCTTTATGATTTGTCATAAACATGTCCCCGCCGTTTAGTTCAGTTCGGTTCGATATCGGTGATCCCCAAATCAGACGTTCCTCGCGGATATTTGATATTGGCGATTCAGAGCTTTCTTCGGTTTTGGAGATTCTACTTACTCTCGCTGGAAACGGTCGTTGTCCACGTAGAGCCTCATGCAAACCGGAAGCCGCTTCCGAGAGAACAACAAGCGCTTGAGATGGCAAATGGCTGCTGCCAAATGCGTTGCTTTCCATCTGCTTTTCTTTGTTTTGGTTTTGGCTTAATCTAATTTGGCACTAGGGGGCACACATAACCTCACTTTCGCTTGTGTTTCAATATTGGCACTGATTTGTCACAATTCTCAATATCATGAATTAATTGTTGGGATTTATTGGGAAAAACGCGTCGGTGAATCGGTAGCTCGGATCAGCTGGCTCGCTCGTACTCTTTTCCGCTCGCCCACTATGTATATCACTCATACGCTCATACGCCTGACGTAAAGCACCCGCACGTACGCGCTGTAGAAGTCCAACTGAAAATCCAATTCGAAAACCGTCGAAACCAGTTGCCGTTAGCCTGCCGTGTGCTTCCTCTTCTCCTGCCTCGCTACTGCGCAGTCGACGCCAGCAGCAGCCCTCGTGATTGGCCAGCGCATACAACCGGTTTGGATGCACTACATCCGTCCCGTTTCCACTCACCCAACCCGTATGAGTTATATGGGTGGTGTGCGAGTGTGTGGGGGCATCTTTACATTATGTTCACCTCTTTGGCAGCCAGTTTGTTTTTCCTGCTGGTGCTGGTGCTGCATTATTATTCCAAAATGGTTGCATGTTTGTCTGTTGGCCATTGTACGCCTGTTTGTCTGCCAGCACCTGGGACTGGTACTTCCCCGATTCCCGGTCTTCGGTCCCAGGTCCACTCCCCTTGTTTTTCCACTACCCCCACCATCAACTGCTGACATTTTGTGTAAATAAACCGTATGAGAAACATTTTTACTTTTGGCCATGCCGTTTTGTTGTTGTTGGTTTTTTAGCCTTGTTTGTTGGACACTGTCCTGGACAAAAGTATCTTGGAAGTAGTCTCTTTCTTTTTTGCTGCATCTGTTGGGTTTTTGCTCGCCAGGCACTTAATATAGCACATTACTGTGGTATTTATTGCCCGAGAAGTGGCAAAAAATATTTAAAAACTTAAATTATGGATAAAAATTGCAATTGGGTAGGAAATTTATAGGCCAATTGAGGGGGAATTTATTTTAGCCAAGGTATACGTATTGTTTTTGTTTGAAATAAATGTTTATGAAACATTTAACATGTGTCCTTTAAGCTGAAAAGTAGGCTTCATAAATCGTAAATCTTTTTCTTATTGTCTGTAAAAAATTTCAAATCTTTGATAAACAAAATAAAATATATACTATACACTTAAATAAGTTTATGATGAAAGAATATGTTTATATAATATTATATCTTATATCTAATATATAAGAATTTGTTTGTGTCTTTAAGATCTTTTCTTTCTTTACTAGTAAGATCTTTCTTTATAAGTAAAATAGTAAGATCTTATCAATTATCTTCAAACTTAAAGGAGTTTTTTATCAAATAACTAAGAAAATCCGTCTTATAATCATAATACAATTTTAAATCCTTAAAACATTATGATTTAAGTTATAGACTATTTTCTGTGTCTCTATGATGTCTTTTTTCTTCAAACATCTAAAAGCTTTAAGATTTTTCTTTTTTTTTTATATCTGAGGAAATCTTTTCAATTATTTTTATTAATATTTTAATATATTTTTGTTCCACAGTAGACTAGCCAACAAACTGTCTACAAAGTGAAATAGTTGTGTCGCACAATATTACTACTTGCAACCACTGCAATTACAACAATAATCTGAACAACAAACGGACATGGGGCAACAAACAACAACCACTGTGTACAGTGGACAGTATAAAAAGCTTAACCCATCTGTGCGCAACTTATTATTTCCCTGCCACTCCCCCCTCCTGCTGTCCTTGTTGTGATTTCCAATCTGCTGAGGACTAACTAAATAAAGTATTTTCCTTGCAATTTACTTGGATGGTTTTGGCCAGGGCAGTTGGGAGCTGGGGGGGGGGGAAAGGTTTCTTGTAAAAAATGCACAAACCTTTCTGACATGTTTATGGGGCCCTGTCTGTCAAATCGAGGCAGTTGACACCACTGACTCCCCTACACTCCTCTCCTTTAATTGGTGGCTAGTAAATTTTCTTTTTACCATCTTTGGGCCTGACGATCTTCGCCGGGAAGATTTCTTCTAATTTTTTGCTCATTAAATTTACATTTTAGGAATTCCTGTGCGAGCACAAGAGTTTACACTTTATAATTTCCAGCAGCCTGCTTTTGGTTTATTACCAATTTCAGGCGGTGGGTAGGAGGGAGGGGTTATAAATGCACTGAAAATAATATATATTTTTGTTTCAGTGGATAAGGTTTTCTTTAAGTTCTATTGACTTGAAATATAGTTATTGTATATGGTTAAAAGACGTAAATATTCAGTGAACTGATACGTAAATATAGACTATTAGGAATATAAATTTAATAAATATTTTGCCCTATTATCTATATAATTTTGAATAAAATATTAATGTAACAAATAATCAAATTTATCAAATAATATCGTGTATAATACGTTTAAAATTTTTTGATAGTCTTGGTATTAAGCAAAACAAAAGAAATCTAATGGATGTAGTCCCATGATATATTTTTTAAGATTCAGAATATTTTTCTTAATATTTTTTCTCTGTATGGGGTGTGGTATCCATGCCGCTAAAAAGCGAAAAAAGGAGGAGTACATTGGGAGGAGTATGGGGGTCGGAGTATCAGAGTGAGAGGGAGACTGCATTGAAGCAAGATAGCTAGTCGGGAAGTTGAAGAGACCGAAGCGCATGCGCCGACGTTGGCGGTAGCCTACATTATGTGTCTATTTCTTGTACATAGAGTGGAGCTCCTCTGTTCGCCGAACCCCGCATCACCCCACCCACCTAAGAGAGGTAACTAAGTCTGCTTCGACTGGTTCCCCAGTTTCCCAGTCGAACTGGCGACTAGTGACTGGAGGAACTGGCTGGCGAACTGCTGGTGGAAACCGTAGGGCGAGTGCCATGTACAGGACTTGTACTGCATTTCGGGCTGGCAGTAGATTTTTCATTTTATTTATGTGCTTCCTTCACTCTGCTGATTGCCTTTACTTATTTCCCCCACTCCCCCACTGCCTTTTGGAGGTCCTACTGCCACTCCCACCTACCAGTCTTGCCAGACTCCAACCTCCAACCGACTCTTATTCTTTTCTTTTGTCAGTTTGTCAGCTTCTCGACTACAAAATTAAATACTTGTCTCTGGTCCGATTTTGTCATTTTTTTCGCCCTCTTCGTTATCTGCTGGGCGTGTGGGTGCGGCTCTATATATAACCGGATTGTCGTCCGTCTTGGCCACCTCCTCCATCTCCGTTCAGCGGGTATGTACTTTGCACAACTTGGCCTGACAACTAATTTATGTAGTGGCCGAGAGCAGCTGCTACAACTTTAGCTTTGCCCAGTTCTTTAATAATCTTGAAATATTTTTTGTATTTTGGCAAACAATTTACTATAATTTAGTATGGCTAGTTGATGTGATGGAGATCTATAAGTGAGCTTTTTATTGGGTTGAAAAAATTATATATTAATTGGTTAAACTTTTATGTTTATTTTGGCAGGTCTTTGGGAGAAGATTAGGTAAAGATTTCAACAGATTTTATTAAAGTTCTCTATTCAAAATGTTTAATAGCGTGGTACTGTTTTTTTTAACATTTTATTTTGTGTTTTAAAGTCCAAATAGATATTTCAAGATACAAATTAAATGTATCTTTCCCTCCCCAAGATATCTCCTACATTTATCTCTTTCGAAATTTTTTGAAAATGATATACCAAATCTTAAAATATATTGTTAGTTTCTTCTACAAACATGTATTTATTAATTTTCATACTAATTGCGTTTGAAATACTTTCCTATAGAGTCCCATTTATTCGAAAATTCTCGCTTTATCGACAGTATTTAAGTAATCCTGTGTCGATCCACACGCAGAACTTAAGGATATTTATCAAACTTATCGCTTTCCTATCCCAATCAGCACCTGCTCTCCCAAAAAAAAAAAATCGGGGAACGCCTTCGAATTAATTGAAACCGCAGTGGAAGTGCTAAAGCGTTTTGCTTTCAGACCTGCCATGGCCAATCCCTCGAAACAAACCCCAAAAAGAACAAACTCCTGGAAGGATAACCACAAAAAAAAAGCAGATGCGTCTAACATAAAAAAAAATGATAAAAAAATAGGAGGCGAATCCGAAAGCAATCCCCCACAAATCCCAGACAAATGTGCTGCCGAATGAGAATAAAAATTCACCAATACTTTGTACATTTTCCATGTAAATATGAATCGAAATGAATTACAAGCGAAATAAATGTACGAAAAAATTGCATGAAACAAAGCGAAATCGTAAAAAAAAACAAGTGAATCCTCGATGGGATGGAGTGAGGGCGAAAAAAAAACACCAGAAAGGAGCTAACATGGCTTTTGGTTCGGGTTCGGTTGGGATCGGGTGTTGGCTATTTTTTTGTTCTTGTGGTTTTTGGTAGCACACAGTGGCAATGTTGACATGTTCCAAATGCAATTTTAACAGGATTTGCAAGGACACATTTGCACAAAGTGACAGAAAAACGCAGCACAGCGGCAACAAAGTCAACTTTTTTCCATCCCTTACCTCGGATCCCTTTGGAAAGTCACTACACTTTGAGAAAAATATACCTATTTGTTTTAATCAATTGCTCAAAATAATTATTTCTATAAGAAAAGATCTTTTATTTTTTTTTATTTTTTTACAAGTACATTTAATTACAGTATTATACTTTTAATTAATAATTTTCCCGTGTGTATTTCCCTATGATGTGCGTGGCTGGCATAACTTGCGGCTTAAAGGGATCAACTTGTCATGTTTTTGTCGTCGGCATTGATTTTGCACTTTCCACGACCTGCGACCCAACCAGACCACCAATCCCACCCCTTACCAACTCACTTTTCCGACTTTTCCAAACGGTTTGGGTCATCCGTTGTGATGTGGTCTTAACGCTTCATCAATATGCTTTTCCCGACATCGCTAATTTTTCGCTTTAGTCAACCTCTGAGCTGGCTACGTGTGGCAGATTTATGTCTCATCTATGCGGACTTTCGCCACCCATCCGCAGGACATCTCTCCCCGAAGGACACAAAAAACAAGTGGACATGGGGCTATCCTTTGGCCTCTGTCCGGGATGTGTGTGTGCACATGTGGGTGTGTTTAGTGTTAATCCGTCAATGATAAGCTCAATTTGTTGTGGTCACTCCAGTGACAATGGGATGTGGTTGGCCTTCGAGGATGTCTGAGGATGGGAAAATACTATTAAAGTTGTATTTGGACTGTGTTTGAGATGGTAGTTTCTTTTCTGGACTTAACGATATTTTTGGCAATATATTATTCAGG